GATGATGATGATGATGATGATGATGATGATGATGATGATGATGATGCTGATGATGATGACGACAACGAAGATTCCAAATGTATTAAAAGTCTGAACTTTTCTCGATGCGCTTCGAGTCTGTTTCCCAGACAACTAAGAACCTTTATGTTTTATGAGAATGCCTAAAAAAACGGCGGCACAAGCTATGACGCAGCATCTTTACACAACTCATATATTGGGGCTCTGTGAGAGGGACCTAACTGGGATTTTGTTTTTTTGATATGACGAAGGACATTTTTTGCTTGATAGCATAACACGAATAATTATTCTTATTCGGTTGCTTTATCAAAATGCGTTTCGCATATTTACAGTTTCTTGATAAACGGCGGGAACTGCTATGACGCAGTAAGTTTACAAACCCAGATCTTTTGATTCCACTATCAACCTTTGCAAGAAGGAGAAATCGATGCGTGCCTAACGATCTCTAACGACCAGCGCTGACAAAATGGTTCCAGCATAATGATCTCGCGGCAGTGCAATTACTTGATTACGAAGGGGAATCTTTCGTACGTAATTGTGAGCAGCCAAACTTTTAATTTCGTAAACTTCCTAGTTGCGAGTGCAAAGATTTCTTTAATTCGGCAATTGAACCGTTTGATTAAGAAATGTAGTCACAGTTCCCCAAATGATTGATTGATCATTCTCGTAACTGTTAGTCTGACAGACTTTTAACAAATTCCCGTTGTTTCTATGTTTTTCCTACACCAAACTACCTTATCCAACGGGGTCTGAAGAATTTGGAATGAATTTTGGATAAACCCTAGAGAAAACTGGAAAGTACCTGCAAGCATTTTGCGACAATTTTGCATAGCCTGGAAACTTTCGAATAACTTTTACCGACTTTACAAAACTTGCGAAAAACTCAACAGATTTGTAACACTTGCAATATATTCGAATTTCCCGCCCTTGCTTCAGACTCTTTAAATGTCCCGAGTTCCTTGCATGAAAGTTAATTCTTGCAGAAACTCGTGAAACGTGAAATCGCATATTCCCGCACTTTCTTTTGTATCCCACATAGCAAATTGCAAATTATACGTCTAATTACGTTGACGCTTGACAGGATGAAAGCACCATTCTCGATTACGAGAAGTTTCTGATCTATTCTGGCTACCGTTCAACATGCACGTGCAGAACCAATTTTAACTGCCCAACGTCACGAGCAAAACTAGAGGTGATTGGTCGAATCTAAGAGGATGACCACAAAGGGGATCTCAGGCTAGCAGCCGAACCCAATTTAATAGCACAATTATAGACCTAAGTGTCGATTAGCGAATCTCAATTGCCTACTTAATCGGGAAACTCACGATTCTCGATTGTTCGTTTAGGAAAATTGGGAAAATCCTTTGATTTCGGCATTCAATGCCTGCATTGTTTCGATTGTCTCACGCCTTTGAATTCGGCTTCTATGTATCCATTGTTGAACTCATCAAAATGCCGATCCATTGTTACACAATTGGCAACAATTCTACATATATATATATATATATACCTTATTATATATATATATATGGATGCCCATCGAGCCGAGCAAAATCCCCCCTTCATGTACTCATTCTTCGTACATAATTATTGGGACACCCAATTCACTATAGCCCTATTATGAAAACCTTCTTTTTTGCATGCCAGATGAAAAATAAACATTGATTGCACACGGTAGAAATGCTTGAAATAAGTGCACACACGCCAGTTCTTGTCAAGAACAGCCATACTCTGCAGTCTGAGATTGCATATCATTGGCAAGGCAAACAACTGAATATTCTCAAGTTTTGTTACTGGGACTTGGGAGTGATGAAAATATTACAGTGACAGGGATTAACCAAATGCTACTGTTTTATTGGGTATTTGTGAGCAAATACTCTTTCCATGATCAACAATGTATTGCAGTGATAATTTGTCTAATAATTTACTGCACTGATTATAACCAAAGGATGCCTATATAATTTGTCAGTTCAAAAACAATCTTTTAAGAATAAGCAAAACCATTTGTAAAAAATTACAACTTACAATCCTTGCCAATGAAAGTGGTGGCCTGTTAGTTTTACTCATAAAGAGCCTTTTCAAGACCACTTGGTTGAAGGTAGAGTTGGTACGCCTGGCCAAGAACCTGTACAACTAGAAAAGTAAAAAATTTAATTTAACTTTTAATTTACTAAATAAACTCGCGAAAGTTAAATTAACTACCACATATTTTATTTCATGAATAACGAAACACCCTCATTCCAAATCGAAATCATCACTACATATCTGCTACAAAGGGCTTACTTTTTCCAGTGTAACCTCTTGTTAAAGGCCAGAAAAAAACCTAAGAACTGAACACACTTGGAAATGTTTTGTTTTGAGAAAATTCAATTTGAAAAACGTACAGGCTATCTTCTAAAGTCAATTTAACTATTGCACATGAGATAATTTAAAAACATAAATAAATGCACACTTTAAGTTGAAAAATTGTAGAAAGTCCGAGATCTCGGGAAGAGTGGATAGATAAACTTTACTGTCTGGTCAGTCACAAGATCCAGAACAAACATTGGCGTCAATAGCAGAATCAACCAATGTTTGTGATACTTCTTAAAATCAACATGAAGGAAGTCTTACAAGAAAGGGAACTTACTTTCACAAGGAGGCGAAGGTAGACATCTTTGGAGGCAGGCTGCTTCCTGTGCTTCTTTCGTTCGAACCTGTGGTCGATGTCGATACCCTAAAGTTTGGGGAAAACATAAATTAAATGGCCCTCTACGGTTTTTGGCATACCTTAAAGTCAAAATGAAGAAAAGATTGGTGAAATAAAGCAAGATCGGTCATACTAGTCAAAAATGAACCCACCATTTTGGTAACCTTAGTCAGAGGACGGACTGGAAGAAGCTTGCTGAAAAAGAGGCTGTGATTGGGGCTGCCGGCCTCTTTTTGGTGCGTGTTTAAAAAGTCTTTTTTACTGCTCCTTATTGCCCCTCACTAATGTTTTAGGACTGCGTCTCCACGTCGTACAACTCATGGCAAAAAATTCAGTTATGAAATCTAAAATTTAGAGGGACTTTGTGTTCAAAAGTAGACACTTTCTTTCTGTTCCTTTGGCTCTTTCCTCAAAAGTTCCAAACGAACGTAACGCATAATCGAAATTCGAAAGGACGATGCGAAAGTATTTTGCGAATGAAATTATTTAAGTTTTTGTGAGGGGAATCACAAATTTATTTATGGTTATACAAACCAAGTTTTGGCTCTAAGCTTGAGCGCACATCTCGGTCTGCGTCACTTTGTTGTAAGGGAAAATTCATCATCTACAAGGTAGCACTTACATAATTAAATAGGGTTGCATTAAAGAATTACCAAGTAACGCTCAGAGGAACTGGTGCAAGAAGCTTTTATCTCTGTATTGAAACCTCTGTTTGCTATTAATTGGTTGTAACTGACTCGCCAAACCTTTGTTAAGGTAAGGGTGCAGCCCATGTATGTCACTTTAAAAGTTCCGTTTGATTTTAATGTCGCCCCTCAGCATAACCAGCTCCAATATGATTTCAATTTTCATTGCTCAGAGTATGTCAGCTTGCTTTTTGAAGACAGTTTGCAGGAACTTTCTTCGCCTCTAAATAAAGTTGTAATTTACTAGGTTGTTTTGCTTACTTTTTTATTTTCTACAAGTAGGAGTTTCAAAAGCATTTTTGAACTATTCACTGTACTTTAAAATTAAATCGAGTTTTAACTGTGATAAATAGCTCATAGCTGTAGGGTGAATGCATGAAAATTTGCAAATGTGATACATTCTTTTCATTCCGATATGATTTCGACTTTCCTTGAGTGATAACAAACATATGAAATGGCGAAGGAAATCATAGTAACATGCTGCCCTGGACATTTGAAAGTAAATTTTGGGGAGGGTACAGGCAGAAAAGGACAATGTTTAAAGAATTTACACATTTCCCTGGAGAGAAAATTATCAAACACGTCCGTGAATTTCCACATGTTTGATACACGCACCCTTGCTGAGTCCTGGATCAGTGGCGGCACCAGCTATTGGGAGAGTAATGGGCGCGGCCAGTGGCACCACGCTCCTTTTGCCTCGTTTCAGTGATTTGTACCAAGTTAACTTTCCTTAGGAAATTTGATCTTCCCCTACTCAGCGTTTTTTAATCCATTTTTAGAAGAAATATGTAGACCATATTTTCAGAAAAGTAGGGGGGGGGGTTAATAACCCCTTGGCGCCGCCACTGTCCTGGATATTGCCTGGTTTATTACCTACAAAATAAAATGTTGAAATTCCGGTTCAACTTCTCCGAGACCCGTCCGCGTATAGGATAAGATCGAAGTAAACTACTTGTAAATGAAGTTTACATGTAAGTGGAATATAAGGGGACCAAGAATAAACCCTTGAGGGAATTAGCACCGGGCAAAAAAATTTTCCTATGTAGATTCAAATAGTTCTGTTTTGTAAGATTTCAACAATAGGGTATCCAACTCAATGAAATCTGAAATCTCGATTAACTTTCAAGTTTGGGTTATAAAGTAAAAAGAACTACAAGTCTTTGCATTTAATCTTTAGCTTGGTTTTTTCCATTGATTTTATGGGGACTGATCTCGTGCTGCTAGAAGATTGCACGACCCAGTGATTGGTCCTGTTGGAAGAGATGCACTTTCTTTTTGTAGACGTAGCTGAGTTACAGAAAGATCTATAATGCTGGTTGATATTCTGTTTCAAAAGCAAAATAAAGTTTAATTGGTATTCTCTTCACCTAGACCATTACCTAGACCACAACAGCAATTTCAAAGACACGGCACAATGATAACATGTGCAATCTCCACACAGTTCCAAAGTTGACAAATGGATGTATGGTGTAAGTATCGGCTGTAGTGTTTGATATGATGTTTCTACACCATAAACATTGGCTTTTGTTGCTCCAAAACTTGGGAAAAGAAGCTTATTGTAGGATTGCTCGATCAAAAGTTATTACTGAAGGGTACTCAATTTAGATACAGAACCTGAAAGACAAACTCGTGTTTAGAACATCTCCGGATGCAGAAACTTGTTTCTCAATATACTCAATAGAATCACGTTGTAAATTCCTTATCACTTTGCAAATTGGAATATTCCTTTGATTTTGCAAAGAAATATAGTTTATGCAAAAAAGATTGGCAAGCCATTTGTAACTGAAATAATTATACTTTGCTTCACAGCTCTTCAAGCTTTACAACTTTGGGATTCTTTTTGCAGCACCCCTTAGCCCCTGCCTAGTATGCCTGTATGAATCCGTTAGATTTGGGGCTTATGAATACTTGTCACAACATTTTCTCCATCATGACACTTTCCTTTATCCTAATAGTATGTTATCATTCATCATTATTCGTTTAACGTGACGTTTCCCCTTGAAGGGGGTTTTACTGGAATACTGTTAGTTTCCAGTAACTTCCCCAACAAGCAACAAGAATCTGTCCATTGGGTCGAAATGCGTCATTTTCCATGTCTTTTTGTCGTCACGAATGGTGTCAGCCCAGTTATCATTTATGCCTAGTTTCTTTAGCAAGGAATCGGAGCTGGAGCGATCTTCCAAGCACACGCATTGCATATCCACCGTATCATGGATCGGTCATTACGTTTTTGAATATTCGCAATGGTTGGTGTGCAGCGTTCGCTTCCATATAATAGAGGCGATCGCATGAAAGTGTCATTTAGCCTGCCCCGCGTTCTAAAAGACAGTCCACGTGAAGTGAGTAAGGGAAAAGTTCTCTTAACTTTCCCAATGCACATCTAAACTATGTTGTGATGATGCTCAGATTACAATCACCACCAACCCCAACTGTTTCTTTATTGTTATTGGAAACTACCAAAAATAAATAAAATAATCACTCATTCTGTGCACATAGAAACAAAGAGAAGATAAAAGAACCACAACATATTTTGGAGCAATGGTTACCCCATTTACAATAATACGTGGTTGATAAAAACAATGTCATATCTACTAACACATTACACCCTATGTGTTTAAACACAACATTAACAGGTATAAATTGTATACTTGCTTTTGTTGGGCAATATGCCCTTGAAATATTATAGGTCCTGGCCAGAAAAACCAGCATAAAAAGGATTATGAAAAGCACAAAATCTGACTACAAAATGTATGGCTGGTTACCTACACATTAAATATATAAAGCATTAAATATAATAAATATTCAGCATCTGGGCATTAAACATGAAATATAAATACTATCTATATGGTATCAGCATTAAGCAAATAAGAAAAAATTAAATATAAACGTTTTATGCTATACAAAATAATAAAAGTCATCGTGGAAACTAACCTGCTTAAAATTTTTAATGGATAATTAATCACCCCCATTTAATGGCCACCTGAGTAGATTGATATGAATTGAATCCTGCAACCATGGGTGACTTGAGCTGTTATCAGTTTTATCAGCCCAATAGCATTTTTAGCAACTTTCAATGAGAACTTCAAAGTTTCTCATCTACTGTCTTTTTCAATTGGCTATGTTTTTTTTGCTTGAGACTTTGGAAACCGCAGCTTGTTAATGAACTTGATAATATGAACCACAACGAATACAAAATGCATATTGCTGAAATAGTCAACAACTTCTTGTTAAAAAATCAGTTAATTAGACATATCCGCTATTCAAGGTTGACAAATCAAGTGTTAGACAAATCCATTAAAAGACAAATGGCCTGAATTTTTTTGCATTTAAAAGCAAATTATTTTGCTTTGAAATGGCCTGAAAAAAATTGATCACTGGATATTTCATTTCATGCAGAACTAACAGGAAACTCCTCATGCTTTTTGTTTTGGATTTCTATGATTTATTCCCTTAAAGAAGTAAACTTTGTATTTTGAAAATCAATCTGTTATCACCTAAAACACTGGATAAGACTCAAATTTTAAAGAAGGCCTCATTTCAGGGACTTAAATCTGTTGGATAAGAAGAAAATTTTGCTTATAACCAGGGGCGTAGATAAAGCTAAACAGCTATTTCGTCAGGAAATCTCTGATGTTGTTTGCAATATAAAATGGTTTTCTATTTTTATCCAAGTGTTAAATTTTGAGAAGAAAGTCTTTAAAGGTTATTATAACGATTTCTTCAGTTGTTCTGAATCAGATGGGCAACTTAAAAATGCCTTTTGCGAAGAGAAGACTATAAAATCTTCAATTAGTATGATTTCTGACACATGACTTTAAGTAAATAAATAAACTTTATCTCCTGTTTTATTTCAGTTCTAACGTTGTTATGCTACATTTTGAATGTGTCAACTTTTTTGAATCTGTGTCAAATGCTCACGAATCCTTGCCTACAGTGAATGAAGAAGGAATAACTGAATAAGAATTCTCAATAACCAAAGGGTATATGTTTACTTAATAACTTCATTGAGAAGAATTCAAAATGATTCCATATTGTCAGTGGTGCAGCTTATCTGCCTCGCTCCGCTTTAAAGGGGCAGAATTGATTAATACCAACAATGTTCCGATAACATAACAAGCAGCCATAAGATAACCACCAAGGTCACCACCCCCATTATCAATTGCAGCCCCAACTATATAGGTTAATATTATCCCGTAGATATTGCCAACCAAAAGAAGTATACCAGATGTTGTGCCTTCTGGAACTGGGTAAGTGACTTCAGCTACATGCTCAAGACCTGCACTCATATATGGGTATGAAAAGAAACCAAAGGCACAAAAGCTGATAAACAAAATAATGAAATTGTCATGATACTTAAGGAGCAAAGTAAATATCACCATCGTAACAGCACAAGCAGTAAATATTGCAACTGAGAGACTTTTGTACCTCCTGGTCCTGTCAAGCCATACTCCACTGAAAAATATGGCAAAAAGACCACAATTCACTGCAGCAAATCCCATGTACCCAATCTCCTTCTCCTTTCCTGGGTAGCGTGAAATTACCATTTGGTTTAATATAGTGTTGTAAGCTGCAAATAAGCCAAAATAAAACCCATAGGCTTGGCAGATCAGATGAAACGACTTATCTTTTCCAAGAATCAAAATTGATTCTCCAAATGCAGGTACATGGGTATATGTGGTGCAATGGTTTTCACTTTTGTTTTCATCAATCTTCAAATTTGTTGTATCATGGTCAAGCAAAGTTTCTTGCTGTTTAATTGCTTGTTTTTGCTCTTCATTCTTTTCATCGCTGTCTGGTAGACCTCTGTCTGTTTCCATTAAGTGTGCATTCTCTCCGTTTGTATTTAAATCGTTGAAACATGGTTGGTATTTCAATCTCAACACCAGTTCTTGAGATCGACTGGGTGGAGTCAGTGGGGCATTCTTTATTACAACCAAACTTACAAATGCTAAAATTGAGCAGAAAATGGCCTGTGAAAGGAGCAAAACGTGCATTCCTTGTTTTACGTCGCAATCCATGTTTTTACTGCTTGGTACCATAGTCCCTCCCATTAAAAAGCCAAGTGCAACCCCGAACATGTTCATAAGAACTCCAATAGCTGAAGCTGTTGCTCTTTCGTGGTCCCCGAACCAAACAGCGGCTAAACGAGGGGGCACAAACAGAATAAAGCATTGAGCAAGGGCTGCCGATGTATTCCCAAGAAAAGCAAGGGGAAAGCCATCTCGATTGGCGCCAATTGCCCTAAGGCAACTCCCCATTGCATTTAGAAGGGCGCCAACGATGATAGTGAATCGAAGACCATATTTGTCGAGGATATATGATGAGATTACGACAAGCACGTACAAAAGCATGTATATCATAGACAGCCAGTTGACAGCAATCGCATCAACGCGGTAATATTCTTGCACGATGCTCGTTATCGAGGACAAACTGATCCAGATAACTTCATTTGTCATTGATATCAAAGAAAACAAGGCCAAGACAGTCCATCGTCTTCGGTATAACTTGTAAGGATACATTGTTAAATGAAGGACCTACTATTGATCCTTTGTTCTTCTATGGCTCCCTAACTTCTTGCTATCATCACTAAACCAGAGTTAGCAGTCTTTTCAATGAAAAGGTGGGATGGGCAAGGGCCTAAAAGCTCCTTCGGGGCGACACGAAGCAACGTGTTGTTAGGACTTTTTCCCTGGCAACCATAGAGATAGTGGTCACTGTAGTCGCGCCAAGCACCTAAAGCATGGTACTCACCAGGCGATTATCACGATTATCACGATTACCACGGTAACGATTATAACGATTAAATATTTCTTTACAGAAGGATGCTCAGCTAAACCGTGTACTCACTGACGCGTTAATCGTATACTCAAATTATACTTAAATCGTAAGCAAAAATTCGTTCACAGGACTACAAAAACTCCTTGCAATGATGATTGGTATATATAACTTAAGGAAACGTGGACTTGCTACAAGTCTCTCTCTTTAAAGAAAGGGGGGAAAGAAAAAATGGGAGGGAACGAGAGACTCTCTCCTTCCCTTCCATTCTTTCTTTTTTTCGTTTTCTAGAGAGAGACTTGTAGCAAGTCCGAAGAAAACGTAGACAGAGATTAGAGAAGAGAAAAGGTAAAAGTTCGTGAGAGAAAGAAGAGAAGGTTCTGGGTCAGAGATATTTTCAAAAATAAAACTTCTAGCCAATATCATGGATTGATTCAAGAACTACGACTGAAAGACCGCGAATTTCATTTTTTTACGGATGTCAAAAGAAAGGTTTGATCATTTGCACAGCCTCCTAAGAAACACGATAGAGAAGAAAGATACACATTTTCGTAATTCGATTCCAGCCGGTCAACGCTTGGTTATTACACTGTGCTGAAAATATACTTTTACAATGGAAGATGTAGGTTAGTATAGCAGCAAAAACGATACACTCATTTTTTATAAGAAACTGGCAATAACAAACGAGTACTGGACAGTCAGAAAAAGAAAGAATTTTGCTTCAGTACTCGGAGCAAAAAAATTGAGAAACTATTAAATCGTGATAAAACTGAGAACAACGAAATTTTGTAAAATCCAAGAACATGATTGCCCTGTTGGCCAAGAACTTAGAGTATATGCTACTAGATTGCAAACGAATATATTTCACTTCCTGTCAATTGATGAGTGGCTCTCTAAATCTTTTTGTGCAATTAAAATTTATAACCAGCTGTTTGGTTTGCAACAATTTATATCTAATAACAAAAACGGTCAACAACACTTTCTATGCGAAAAGGCAGACGTAATCTAATTCTTCCCCTAAATACCGACACGCTGTTATAGTTGTGTCAACTTTTACCGACAGGCAAAAAATTACCGACGGCTTCTACAAAAAGTGGGGGGATGTGACATCCCCCACACCCCACTTCAGCATGCCCCTGGTGCCGAGTGGCCCTTAGGAGATAGCATTCCATGCAGAAGAGTTATAAAAAGCAGAAGGGTTATAAGAAGCAGAAAAGTTATAAGAAGCAGAAGGGTTATAAGAAGCAGAAGGGTTATGTTGGGGCCCAGACCTTCCTTGGTATCCTAAGACCCCACACAGTTATTGTTATTACATTCGGTAGTGTAATACGTGCCGAGATACACGGCGGCATGTAGAGTTTTAATTATAATGTTGATTTTATATTTGATTTAAAGCAGTGGTAGATTACATGTTTTGAATCTCAATACCTAATAAGGACAAACGTATGGAAAATATCAATCGACAAGTCTCAGTGAACGTGATTATCTAAGTTGAAACTCGTAATAAGTTAGTTAGTTGGTTGGAGTAGAGTTAAAGTAATGATGGTGTTCGGCGAAAATGTGAAACAGAATATTGATGGATTTGATACAAAATAGTTACACAAAATGGTGATATTTCTCTGAGTCTTCATCTTACACTTCGTTTATCATTAAATATTAAGATAGGGGCACCGCTAGAAATAGTGGTCCCAACAGGTTATAAGAAGCAGAAGGGTTATAAGAAGCAGAAGGGTTATAAGAAGCAGAAGGGTTATAAGAAGCAAAAGGGTTATGAGAAGCAGAAGGGTTATAAGAAGCAAAAGGGTTATGAGAAGCAGAAGGGTTATAAGAAGCAAAAGGGTTATAAGAAGCAAAAGGGTTATAAGAAGCAAAAGGGTTATAAGAAACAGAAGGGTTATAAGAAGCAGAAGGGTTATAAGAAGCAAAAGGGTTATAAGAAGCAAAAGGGTTATAAGAAGCAGAAGGGTTATAAGAAGCAGAAGGGTTATAAGAAGCAGAAGGGTTATAAGAAGCAGAAGGGTTATAAGAAGCAGAAGGGTTATAAGAAGCAGAAGGTATATAAGAAGCAGAAGGGTTATAAGAAGCAGAAGGGTTATAAGAAGCAAAAGGGTTATAAGAAGCAAAAGGGTTATAAGAAGCAAAAGGGTTATAAGAAGCAGAAGGGTTATAAGAAGCAAAAGGGATAAAAGAAGCAGAAGGGTTATAAGAGCCAGAAGGGTTATGAAGAAGGCAGCAAGCGGTTATAAGAAAGACAAGAAGGGTTAATTAAGAAGCAGACAAGGGTTATAAGAAGCAAAAGGGTTATAAGAAGCAGAAGGGTTATAAGAAGCAGAAGGGTTATAAGAAGCAGAAGGGTTATAAGAAGCAAAAGGGTTATAAGAAGCAAAAGGGTTATAAGAAGCAGAAGAGTTGTAAGAAACAGATGGGTGAAAGGCTGTAGCTTGATTACATGCAACAGGCTGATTGCATGCAGGTACCAGGTTTGGTTATCGGTTCATCTGAACATTAAAAAGTAAATTTTGAATTTGATGCCTTGCAATATGCTGCTTTCCGTGACCAGCATACCGAAAAGATCATTTTCATCTCTTTCTTTCTCTTCTTTTTGTTCGATTGCCTTTTGCATAGTTTTGAGAACAAGTAGCTCTTCTTTGTCCATGTCAGGTTTCTTTTTTGTCCACTTTTCCTGCTTTGCCACCTGAGACACACTCCAGTCTGCTACTCTATTTTTTTATCTTTTTCGCCTTTCCATCACTTCCTCTTCATCTTCAAAAAGGTCCTCTTCTCTGCTTGAGTTTTCCAAAACATCTTCATTCTCTACGTTCCCATCTACCGATTGGTTATCAGCAATTGCAGAACTTGGGGATGGCACTTCAAAACTTCTTGGTAGTAGTTTGGTTTTTGTGGACCTACGCTTGATATATGGAACCAGCCACATCAGAAACGTGCACTCATTTGCCTTCTCTTTTGTCTTCTCTAAAGCACTGGTGGAGGTTCCAGAACGTTCTGCCTTTCTCAAATCATTGTGTCGCTTACTCAGTCTCTTTTTCAAATTTTCTCACAGCTTCAGAAAGTTTCTCGTCGTATTGCAAGTTCTCACTTTCCATTGTGAAATGATAATGTTTTATAAGATATTCTAAACAAAACGCACACAGAATGACTCAAATGAGAGTTTTTAAACATTTCGTTTGCCTTGGACACAGTGCCTTGGATACTCCTTTTCCTTCATAAATTCTTCGGATTGACGGCATCGGATCACGATTACGGCGAAAAGATATCAAAAATTTTGGATATCCTTTCGCGATAATCGTGATGGTTTTATCACGATTAGAGGGCATAACACGATTTCATTTGATGTACTCACTGTGGATGAAGACGATTACAGCCCAATCGTTATCGTGATAATCGTGATAATCTCCTTGTGACTACCAGGCTTAGTTTCCAAGTTGACTTCATAAAAATCTATTTTTTTAGAATTTTTGAATTTTGACCACATAACCCAAAAGAAGACCAGGAAAGTTTGTTTAGGGACAACTGTTGTTTTGCCTCTGTTTATAAAGATATGAACATGATGGGAAAGAGCCGGTGCTCATGTGGCCATAGCACAAATAGACCGATTTTTCACCTAGAGGAGTCTTTGAGGAAAATTTAGAGTTGTGAAAACCTTGGCCAGAGGTACTTCCTGATACTCTTTCATGTTATGGGATCCAAAGTCAAAATTCTAAAAAATGTGTTTTTGTGACGTCATCACTGTATATAATATTTACGTTCAGTATCTAAATTTACGTTCAATATACGCAGTAACTCCGTGTTCTACCAGCAATTTTCTAATTTTTTTCTTTTAAAAACTCATACACTTATGTTATTCAAGTTAAAGACAAATATAAAATCAATAACTCTGTCTAAAAAACAAGAATCGGAAGTCTCAAACACGAACATAGTTTCAACAATTGCTAGAAATAAGCATTGATATAGCCATCAGATACAAATTTATGTACCGACATTTTAACAAAGGCACTTAGACTGAGTGACACAGGTTTTTAAAAATCGTTGATTCAACCATCGATAAATTATGAATCAGTTAGACTTTGATCAACTTGGCTTCTTTTGAGGGGAGCAGAAACAAATAAAACAAGAATCAAGCTAATTGTGTAGCTGGCAGCAATGCAGTAACCACCCACGTGACCACCGCATCTCTTAATAACAACACTCAGAAGAAACGTCCAAATGATACCATACAAATTGGCTAACAGAAAAATGATGCCCGATGTTGTCCCTTCAGGAACAGGATAAGTTATTTCAGCTGCATATTCCAAACCAATATTGATTAAGCCATTGGAAAAAAATCCAAAAGCACAAAAGATTAAAAAGATTGCCAGAAAACTGTGAACAAATTCAAGAAGCACGGAAAAAAGGAGCATGAGGGAAGCACAGGCTGCGAAAATAGCAACAGTGAGGCTTTTGTACAGCTTAGTTCTATCGAGTAAAATACCACTACAAAGTAGACCAAACATTCCACAAAGTCCAGCCGTAAAACCCATATAGCCAATCTCCTTTTCTTTACCTGGGTATTTTGAAGCCACCATTTGATTAAGCAATGTGTTGTAAGCGATAACTTGGCAGCCTGAAATACTATATGATTGAGCAATTAGATGAAACTGTACATCCTTGATAAGGATGATGATCGATTGACCAAACGATGGAACACGTTGAGCTTTTGACTCCTTGGTGCCATTAATTAGTTTGGTATCATATGGGTTATCTTCTTGAAACAAAAAGCTAGTCTCTGTGTTATGTGCACCTTCATTTATGGCTGAATTGACATTCCCACTTTCAGTATTGTTGCTGGTTCCAAAGTCATTTTCTGAAGAATCCACAATTTCTTTTACCAAGTCTTGTCTTTTTATTTTTAGGACCATTTCTTGAGAACGACTTGGAGGGGTGAGTGGCTCCCTTTTTATGAGGAAGAAACTGGCAACTGCAAGAATTGTGCAAAATACTGCCTGCGATACTAACAATCTGTGCATACCTCGTCTGACGTCATCATTCATGTTCTTGCTGCTAGGAACTAGGGTCCCTGCAAGCAAAAAAGCAACAGCTATTCCGAAATGGTTCATTAGAATTGCAATAGACGAAGCAGTCGCTCTCTCGTTCTCCCCAAACCAAACAGATGCTACTCGTGGTGGAATTGATAAAACAAAGCACTGGCCAAGTGCTGCCAGTGTGGTACCAATAAATACCAGCGTAAAACCATCCCGGTTTGCGCCCATTGCTCGCAAGCAGCTTCCTAAGGCATTGAGAATGGCACCAACAATGATTGTTATTTTTAGGCCATATTTATCTAAGAGGTAAGACGCTGGAATGACAAAAGCTACAAAGAAGAGCCCAAATATCATTGACAGCCAGTTTACAGCATTGAGATCGACATGGTAGTAATCTTTGACGATGCTGGTGATTGATGACAAGCTAATCCAAATTACTTCATTCGACATTGAAATCAAAGAGAACAGTCCCAAAACTACCCACCTCCATTTATATAATTTATAAATCTTCTTAGGTTTAGGCGAAAGCAGTGGTGAACGGATGTCCATTTCTTGTTAGATTCAAAGAGATGTTTCTTGAACGAGCCCTTTGTAAAACAATACATGTTAGCGGGGTCTGTGGTTTTTTAGCTAAACAATCAATACCATCATCTATTCACTCACACAGGAAACCTCATTGTTTTCGAGTTTAAGAGGATAAAAGCAGTAATTTCCTTCAGTCACAAGTCAAATCGGGATGTCAGTCAAATCGGGATGTTTGAATTAGATGATAGATCGGTAAAACACTTGTTGCTGGCCGGTGGTTTTTCTCCGAGTCTTCTTCAGTGTTTACATTGACCACAGATATTTTTAAACGTACAAGGCTCGATACATCGATCGTTGAGTGTCCTTATTTTACCAAAGCCAAAAACTTTGTTTGTAATCTTCTATTCTTCTGCATTCAACATTCTATAGGTCACGATACGCTCCGTTGTTTCGTACACAAGAAACTGTATTGTTACTGGCAGAATAAAACAAACTGTTAAAAACAACAATGATGATACTGCCATAACAGCTGTTTACCCTATGAAAGTGATAGAATCTAACTTTCGGGTCAAAAATTTTCTTCCTGTTTTCATAAGCATTAATATGTGCTCCTTTATGTTTTAAAGCATGGGAGCTGTTGTTCTATAGCAAGTTCGACAAAAATACATTTTTTCTTACTAGGGTATTTCAAATTTTCCTTAGCAACGATTGCTTGTTCAAAATTTTGGTTGCTAGGGGGCTATTTTTATTTGAAAACCACGAAAACTCCCGAAAAAATTGGAAAGTATTCTTTCATCTTTGGACTGCCTGTGGTATGAGTTCTATCCCTATCAGACTATGAGACCTTCAAACGAGACTAAAAAATAGATGAAAGAGGCTACCTCACAACTCAATCATTGGAAATGTCAATCATCATGCCATCTCCCACCTGCGCCTTTCCAACTTTGAAATGCTTCCGATGTCCCTGATTTTAGCTGCATCTTTTAGTAACCTTGTATTCAGACGCTCTCTTCTCTCATGTATACCAATCTTGTTTAACCGAAACAAACTGTGTCATATTTGTTATCTTACCTCCCACAAATTTCTCTAATCTTTTTTGCATGTTTCATTTTACTTCTTTTCTTCATTTGTAATTAGGTTTAATTGACATTGTTTCAATCTTTACATGTATTTTATGCCATTTTGAATTGCTTGATGTTAAAACAAGTATGCCATATACAATTATGCACTTCAAATATGTCATGTGATACTGTAAATACTTGAATTAGCCCCTGGGATGGGGGCTATTTGAGGGGGAGGCTTATACGAGGGGAGGGGCTTATAAAATTATAGTAGACGTCAGAAGACATTATTAAAAGACCTCATATATCTTAGTATGACTTTCTTTATTAGCATTTGATTAATTATTACCAATAGTATGAATCTTTGTAGTAATCAAATAAAACACCAAAGGCAGCCTCAGATGAAAACAATCAACAAATCAAGGGAGCCAATTTGAGGATTTAGGGTAGTAGAGGGAGCTGATTCGAGGAGAGGGCTTATTGACAATTTCTGGTTCTAGGGTGGGGCTTATTCAAGAGGGAGCCTTTTGAAGGGAGCTTTTTTGAGGGAGGGGGGGGTTTGCAATTTGAGGATTTACGGTAGGCAGGATTTACATAATATTTCCTGGTGTTGAGCACTTTCTTTTACTACAATGTACAAGTGGAACCACACCCCTATAAACGCGTAAACAACAGAGTTATACTGGGATTATAATGAACAGTCTCAAACTGTTAAATGTGAATACACAAACACAATCGTAAGCTACATGAAGAAAGATACAAGCAATAAATCTAAATGGTAAGTTTGAATAAAGAATAATACCAAGAATTTGGCTTCGCATTGATATAGCCATCAGATGCAAGTTTTTAGAAGTTACAATATTTTAACAAATCCACATAGACTGGGTGATACCACATTTTAAAAATCGTTTATTTAACAAACAATTATTTAGGAATCAGGAACATTTTGATCAACTTGGCTTCTTTTGAGGGGAGCAGAAACAAATAAAACAAGAATCAAGCTAATTGTGTAGCTGGCAGCAATGCAGTAACCACCCACGTGACCACCGCATCTCTTAATAACAAAACTCAGAAGAAACGTCCAAATGATACCATACAAATTGGCTAACAGAAAAATGATGCCCGATGTTGTCCCTTCAGGAACAGGATAAGTTATTTCAGCTGCATATTCCAAACCAATGTTGATAAAACTATTTGAAAAAAATCCAAAAGCACAAAAGATTAAAAAGATTACCAGAAAACTGTGAACAAATTCAAGAAGCAAGGAAAAAAGGAGCATGAGGGAAGCACAGGCTGCGAAAATAGCAACACTGAGGCTTTTGTACAGCTTAGTTCTATCGAGTAAAATACCACTACAAAGTAGACCAAACATTCCACAAAGTCCAGTGGTAAAACCCATATAGCCAATCTCCTTTTCTTTACCTGGGTACTTTGAAATCACCATTTGATTAAGCAATGTGTTGTAAATGATAAATTGGCAGCCTGAAATACTATATGACTGAGCAATTAGATGAAACTGTACATCCTTGATAAGGATGAGGATCGATTGACCAAACGATGGAACACGTTCAACTATTGACTCCTTGGTGCCTTTAATTAGTTTGGTATCATCTGGGTTATCTTCTTGAAAGAAAAAGCTAGTCTCTGTGTTATGTGCACTTTCATTTATGGCTGAATTGACATTCCCACTTTCAGCATTGTTGCTGGTCCGAAAGTCATCTTCTGAAGAATCCACAATTTCTTTTACAAAGTCTTGTCTTTTTATTTTTAGGACCATTTCTTGAGAACGACTTGGAGGGGTGAGTGGCTCCCTTTTTATGAGGAAGAAACTGGCAACTGCAAGAATTGTGCAAAATACTGCCTGTGATACCAACAATCTGTGCATACCTCGTCTGACATCATCATTCATGTTCTTGCTGCTTGGGACTAGGGTCCCTGCAAGCAAGAAGGCAACAGCTGCTCCGGAAAGGTTCATTAGAATTGCAATAGACGAAGCAGTCGCTCTCTCGTTCTCCCCAAACCAAACAGATGCTACTCGTGGTGGAATTGATAAAACAAAGCACTGGCCAAGTGCTGCCAGTGTGGTACCAATAAATACCAGCGTAAAACCATCCTGGTTTGCACCCATTGCTCGCAAGCAGCTTCCTAAGGCATCGAGAATGGCACCAACAATGATTGTTATTTTTAGGCCATATTTATCTAAGAGGTAAGACGCTGGAATGATAAAAGCTACAAAGAAGAGCCCAAATATCATTGACAGCCAGTTTACAGCATTGATATCGACATTGTAGTAATCTTTGACGATGCTGGTGATTGATGACAAGCTAATCCAAATTACTTCATTCGACATTGAAATCAAAGAGAACAGTCCCAAAACTACCCACCTCCATTTGTATAATTTATAAATCTTCTTAGGTTTAGGCGAAACCAGGGGCGAACGGTCGTCCATTTCTTGTTAGATTCAAAGTGATGTTTCCTGCGCTTCTGATTTTTTTCAAATCAACTCAACATTCGATTGCATTCTTGTATTATTTTGGGTTCTGAATTAGCTTAAAACAGTTCTATTCTGTGGCTTTAGTTGGTTATTTGAGCTTGGAGATGGAGGCACATTTGCGGGATCTGTCGTTTTATCTGAACATTTGGCCTCGTATTCACGTAACCGCGCTATTGAAGTTTTGCATCTAGGGCAGGGACAAGAGCTGTGAACTTCCACACAGGGGCGGACACTTGGTCAAACATTGGGGGGGGGCAAGCCTATTGTTTTAATAAGATGACGTCACATTTCCCATTGTTTTAGAACAAAAGACCATTGTTCTCTAAAGTATTGGGGGGCGATCGCCCCCCCTCGCCCCCCAAGTGTCCGCCACTGCTTCCACAGTCCCTTGTAAAACAGGGTCGTCAAGGGTACATTGTCTACTTCAGAAGTTTCTTGCTTACATCGTTTAGGGATTATAATCAGGTTCCAGCCGAGTTTGGTTTCAGAAAATCATTTTTTGTGTTTTTACATTGTTGAGACCCTCTTAACCAGAGCACACATGTTTGGTTTGACGAATCCCTATTATGCTATAGATTTCTGAGAATAAGCAGTTTCCTATCAGTCTTTTTGTGTCGGATTTAATATAAACAACAGAGAATCTCAACGAAAATGCAATTAGATTGGGTGTGGGCGTGGGTGCGGTCTTAGATGTGACTACTATAATTTGCCTACAGCAAAGTCCCCTCCTAACTTTCAGGACGGCACCCCTGCTTGCAACTACCTTGTATATTTTTTAATCTTCAGAAGAATTCGTTAGACTATGACTATGACTTAACCAAAATGATAGGTAATTAGCCCCTTACACACCCTTTGTTTTGAGACCAATCTAAAACACAGTGTACTCAAAATCGCCTTCTTTTCTACACAAAAAGGCAATTTGGATTAATAGTTTTGACATCCAAATTTCTTAACCCCTTGGCCGTCATAAATTGATTTGGCCGAAGAAGCAAAAGTTGGCAGAATTCTGGCAGCATGTTGCAAAAATCACAAAAAATCCAAAGAAAAATAAATTTTTTACATAGATGATATTCAAATTTGTTTTAGAATGATTTCAAAATTGCAAATAAAGAAACATGAAACAACGTAAAAGATAACAGACAATGTAAGATAAAAGTAAATGAAAGCTTTGTAATACATGAAACCTACAAAGCAAATTTTGATTACACTATCACTCCCCGCAATTGTCAACAATTTAGCTTTTTTGTGTACTGGATTTAGAGCTGGCTGAATTTGGCTGCCAACCAAGCTTTTTCGTCTGACAATATTTGAAATTGGCTGCCAACATTTAGCTTTTTGTTCACTGAATTTAGCTGGCTGAATTTGGCTGCCAACCATAAAATATTTGGCTGCCAACCGTTCCAAACACCTGGCTATACCCTGAAAGTGGAAAGTCACACATTCTTGTGTAAATTGTTTCCATTTGGTGGTGATAGACAACAGATCAATGGAAACAGCGATTTTTTAAAACTATCAAAATTATGCCCGTGTTATGCTAGATTCAAAATTATGCTAGATTTTAAGCTAAATGACGATTTTTGGTCAATATTATGCTGAAAGCATTATATTATGCTAGATCTGGTCACACTGTTACGATGTCACATGTTCCTAATAATAGCTATTAATTTTGAATATTTGAATAATTATGAATATTGCGATCGAATTTGCGCTGCTACTTGCAGGAAAATCAACAGCGCGCGAAGATGGTTAGCACTTGAAATCATGTCCAAGAGGAAAAGGCCTTATCGGTATCGCGTACAATGTGTAGAATGTAACAGTGAGTTCGATTATGACTACCGAGGTTTTCATTTTGAAAAAGCGCATGATGGCAATTTGTTCAAAGGTAGGCCAATTCTAGAGAGTTCGCAGACTACACTACAAGGATTTTTGGGCTAGGCAAGCTGTTAGTGTACCAAATTCTGCGGCTATACTTCCTGCTTCAGAGGATATTCATACCGAAGAAGACAATGCAGTCGATGATGGTGCGAAAAATGACGATGTTGATGTTTCATTGCATGATACAATCGAGATGGAATGACACGAGGATGCTCTTGCCCCACTTGCCATCTCAAATGATGCCAAAATTTGTGCTAGTCAGAAGCAGATAGATGAATCATCTCTCAATGTTGACGCCAGTTCACCATTAACGCCATCTGAGCCAAATCAGCCATTGCTTAAAGAGTATCCTTCAAGGACCTCTGGTAAAGAGAAATATAACCGAAGGTTCCAGCCACAATGGTATAAGAAGTACCCTTGGAGCAGCTACGATACTAACAAATATCAATGTGTCTATTTTGCCTGCAGAGAATTTGGCAAGGATCAATCTTTCAGCTTCAACAACTGTAAAAAGCCTGAAAAACTGATAAAGCACAATGTCAGTGAGAAGAATATCGACTCGATGACTAAATTGATTCTGTTTAAAGCCAGGGAAAAAAGAAACAACTCTGAATTAGATCAACAAGACAGTGCTCATCAGCAACACTATACAAGTTAATTTGTTGAACATTTTGATTTAGCTTCATTTGGGGTAAGAAACCGTGTAGATAAAAATCGTCGAAGAAGAGAGTTGGAAATGAGTTGTTTGATCAGGATTGTGAACATTGTGAGTTTGTGTATCGGGACAAATCGGTACAACATATTTTGAGTAACCGCCAGTATTTACGCATCATAAATGAATGTCTTGCATTTACTGTACAGCAAGGTATTGCATTGAGGAGACATGAAGAAAATCGTTCATCGATATGGGAGGTTTCTAATATCAACAGAGCTCAAGAATCAGTTGAAAAACCTTGCTCAATGGACTTCACCTGATATTCAGAATGAGCATCTAAGTATAATGGCTAATGTGATTTTTGAGAGGATCAAGGCTGAAGTAACTGGAAGAAAATACTATGGGGGTGATAATCGATGAGACCAGTGATATCAGTAAAGTTGAGCAGGTTTCCATCTGTCTACGCTACGTCTTCGACAGGGACACGAAAGAAACTTTTGTAGGCTTCTTCAAGACAACTTCAACATCTGGAGAGGATCTATTCAATCTCGTATAAAGGAAAAATGGGACTGGACCTTGCGAACGTCGTTGCAGAATGTTTTGATGGTGCTTCGAACATGAGTGGCATTCATAGAGGTCTTGCCACCAGAATGAAGGAATCTTCCCCTCTTGGAATTTACATTCATTGTTACGGTCATCGTCTGAGCTTGGCTCTTCAAAGCACACTTGCAGACGTAGAAGCACTTTGAAATGCACTTGGAACGATGCAGAGCCTTTATACTTTCATAGAAGGGAGCATTAAGCGTCAAGCATTGCTGAAAAACATCCAGATAGCAGATGATGGTGACACGATCTTGCTCACATTAAAGTCATTGAGTGCAACCAGGTGGTCGTGCCGCTGGATGGCAGTTAAGGCTATTTATGAGCAGATCTACAATGTGATTAAAGCCTTACTTTTTTGACCAAGGATAAAGACCCAAACACATACCAAGATAGTGAGGCATTGCTTAATGCTGCTCTCAGCATGCATTGCTCTCAGCGATGCTCTCAGCAAATACCTTCATGGCAAAGGTGTAGATGTTGCAAAAGCAAAGAAAACAGCCGATGCGGTGGTCAAGACATTGAGTGGATGTCGAAGTGAAAAAAACTTTGAGCTAGTATGGGATTATGCAGAAGCCATGGGAAGGCAAATAAAGCCAGCCATCAAAGATACAGCATTTGATTTCAAAGAAGCTACACTGCCCTGTAACAGACAACCTTCAAAGAGTGCCCAGGCATTGATAGGAGAAACACCCGGGAAAAAAGTGTTGAATTTCAAAATACGACAGCTCATTATCAAGTAAAGACATATGCGAGTCTTGACAAAGCTATTCTTGAAATTAGTGCTCGTTTCGAAAAAACGACCAAGCTGTAGTATGTGCAATAGCTGTTGCCTTTAGTAAACTGCCAAAGGATGAAAGGTTCCTAAAACTCTCCAACTTTTACGGTTTAGATGAAGAAATGCTGCGAGCTGAGAAGAAAGTGCATGTTAATTACCGTATTGAAGAAAAGGATAATGATGGGAAACAAATGCTGCTAGCCTTGCAAAAACTCTTTGCCTCTGCGACCTTCATGTTGTCCTGCCGGAGTTTTACAGAGCTGTTTCAATGTTAGCTACAATCCCAGCAACATCGTGCTCTGCTGAGCGCTCGTTCTGTGGATTGCGTCGCATGAAAACGTATTTGCGCTCAACAATGGGGCAGGAAAGACTAACGAACACTGCTTTGATGAACATTGAGAAAAAATACTGCAATGAAATGCTCAAATATGATGTCGAGAAGATAATTGATGCTTTTGGAAAAAGGAATAATCGTGACTCACAGTTTTTAAAGTTGACTTTAACCAGATCATTCGTTTTTGTTTGGTGCCAGGGACTTTGAATGACAGTAGGAAATATATTTGAACAGTTGTGCTCGTACGTATGTATATTTCCAAAAAGGCCTGTTGACAGGCTAGTTTGCTTATGAAACATAACCCGTTTTCAGTATTCCAGTTTGTTGTGTCACCTTACTTAAACGAGAAACAATTTGAAACTAAATCTGAAATAAACAATGCTTGTTGAGCTTCAAAGACCTTGAATGTTTTGTTTTGAAAATTGAATAGAGTAAGATATTGATATGATATGTGCCATGCAACCAGAACGCAAATATTTTACCCCCTGCTGTTCTTTCGGGCAGTAAACTTGCAGCCCCCAAATTTTAAGCGCCCTGCGCCGATGGGTAACCTCGACACAACTGAGCACCACCCGATAGAGATGATAATTCTGATGATCCTTTTTTAATCGAAGTTATACTTGAAAAAAATTTGTGTAAATCAATTTTCTCTACTTGGCTGTGATGACTGCGAGCGAGATCAGGGAAGATCATGCAAGAACAATCAAATCGGACTAAATTGCATGGAAAAAAATATCACAGTTTTAATGGCCAGCCACAAGCATTTATTCCCCAACACCCCTATAGAACGTACGTTACTGACATAGCTACTTTTCCAACCAACAGACATAGCTAATTTTCTTTTGAGACTGAACTCGATGTTAATGTTCTTGTTAAAGTTAGGTACATGCCAAACTATGGTGAAAACTGACAATATTTAATATTATTATCGTTATCATTAACTTGGTTAAACAGTTATTATCATGAAAATACAGAGTTCGATATTTGTAATAAAGTTACTTTAGGATTTCGAAAATAATATTTTGGTGAAGGAATAATAACAAATTCTTTACGTCACTTGAAAACAGAATAAACATCAATGGGGCATTCCTTTTAAGACAGTTGCCTTAAAAATTTTATAGAGAGCCAGATATATAGAGAAACACATTGTCTTATGTGTGTATTTGTATTTCTAATCTATTTCCTAAGGACCTGCTATCATTTCTTTGAAGTGCAGTGCATTTGTAAGGCAAGTTTGATCCTTAACTGGTAATAGAAAATTATTGGGTACAAAAAAATGCAGATATCATACACCAAAAAAGAAAATAAAATGAAATTTATTTGGCCTTCATTAAAAATTACATCAAATCTGAATAAGCAACTAAAGGAAGCAGTCTATTTATAAATAAAAACCTCAATGAATTAGCTCTCAAAGCATAAATATTCCAGCATTGGCTCTTAAGCATAAATAACAGCTTATCTAAGAACTACCTATATTCGAAATGAATGGGGGTCGGCAAAGACAAAAGAGATTATGGTCAGTAACTGGCTGTTCTCATAAGTTGAAATAAAAAGGCTCAATCATATTGATATGACAAGTGGAACTCACCACAAGGAATGTAATAAAACTTTTCAATTGTATCAATTATCTATTAATTTTCTTATTGTTTCATTGATTCAAAACATTTAACAAAATTCATATGCCAGCCCTACCCCTGGGCTGTGTTGGCATGGGTGGAAGTAGGGGAAACAAAGGATTCGAGGTAATTGCTGAATTTGTCAGACATTGGGAGAATGAGCATACAATTATACTTTAATGTTAGGAAGACGTCCAAAACATTAGGTTTATTTTTACTGAAAAAGCACTGAATGCAGTGAAAATCACCCTGAAATGCCCAAATGGAGCCAATTCTTGAGGTAGAAGAGCCAATGTTTTGGAAGTCTACTCAAACATTATTTTGGAAAGCTTTATTAAGGATCTTAAGTAGTAGTAGCTCTTCTTGGTGTTTTTTCTTGTTTAACCAATAAGTTGCATTTTCTAACTTGGTTAACTTAGTCTTTAATTATCAAGTTAGCTTAATGATATTTCTATTCATATTTATTGAATCTGACTCTCTATGAGTTTTCCCTGAATTGGACTGTTTATAATTAAAGGGTGTGGTCTCCAAAAATTTTTCCGTGGCATGCTCTGAGCCCCCATTTCAGCCCCCTCATTTAAAGACTGGGGCACAGTCCTTGACTGTAGCCTCAGATTTGGAAAGCATTACAAGGTACAGTTAGAAAAGTTAACATCAAATTAGAAATGTTTGTTTGTTAATACTAATTGCTGCAAGCCATATTGAACAGTTCTACAAATTAGAAGATCTTTGATCCACTTGGCTTCGTTTGAGTGGAGCAGAGACAAATGAAATAAGTACCAAGCTAGCCATATAGCCTGTGAACATTACAAAGCCTCCAATGTGTCCACCTCCTTTTCGCACACCAACAGCAACAATATTAGTCAAAATAATCCCATATATATTCAGAAACAAGAAAAGAATTGCTGAAGTTGTCCCTTCAGGCACAGGATAAGTTAACTCAGCCGCATGTTCCAAGCCAGCAAAGATATATGCATAAGAAAAAAGTCCAAAAGCACAGAAGCTTATAAAGAGCACTACAAAGTTTTTGTAGTATTCAAGAAGCAAAGTAAAAATGAGCATCAGAAATGCACAAGAAGCAAAAATAATTATTGAGAGTGTTTTGTATCTCTTTGTTCTATCAAGTATAACACCACTGAAAAGGATACCAAACAGGCCACAGACTCCAGCTGCGAAACCCATATAACCAATCTCTTTTTCTTTACCTGGGTACTTTGAAATCACCATTTCATTGAGTAGTGTATTGTAGACTGCAACTTGCCCTGTTGCAATCCCATATGCCTGAGATATCAAGTGAAATGACTTGTCTTTCAGGACAAGCAAGATTGACTCACCAAATGATGGAACATGAGAAATTTCAACTTTTGAGTCCTTGGCGCCTTTAATTAGTTTGGTATCATCTGGGTTATCTTCTTGACAGAAAAAGCTAGTCTCGGTGTTATGTGCACCTTCATTTATGGCTGAATTGACGTTCCCACCTTCAGCATTGTTGCTGGTCTGAAAGTCATCGTCTGAAGAATCCACAATTTCTTTTACAAAGTCTTGTCTTTTTATTTTTAGGACCATTTCTTGAGAACGACTTGGAGGGGTGAGTGGCTCCCTTTTTATGAGGAAGAAACTGGCAACTGCAAGAATTGTGCAAAATACCGCTTGCGATACCAACAATCTGTGCATACCTTGTCTGACGTCATCATCCATGTTCTTGCTGCTTGGGACAATAGTTCCTAATAAAAACCCAACAGCTACCCCCAGCATGTTCATTAAGACCCCGATTGACGAAGCAGTTGCTCTCTCAGAGTCTCCAAACCAGACTGCAGCTAGCCGCGGCGGAATAAAAATGATGAAGCACTGAGCCAGTGCTGCAAATGTGTTTCCTAAAAATGCAAGCGTAAAGCCATCGCGGTTGGCACCCATCGCTCGCAAGCAGCTTCCAATGGCATTGAGAAATGCGCCGATAATGATTGTGACCTTTAGGCCATATCTGTCAAGCACATACGATGATCCAATTACAAATATATAAAGAAGCAAAAAAATAAGAGACAACCAGTTCACAGCAATGGAATCGACACGGTAGTAATCTTTGACGATGCTGGTGATTGATGACAAGCTAATCCAAATTATTTCATTCGACATTGAAATCAAAGAGAACAGTCCCAAAACTACCCACCTCCATTTATACAATTTGTACCCTGTCTTCGTCCCAGGCAAAAGAAGCGATTTTTGCTCGTGCGTTTCTTTTTCTCTTGAAGAAAGGGTCTTTGGTCTAGCTTGCCCATCGTTTCTTTGCAACTCCATAATTCGAAGGATTTCGCATAAATGTCCAAGGTCAGAGGCCAGTAAAAGTCTTACCCTCACCAAGAACTCAACGCAACGATAAACGTGGGTATCTATTGACGAGTTTAGCGTCACGAACGGGGGTCACACTTTGTAAACATGGTCGTGGAGAGTAACCATAAACAAAGCAATCTCACAAACACCATTTTTTTCGAACAACATCAAGAAGAAATTCTTTTGAAATAGAATTTCTTCTGGAGCGAATATATAACAGGGGGTATCGTCTATGGGCAGTTGCGGGTTAGATGTTGTGTTTCACCCAGTGGCGGCGCCAGCCACTACGCTCTGGGGGGGAAAAAACGAAAGATTTTAGACCACGCCCCCTTTAGCACCAGAAAACGCCCTTTTACTAACAAGGAACGCAATTTTTACCTGAAGGGAACGCCCATTACTCACTTTCGGCTATGTAAAGGCAGTTTGAAAATCATAGGATTACATAACAAAAAGTACGTTGCCAAAATATTACCCCTCCTCCAACATTTTCTCATCGGATTTAGACGAAATGAAAAATTGATCCTGCCGAGAACAGGGAAGGGCGTGTCCCCGCAGCCCCCCCCGCCCGTGGCGCCGCTACTGATTTCCCCCCCCCCCCAATCCTGAAAAACAGCATTTCGTAGGGCAAAGCAGAAGGAATTAGTAGTTCTCGCAGGGCAAAAGAGATCAGAAATCAAGTTTCACAAAATATCTTAATTTAATTTATTTTTTTATCAAGTCCAAAACATATGTTAGTTTTTCCGATTTGTTGTGGTATTGTAAAGTGAGTTTCTTATTTCCGTGCCCCTCGCGAAGAAAAAGTTACACTGCTGGGATAGACGGTATCGTATCATGGCATAAAATGAAAAGTGTTGGAAATTTTTCTTCTAAAACACACCAAGCAGCATTGGCTGATTTTGCTAGGTTTTCAGTCGAACAAGGACATATTGACATTCAAATGAATAGGCATCTGAAGGACATCATGATTCAGGAGAAGGCTGACGAAGAAAAATGCAAATCGATAATGAAGATTTTGTTTGATATTGCTAGAACATTGGCAAGGCAATGAATTGCTTTCAGAGGCACCGCAGGAGACCAGAACGGAAATTTTGTCCAGTTTGTGAATCTTCTGTCCAGGCACTGTCCACAGATGAAAGAATGGCTTGATAGCAAACGATTGAAGCCTTACAGTACCAGATACATAAGTCCAAATTCACAAAATGAACTTTTAGAGATCATGGGGGAGAGTGTTAGAGAAAGAATAAAAGATGAGATTGAGTGTGCTAAAATGTTGTCGGTTTCGGCCGATACAACACCCGATGTTAGCAATAAGGATCAAATGGTTGTGGCTGCAAGATATAGTGGTGAAAAAGGAATTGCGCGCGAGAGAGTCGTGGAAATGAAAGAGTGCAATGACAAACATGGAGATAAGACAGCAGAATGTATTCTCAAGTGTCTGGAAGCAAATGAAATTAATGTGAATTATCTCTGCTTCCAAACATACGATTTCGCAAATAATATGTCTGGGAGAATTGCAGGGGCACAGAGGGTTCTACAAGATATTCTTGAAAGACCAGTCCCGTACATTCCATGTCAAGGGCATCGATCTAATACTTTCAACGAGCATTGTGCAAAAAAAAGTGTCATAATTACGTCGATGTACGATAATCTTCAGGATATATATGTTTTCTTCAGTGCCAGCTCCAAACGAAACAAAATTTGCAATAAAGAAGTTCAAGAAGTTGATGAGTACTCCTTGAAACTCCGCAACATGTCTAAAACGAGATGGGTCTACTCTTCAGAGTCGATAGAAGCAGTGTGGCGAAGTATACAAAGCATACCCAAAGCAATTGACAAAGTTGTCAGTGACGACAGCACAAAAATGAAAGTAAAAGTGAAGGGTAAAGGCATAAAGAAAAAGTGTCAGTCATTTGACTTTCTTTTTGCATTGATGTTCATGAGATTAATTATGAAGAAAACAAAGATTTTGACGATGAAACTCAAAGCAGACGAGCTTAACATCCTAGATGCAATGAAGTTAATTGAAGCAACAGTAGTAAATCTTAAGAAGATTCGCATTGATAACAAGGCTATGGATGAAGAGTTGGATGCTCTAAACGAGTGCGCTAAACAGCATGGAATAGATTCAGCGGCTGAGTTTAGTAGAAAACATCGACTCAGGTTGCAGCCAAGAAAGATTGACAACGGTCCAGAAACATCAGCGGAATTTAAATTTAATTCCTTCTACAGAACAGAAATGTGTTTTGTTCTCGATTCTCTGATAACAGAGTATGGTGAAAATATCAAGGCATGCTTCAAAAAAATTGAGCCATTGGCAATGGCGTTGCAGCCACCACTCAAAACGATGAACCCAGAAACAGTCCACACGATCTTCGAAAGCTTTTCCCACCAGGCTTTCATATTGAAGCTAGATGTTTTCAAGTCAATTGATTGAACAGCAACTGATCCAGCCAACTTCCGTCAAAGAGGCTGCGAAATTTTAATTTGAAAACAGACGACTTTTCCCAACGGTTTACAAATGCTACAGCCTTGTTCCTACAGCACCTGTGTCTGTGGCTAAAGACGAGCGACCCTTAGCAAACTTAAAATTGTTAGAAATTTGCTGCGATCAAGGATGAAAGGTGAACGATTGAATGATCTCATTCTACTTGCTTGTGAAAAAGACCTAACAGACACTATCCCACTTGATAAAGTATTAAAAGTATGGCATGAAAAAAAAATGAGAAGAATTGCAATTAAGTAAATTAGTGTGAAAGTAGACTAATTATTGACTTTTTTATTGCAATTGTTGGTTTGTGTTCCTTTTTGAAAATAATATATGTACTTATGTAATATATGCACAGTACTTACATAAGTACAGTACTTCTATACTTGTTTTACAGGAAAAAATTTTGCAGGGCAATAGTGTTTACACCCCCCCCCCCAAAAAATTAGTGAAGTGACGTCCCTGCACAGTCCCTCGGGAATGCTACAGGTTTCAATGTTGGCAGAATGCTTACTATTTTTGAATTAGTAGGGGCAGCGTCTGAGAAGTAGAATCGTCGGTGTAGAACTAGGGGCTCCGGGGGCTGCCCACTTTGTAAATGCCAAAAAATTTTCCCTTTACTGGCTTATTCAGCATAAGAAAGTTTACAGATCATGTACAAATTGTTTATTTTTTGGTGATATATAATGTATTCATAGTTTTTCTTAGAATACTTGTTTATGCATGAATGAACGAATGAATAAATGAATGAATGAATGAAAGAATGAATGAATGAATGAATGAATGAATGAATGAATGAATGAATGAATGAATGACGGAATGAATAAATGAATGAATGACGGAATGAATAAATGAATGAATGACGGAATGAATAAATGAATGAATAAATGACGAAATGAATGAATGGATGAATAAATGAATGAATAAATAAATGAATGAATGAATGAATAAATAAATGAATAATTGATTGAATAAATGAATTGATCAACTTATTAATTAATAGAGTGTTAACACTGCTAATTTCCCAAAAAGGATTTAAAGAGTGAAGAAACCCAAAGCCTTAATAACGAAAAATACTTTAGATACTATGGGAAAAATTTTCGGCTAGACGCTAAGGATGGGTCTGTGCATGAATGACTCTCTATAGAAAATTTGGAAAGAAAATTTACTCTTAAAGTTGCAAAGATTTTAAAATTTATTAAGCAAATTAAGTAACCTGCAATTTATCGAAACTCTTATTAAAAAAATAATGTCGAATTTACGAATAATAAAAATTTTTTTTAGATAACAGTTCTCCTCCAATCGTTGCTAGAAATGAATTTCTCAGAGCTACGAAAGCTTTATTACACGCTTTTCAAAAAGACTACGGTGTTGATAGACATTTGAGGTTTTGTAATCCAATAGAACTTCACAACTCACTTTAGGGTAATTTCTCGGTAATGGTGAATCAAGTTAAGTGCTTAAGTCAATCATGTACAATTATGATCAATCTGTGGTTTAGGTTCAATTTTTAATGGGAGTTAATACTTTTATTCATTCAATTCTAATCTTATTGAATTTCGCAGATATATTTTTCGAAATCGGTCTGATTTCATGGAAGCAAGAAAGAAATTTTCATCATCTCAAGGCTTTGCAATAACAAAATGTGAAAACATTAAAATTGCTAAATCATAACTATCTGTATATTCAATGTGATTTCATGCTTTTTACAATTTCGAAATTACTTTAACCAAATTTGTACAAATCATAACCAATCATCTACAAGTTCGAATAAAATTAACAATATAAGTCAAGAATAAGAATCAAATTTAACAATCAATTGAATCAACTGTATGGTATCGTAAATGACCGATCCTAGGCCTATTTCTGAACTAGTGCCTCTACTTGAATGAGTATCCACGATTACTGAATCTACATAACCTGCAACTTGTGTCGCGATTCCATTGAGAGACCAGTTGAAAAAAACATTACACTGTGTAACACTAGCCTAAAGTCAACTCTAGAGTAGGTTAGACCAACTAGAGAATTGTTGGAATGGTTCTTCGTATGCAGTTTTTAAAACACCTGTTTTTCTCGAAGAATAAGTCAAATTGAAAAATGTGATAAACACAGCAAAATACCTACATACAAGAGCCTACAGCCTGCCACAAGCATGTAAGTGGGTTTGATTCAGAGAGCATCTTTCTGTAAATTAGGATTTCCTTTCATAATATAGCAGCTTGTTTCTATAAGATTAATCGTGCTTATTGTTTTAAAGATATCAGTTATGTCCTCATTTTGGTATTTCGAGCTTTCATTAACTACATCAAAATTCATAGCTTTTCTATTTTTCAGTGTTTTATTTGTATGCGCTATATCGTCTTGGCGATTCACCAATGTAATAAAAATGTTATCCAATCTGTGTGCATCATATATCGTTAATTTCTGCTATTTCTTATTTATCTCTACGTCTGACACCAAAATAACCATCTCTTGAACACAAAATTTTTGAAAATTAGTGTGAACAAGATATTTATAGTGTGAATAAGAAACCTTAAACACCTTTCTTAGCCTTTAAAATGTTATTCATAGGTTTTCAAATTGGGGATTTTCACTGTACAAGATTTCCTAAGATTGCCATTGGTTTAATTTTTAAGGTAGTTCTGCTCCCATTTCCCTACCTCTAGGTCACTGTGGGGTAACCTTAAAAAGTTGCCTGCCTGTAAGCGGCTAAAACGCTCCAAAAAAGAAAAATTTATTATAAAAATATTGTTTGGTTTTGTCCGTTGAAAATTAAACAAACTGCCATTAAATGGACGTGAAACTCTGACAAATAGAGGTACCATTATCCAGGAAAATGGGCTGCAGCAAGTCTCGTCTTTGAGAAACGTAGGACCGGCTAATTTAGGCGACTTCTGTCATTCTTAAAGTACTTCTTTCTGTGCAGCTTGAGGGGAAATCTTTAACTACGGGATGAAAAAATTTTTCAAGAATTCTTGTTACTTAGTAAAACAACTACAACACAGTTAAGTAAAAGTATCCGTACAGTGAGAACACTCCATCTGGAGAAAAATCTATAGTTGAAGAAGCCTTTAATTTTTAAAGATTTGAAGCAAGGGCAATAATAAGATCGAACCGCAGCTGTTCTTTCAAAATAAGGGTAATGATAAATAAGGAAAAATCTAATCGTTCAAAATCTGTAATGCTATGCAAGGAACACGGTGAAAAGTTTTAAGCAGTATTTAATAGTTTGGAGAAAAATCAACAAAAAGAAATGATTCCAATATATACATTTAGTGGCACGCTAGATAAATCGAGTTCAGTAACTTATTTTTACGAGATTCTTTTAAGGCCTAGTCTACCTTCACCGTGGAGATATTGGTTTCTTATCAAGTTGCATAAGTGCTTTTTCGACAGCAATGTGCACAATATTTAACATGAAGAAGTCTTGTAGAAGGGCCGTTTTCAAAGTGTGACACAGTTCGTACTGAAGGATATTGCCTAACTCAATACTTATTTAGAGCATAACCTTGCTTCAAACGCTCTTAATATTTTGCTAAATACTAAGGGATGAAAAATTTACTCAAAGGATTGAGAATTGATTCTACTGGTAATCATTTAAGTAGAATGAGATTGAGGTATTTCTTAAAAGATGCAAAATATTTGTGAAATTTTTGTCACATTTTTCTTAACGAGATATCTCTAATATCATTGCAAGCTTATTTTGGATTGCAGGGACATCAATAGCATTAAATTTGGAGGGACACGGGTAAGAAGAGGTAGGTTCTTTACAAAAAGTTCTATTGAGGGAACTTCTAAGAAAAGTGGGATTTCCCCAAAAGTGAAGGAACACGGGCTCCTGGTGTCCTCCAACTCCGACCTCCTCTAGGAGGTGTTGCACAAAGTGGGTTTCCACTATGACTTGAAATGCAAAGAGCATTTGAAAATTCATGTTAGTCAACAGCAGAAAGCAAGCAACAGCAGCAGAAAGCAAGCAAAAAGTCCACTTACCAGTAATTTTACCAGGATATTCCGCTTTAGACACATGACTTTTACACAATTCCCTACGAAGGAAAGAGAGCTTTTTTGACGATGATGAAATAAATTGACATCGTTCTGTTTGCCACTTTAAGAAAACAAGAAAGACAAGTTATTATGAATCTCGGAAAGTTCTCCTAACGAGTCTTTAATACAAATCGTGCTCGATACTACAGTGTCTTATGCCTAAGACTAGAAGAAAAATACCTAAAACAATTGAGCAGAGCCTGAACCTGCTTTAAATTTTGACAGAAAGAAAAGGATCATTCAGGATTATTACATGCATTCTATCAGAAACCTAAAAACCAAGAGAAGCGTCCCAGTACCTTCTTGCAAATGTTGGAGTTTGAGTAACAGTTTCTTTCTAAATTTGTTTAGCATCTAAACACACCGCAAAATGCAATTGAAAATGCCAAATTGACTTGGTTCTTTGATGCTTTGATTTTCCCCTTAGATGCAACGAACAAAGCCTCGAAGGCATTTGTGGCCAGTGATTTGAAATTCTTTCTCAAAAGACAAGAAACACAAAGCAGAGATGCAGTCGCCCAGAGCCTAATCTAGATGCTGGTGGTTTAAACAACTCTCCACAGCAATTCTAAAATACGAAAAATCACACCCCCGTCTTTACAGCCAATATCTTTAAGGCAAGAATAAAGACACGCCAATATCCATAAAAGGAATGAAAATACCATCCAAATAAACTACGAAGAACTCAAGAGTACTTTCTATTCTAAATGAGTCATTTTTAGACAAAAGCAATATTAAAGACGTACCTATAGGTGCTTGAGGCCTTTAGGTATTGTCTGCATAGTTTTATCTCTTTAAAAAGCCTTCTTGCATCGTCTCCTTCAAACAGCGGCATGCTTTCACACTAGTAGCATAAGGAAAATATCAATCATAATGGTGAGCAGAAAATTCCAGCCAACCATACAGAGTAAATTCTGGAAACTTTATCAATTATTTCTGTTGATATGCTTTAAATATGCCATTGCGATTGTTAGTTTGCGAGAAAGGTAAATAAAGGTTATTTAGATTCTTGCAATTTTTCTCTTTACATCTACTTAGAAACATTGGACAATAATAGAATGCGCTCTATGAAAAAACAAAGTAGGCCACCTCTTCATCATTGTAATCTTTGGACAGCAACTTCTGAGTGATGACTTCAATGCCAGCCATTGTTTGGTATCGATGATATCTAAAAAGATTCATAATAAGCCATTACAGTAAGGAAGAAACTCCTTTTTCAAGAGGAAGACTATTCTTTGATCTTATTCTAAGAGTGGATATGGTTATTTCAGGGACAACGGTTCATATTCTAAGAATTATATTCTTTGAACCAGGGTGAGAAAGGAGCCAAAATAATTTATATGAAACCCTTCTATTTAATATTTCCTCTAAGACACGACATTGTTTATTGATGTATTACAGAGTTTGAGGGGAGGGGGGTAGCTAAAACAATTGCCAACACGCAGACTACAATTGCAAGTGATCCTTGGTCATCATGCGAAATTTCAAGAACATAACTGTTTTATTAGGAGCATTTATATTTCTCTGTCTTCAAAAAGGTATTTTAACATAAGTTGCTTAATCAAAGCAAGCCAAACCGTTATTAAAATCTTGGGGTATTCTCGGCAAGGATTTACTGTAAGTAAGACAATCTAATTCACAAGAATATGCAGCTCTGTCAAAGGCTGAGAAATCAAGTCTCTTCAAAACTCAATATCAAAAGTTATCTTTCTTAGAAACCAACCCACAATAAGTAGTTCGGAAAGCAGATAAAAAATTTTATAATGAATTGGGTCTATAAAAAACTGATTTATAGCATGGTAAGCATTTGATTTAAGAAACAGTTATGAAAATGTTAGTTTTTCATCTGACACTGTATATAAAATGGCTTTTTAAAACACTCATACCTTCCTCCAGTTTGAGTCGCAAGGAGCTGAAGAAACCGATTAGCAATGCTAGAAAATTTAAAATAAGCTATGATAAATTAATAGGCAATTGGAAAATATAATCGAATAGTGAAAAGATAAATGAAACTATAACAAGAGTTAGGGCCTAAAAACAATATGAGGTAAGTCCATCATTACAATTCAAGGTAAAGCGACAGCTTCAACTACAAAGTGTTTTTCTTCAGCTGTAAGACAGAAATTTTGATAGACAGCTGTAAGACAGAATAATCAGAACAGAGTATCAAGAATTGATTCTTTATTTGGAAAAGTTCATGCATATGATGCAACTGGTAGAAAGGTTCCTGAAATTGCAGTATTTGGGAGACACAGCACGACGAAAAAAGGAGTATCTGAATGCCTGTAGAGACTTTTGTGGTGCGTGCATTCAAATAAACATTGATAAAGTTGATGGTTGAAATATAAAATATCTGCCTTTGCAAAGTTTAATTGATGTAACAAAAAAATGGCATTTTCTTTCCTACTTTGAAAAAGAATGAATAATATTGAAGTTGAAGAAGAGAGCAGAAATTTGCACACACTTTGTTTACAAACCAAAGACATTATAAGAATGCTGAATTTTCGTCACTTTGCAATGAAAAAAGCAAGGCTATGAATCATAGATATATTGTTATCTAGGCAACAAGGAATGGTGCTGAATAATATTCTTATCGACAACTCAACATCACATAAACATGGCCTACAGACCTATCTTCACAATTGAAGGAAATTGTATGAATCTTGAGTTTCTTTTCGGCATGCAGCGTTGCTACTTCTCGCAATACACTGGATGTGCTTGTATCCTGTGGAAAATGGAATAAAAACTTGAAATTTTTGTAGCAAATGTCACATTCACTCAAACATAGAAGATACTATATGACTTGTAAAATGGATTTTTCTAAACAAAAAAGATCTTCTCTATTGATTTCTAAAAGTCTCTTTCAGATTTTTGAATTTTGATTCCTTTCGAGCCGGTGAAATCAAATGTCACAACGGTTGACCAGCTGTCTGTGATTTTTTCTTTTCAGCACAGTTATTAACCTTACTCGTAGCCTGGCTGGGTTTGATCAACTTGTGTGTTGATAATCATGTTAGTTTTACTCATAAAAGAATCAATTGAAGAAGAGCAGAGTGGAAAAAGCAGTTGGCACCAAGGCTGTTGACGATCTCGAACAAATATTTGGAAATAACTGGAAAAGAGCAGGGTAGATAGGCAGGGTAGATAATCTAGTTTATGAAGGAATCTAGACACCCAAAAGAACACGCCAAACAACAAACGCTCAATAAAAACAAAAAACAGCAGCAACAACAATTAAATACGGTATTGGACAAATAAGATAAAGAGGGTTTATTCTAGAACTTGTTTACCACGTGAAATAAAAGATTGTATTACACTGAATGAATCCAAGAAAAAAATCAAAGCTGGAAACCTGAATCTGCAGTGTATGCGAACAGTATATTCAAAAATAGGGGTCGTAACTTGATTTAGGGTGATTTCACTTACAACGAGTGTATCCTATTTCTAATCTTGAAGCCATGTAGCTTACGTGTCTACTTTTCAGCACTAACAAGGAGAGGGAGTTACTTTCTCCCCTGAACTTTCTGATTCTACGACCCTGACTACGAGCAATAAAGAAATGACCCTCAAATCTCAAGGCGGACGAGCGACTTGTGACCAACTGCTTCTGATTAATTCGAACAAAAGCTTTAAAGTTTAAAAAATAATCCTCTGGAAACTTTTTTCGGAGAGATAGAATCCATAATTAGGCACCCAACTGGGTAAATAACAAGCTCAACTCTTTGTTTTATTCTTTATTTATCATTTAAGTGCTACTTACTGGTTTCCCGTCCGAAAGAAGGTAGATAGCATCTAGGCCTTCGACTTGAAAAGCAAGCTGCAAAACAAAACGTAATTATTTTATTTTTTGCGACGAAAAGATGAAAGCTTTGATAGAAATAAGCCATCCTACGCTTATAGGCACAGGACATGCGCATTAACATCTATCAGAACTGCGCATGCGTATTGAAAACAAGGACGGGTTCGATAGCCTACAGAGCAGTTAAAATACAGCCTCATGTCAACTGGTACGACCTTCTTCTACGACCTTCTTCAAACAAACCGGCGATGATAAAGTTGGTTGTTTAATTCAACAAGCAAAGCTGTTGACTTTGACAAACAGTTTTGTTTTGTGGACCAAGCAAACAGCTAAAAACTTGGACAGGAATGATTGGCTTCCAGATTCTATTTGTATTTGCTACCTAGCATCCAAAGGTAGTTCTTAGGATAATGAGAGGCTGTCCTTCCTCTTAATGGGACCTCGAATGTGACCACGCCTCGTGATTTCTACGCCTGGATTTGCAGAGAGCTGGCGACTCTCCTCACTCTGGGTGAGAGTTTGGTCATGCCAGGGACTCGAACCACGGACCCTTGGATCTGTAGTCAGCGCCTCTCGCAACTGAGCTATCCTCCCACCTAGACTGTGATGTATGGGGAATGTCTTGAAGGGCTCATGATAACATCTTAGATACTAATCTTACTCTAATTTGTCTTTCACCTGACCTTCTACACTTTAACACAGGAAATATATGGTAAATCCGGTATAAACCCTTAAATTATATCAAGACCATGTGGTTACTGGTGTTTGGTCGAACAATCAATTGCTCGGCGGGGCATGGCACACCTTTTTGTACAGAATGACACGAAAACTTCACGTTGCCAAGAAAGCTTGCTTGCTCATTCATTTCTAGCTAATTCTCTTTTCTCAAGGTATGTCATTGTATCTTTTCGCTGCTTGATTCTAAGCCAATTATTCCTGGAAGATCAATTATTCATTAAAATCTAATCATTTTATCCATAAGGATATGGTTTTTTCACGCTGTTGACGTCATAACCACCTTCTTGGCAACTGCTCTTGGCAACCGTCTTGTTGCTCTTCCTATTGAAATAACTGCTCTCATGTCCCTAGCTGCCCCCAGTTGCCCCCCCCCTAAATCCGCCACTGTGTCCGACTAGCTGATTTTCCATGACTTGTATTATATATTTTGTAGATAAATAATAATTCCAAAAAAAGAGACGGTAACGATGTAAGCAAATGAAAATTGACCAAAAAGGGAAAATGGTTGCACACAAAGTTTAGAAGGATTGAAATGAAAAAATTACTTGTCGAGATGACACCCTTCAATTGTTTATGCCACAGAGGACAAAAACCTCGTCTTCACCTTACTCTACATTCCCCAATAATGGCCTCGTTGAGGTATCATAGCAGAAGAGAGAAAGAAAACTGACGTTCTAACCTTTAAAGCGTCGATAGTGCATGTGCCGCCATAGGCTTCGAATTGCGAAATCCACTCGATTGCTTTTTTGCACTCCGTTTCATCAGGCCTAACCAAAGTCGCCTGCCACAGCGTTGGTGCCGAAGAATACTTCATTATGCTAAAACTGTCAGAGATACACATTGATCAAAGACTGTCAAATAAACTGATCTAAGTAAAGAGAAGGTAATTTCAAACTTAGGGTTTCTTTTTCATTTTTCTTATTGTGTTTACGATTTCTTCGTTGTCGATTCTTAATAAACTATATTGGCCGACATATTTTTCTCATTATTTCTTCTAAAAGTCCTGCTAGAAATGGAATATAAACTGAACAAAACCGTTATAGTTACTTTAAGTAACTTTAAAACTGATACGTTCAGTCAACCAACGAACAAACAAAGAAGCCAAACTTTGAATTAATAATAAGTTCAACATCATTGCTAATTCTGTTTACATCGTATTCCATAATAACAAATCAGGTTTTCGTAGTAGGTTACATAAATCACTACTGGTGCAGTTTTATTCTTCAAAACAAGGGCCCACGCTACGAATTTCAAGGTGGTGGGGCCAAGTTCTATACATCGAACTTGAATTTAGTGCTTCAAAACAGGGACTCTATGGAAATATTTCTGATTACCAAACAAGTGGGGGGGAGGGGGGGGAGGCCATGGCCCTGGCAACTTGGAAAAAATTGCTGGAAAGCTCAAAAAAGTACATTTAAGCCATATATAGCTAACAATTGACATTATTGACAAATGGTACCCCAAAAACCCTGCATATTTTCGATAATGTTAATTTCTTCCCTTATTTCGAGGTTATGCTCATGCCTAAATGGGGCCTTTACTCTTCAGTCACCAAATGTTTCTGTAAACAACCTTGGGGTGGAGTTTTTCGAAAGTGGGTTTTAATTTTCTTTAAATAAACAGGGAAAAGATACTGTAAAGAAACCTCTATATCAAAGTCAGAAACATGCACTGATCTGGTGCCCCCTTCCAATTAATAAGGGCATCTGGGTTTTTTCATCAAAGCATTAACAAGTGGACAAGGTGGTTATTTTGACACAGTCAGATGGGATACTGGGATGGGGCGGAATTCCTGGAAAAGGTCAGCAGCGAACGTTTACACTATTTTCATGTTTGCCCATATGTAGAGTAAAAGAAAAAAATAATAAAATCAGAATCGACAGGTTCTGAAGGTTTTCCCAACCAAGCCCATTAGGCTTGGTAGTACCTGCTTTCAGAGGGGCCATTGTTCCCAAGCATGAATAAAGTTGACGAATGGCCTTAATTTCAACAATGGGACAATAAGCGCTCCCAGGAATATAGAGTAAAATGCAATACTACTCACTTAATGTTGTTAGCATGCAGTTGCTCCCAGATAATCACAGCTAACTCTTTTTTCAATTCATCTATACTTGTGACCATAGAGCCAGATACGTCCACGAGGATAATGACATTTTGTTCTATAATTGAGCCAAACACTTTTCGACTTCCTACGAAATACAGAAAAGATGCGATGAATAACCCGATAAATAGGTTTTATGTCGCAATATTTGACCGGTTCTAAATCCTGCTCGCTTGTAACACAGACGAATAAGGTTATTTTAGAATGGTTAAACAGCAAATATGAATGAAAAATCTAGTTCTCCATTAAAATAACTTGGCGAGTTGCCTTTTAATGAAACTTTTCTAAATTGAAGCTTGTAATAAACTGAGTTTATAGGCTGATAAGCCGTGGAGCAAGGCTTGATTTAGATCTCAACTGAACTAATGAAAAAAATCGGCGAAAAGATACGATGCCTTGTGTAATACTGTAATGATAGCTTGTCTGTTTCAAGTCATGCTTATAACACTACTTGAAGTTGCTTTGCCCTAAAAACCCTTCGTAAATAACAGAGACTTGTTTTGGTAATCATTTTTGAATTTTCCTAAATTATTTGTGACTGATAATGATATTTCTTTTTTAAACTAAGGAAAACAAATCATGGAAAATGCAAACAAACACAGGATTACTCTTACGATCTGAAACCTGTCAATTATAGCACTAAGTTGATTAACCAATCTTTTTGCTATCCTAAACACAAAAATGTTTCATAAATGCAGTTATTGTGACGGCCACATAACTGAGGGCAAGAAACTGGTATTTTCGTACACAAACATGGAAAATGCTGCGTAACCGACAAATTACCTGTTTACAATCATGACGCGAGACGTAGCTGTTTCTGTAATTATTTTCAATTGCGAAGCATGTTGATAATACAAAGCACAGCACAAAAACAACCGGGAACTAATCGAGCCTAGCTTAACAAATCATTATGCATTGAATGGAATCCTAAAATTGTACAAGAATTTTTCATAAAAATAAACCATTAGAATTCGGATCCAAATTCGAAAGGAGATAGAAATAAACCTTTGCTTACGTCAAAGAACTCCTTATAGACTGTTTGAAGGCTTAGCACATAACTTAAAACAAATTACAGAAAAGCAGATAGAATAAAGTTGATAAGGCAGTTGACAAAAGGAATCGACTATGTTTAGAATTAAATAAGAAGTCTATTGCAAAAAATCACAAAATTGCAACAATATTAGTACAACGCCCAAAGATGTGTGTGGCAATATCAGTCTTTTTCAATTTAGAAAATTATGAAATCGTGTTTGTAATATATATGCAACTTAAGGGCTACTAGCGAAGAAATTTTGAAGAAAAAGGGGATTAAAGAGTATTAGAGGGTTATCTTTTAAAGTTCAAAAGGGAGAATCTGGTTTTGGCTTATGTTGAAATAATAAATGATACTGGCCTAATCCTTTGAGATTTCTTTTCATAATCAAACTTATTAAACCACTTGCATTTTAATTTGCCGTTTGCTCTAACTACATGGAAAAGACCGATCTGTCCAGGTTCTCTAGCGGAATATGTAAATAATAAAATGTTTGATATCACTTGGTGACTCTCTCCCGCAATGCTGGGTATCACTGAATGCTGATACCAAGGGGTATAATACGTTATGTCCCTACTGTAGCACGATGTTCCCACTATTTGGAGAAGAAAGGAATTTCATTTGGTACCGAAGCTGTCTGAAAGCGAGATCGACTTTTTAACACATAAGCACGGCTGCATATCAAAACCGTTCAGAGATAAGTTTTAGGCAGATATCAAAACAGAACAGCAGAAATTAGGAATAAAAAGTGAGAAAACACAGTTACAGTTAGTAAAAGGGCATATCTATGCGAGGCTAGTAGAAGGTTCATAAATATAATCAGTAACAATCAGAAATGAATTAGAAGAATTTTAAATGAACAAAAAGTAATATAAAGGTTTAGTCGTTCAGCTAAGATTTTATAAAAAAAGTAATATGGATGGGAAGCAAAGATTAGCTGAAGGAGATATTAGAAAACGATAGAGGTATAGCGTTTAGGACAGATTGTGAGCGTTTTTAGGGCCTGCTGAATTTAGTTTTCCACTTACAATTCTAATGAATCGTTTAGTTTGGCCAAATACTGTTTGAAAATTACTGTTTTACTGCTCTGTCATAAAGTGCTCGATAGACAGGGTGGTGCACTCGTTGGTGGGTAGAACAAGTCACATCTCTGAGGTTCATGTTAAATGAGGTCGGCAGGCAACTTATTACCAAAGACAAGCATTCTCGTAATGATCAACTAAGATTGCAGATGTAGGGGGAATTTGATTAAAGAATTGCGCAAAACTGTGCAGTTGAAGCAGTATACCAATAAAGGTCACATGAAAACTGTAGGCACATTCTTTGATAAATTTTGACAACATAATGGATCACTTCAAATTTAATCAAATGTCAGTTCGGCCACAAACGTCGCTGTATGTGTAAGAAGAGTTTAAAAAGTTGGCTTTGAGTAATCAAATAACTGTATCTTATGATTAGCTTTCAAGTGGATTTCGCGAAATTCAGCAATATTTACACCGCAACTAATCGTTAATTTTGCTGATCCAATAAAATAGGAATAACAAGTATTACCGGGTGATACTTCATTAAGATATTATAAAACGGATTGGGAATATTTTACAAATGCCAATCAATGATGTTAAATGAGCACAAAAGGGCTGCCTGTTCATGGCGATATAGTTGAATGTCAATGGGATATTTGCATTGCGTGATGCAAACGAAACAAGGATTGTTAAAGATATGCTTATCTCAGTTTCGAGCCGAGAACGAAAAGCAAAATTCGTGAAGCCAACATGAAAATGAACTAATTGTCAGCCCCAATGACATTGGCTTGAATGACGTCATCACAAACAAAGGAACTATGGTTATAGTAAGACAAAATGCCAACGGTTACAGAAAATGCTAATGGTAACAGGAGATGCCTACGGTTACAGAAACTTCGAGGAAGATTCTGATCAAGGTCGCCAGAGGCTGCTTAATGAAAAAGCAGATCGCACTCACCGCTTAGAAGCCAATGCAGTCTTTTTACGTATCGTTTTAAAACTGAAGTTAGTTTGTCTTCATACTCCTCCAGCTCTCTCGGTTGCAATTGTAAATGCTTTGGCTTACCCTACGAAAAATTACGTAAACAAAAATTATTAAGAAATGCATTCTTCAATTTTTTTCTAAAAAAATTCAATTTTTTTCGTAGAAACAGAGAAAGAATTTTTTCTCCTGAAATAGTCATATATTGAAATTGTTGAAGCAATAATTTCATGCTTGATAATTTTGATACACCGATCTAGCAATTTTATTGCGAAACGATGCTTGAAGAAATAACAAATGTATCTTAAAAACGTTTATATAAAAGCCAGTTGCTTAAAATGGCACATACATTCTATCAAGTACCCATCGTTAACAAAGTTAGTGATATTTGAGACCAAGGGCGTCAACAGAGAAGCATCTTCAAAGAGAACTAGAGGACAACCTTAGGGTTAGTTGCAGCAAAAACATAAAAAACTCCACAACTTTTTTATTCCACAAACCATACCAACATAACACTACGAGATTGTTCATAAAAACATCGGCTAATCACTACATTCCAATGTCAGATGATTTCGGCTGATTTGAAGTCCCTTTTTCGATAACTGAGAGAAAAGGGAAAATGATCCAAACGAATGTTCCGCTTTGAGACACACTCGGTACAACTCAGGCGGCATGGTTGCGAGGATAATACATTAACCGAATATGTTCATCCTACAAATGACTCCTTATCGTAAACAGGACTTCATTAAAGCCGCCAGATAACGGAAAAGGATTTAAATACCGGCCGTATGTCTCATTTATCCAACCACTTAACTTTCATCCATCTCCTTCAGTCTTAAGGGCCTAAGTGGGCTGACCTGACATCAATAGAGCACTTATAGTATTTGCTTAATGGAACCACGACAATCGAAATGCAGTAAGGCACCAAAGGGAGGCGCACACGGTAGCAGTTTGTTTAAATGCATTCTAAAGATATGCCAGGGTTGCCTTCAATGGCGTAATTTACTTGCGAGAAACTGTTGCTTGGTAACAATAAGAAATACAAATGAACACAGATAAAAATTTCCATGCTTCCTGGAACACCTTACTGGAAATCCTCATTCTCAAAGACTATATACAAAAAATCTAATTGTGATAAAAATTGTCCAGACTGAATTAGAAATTTGTAATACTACCCCACCACCAAAAAATACTTTATGTGCCACCTCCACCCCCAGTTGCCTACAAGTAAAAGCTATATATTAAAAATTCGTTTAGACTTACATTGAGCAGCACTGTTGGGAAAATCTCGCAATATTTTGCATTGACAGCTTTGCCCAGCGTCGACACCTTGCTTTGCGAATGCGAGCAATCTGTGGTATTCACGGTCGAGTTGAGGTCTAGTTTCAGTTTTGATAAATTGTACTTTCGTAGCCACTGCAAAAGGAGGAGGTTAGAAAATAAGTATTTATATTCATGTAAATCAGCTGAGTAGAAGTGGGAGTCCCGAGGTGTCATTCTTGTTTATTCTCATAGTTTGTAAACCAATGACTTAACATGTATACAAAAATTTTGAGAAGGAAGCGATCTGATGAAAATTTTAGAAGCGTATTTAACCCGCAGCAAGAGACTCAGCTTAGCATGCTTGCAGAATTTACAAATAGCGTAAACAGTCTGCACGCAGGCTAAACGGAGGTATGCTCTTAGAAAAGAGAAATGCTTCAAAAGTTTCCAAACTAGAGTATGATTCATTACATTGCTGATAGCCATTTGTTAATGTTGATAGGTATGCACGTCCCATTAAACCGCAAGTACAGCTGATAAATTTTTACTGTTTAGTGCCAAGATGGGAAAGAGGGGCGAGAAAGTTGGCGTAGAACATCAACTGGCATACGCCAAAATCACGTGCTCGCGTTTCTGATTGGCCTATCTCGATCCACAACTGGGTACATATATTTCCCAGCTACATGTTTTGATCTATGTTCTGACGTTTTCTATTCTGAAGAGCGTCAGACAAAAAAATTGAGTATGACCCAAAATGTTTGCTTTTTTCAAAGCCAATTTTGAACAAAATATAGTGGAACTGAAGTTATTTCTCAAGATTTTGTTAATAGCCCCACCCTGTTCCCACAAAACAATTGCTGTTTGTTATCAAAGCGCCTCGATTACGCAGCATTGGTTAAGTTTGGTATCAGAAATCCAGAAATATCAAATCCATCTCATCTGATAGGAGCCGCAGAAATGGTTCCTCATATTTCTTAGTGACTATATTAGCGACAAACCGTGAACATTGGGATTTTGTCCAATGGAAACTACGCGTATTTGCTGGTTCAATTTGAATTATATTCAACGTCATCATAAGTAACAGAGTGGTAATATTGAGTATGGACCTCAAATGACAAGGAGCAGACACAAGGAATGCTAATCTGTACTGAAAATATGCTTAAGGCACTTGAAGGAACCAGGGAAGGGTTATGCTTGAATGTTAGAGGAAACGGTTTAGCTTTAGTTGAGAAGACAAAATATGATCGATTGGTGTTCAAGTGAACAATAGTCTCGATTGGAAAAGGCACATTAAATGCGTCTCTGCCAAAGGTATCTTGAGCAATTTTTCTTTATAAGTACGCAAGAAATTTCTTCCTCTGAATTTGTTGAGCTCCACCTCCGCTACTGTTGCGCTGTATGGGGCTGTTGTAGCATTACCGAAACCTCAAAGCTTCAGAAGCTTCGAAACAGAGCTGCTAGGATCGTAACGAATAGCAATTTTTATGCCTCTAGCAAACCCCTGATTGAGAATCTAGGCTGGAATACAGTCAATGACATGATTAAACACGATAGCAGGACGATTGTGTAAAAATCTCTAAACAATTTTGCCCCCCCCCCCCCAATATATGAGCAATAAGTTCATATGAAATTCTCAAAGTGCAGCTCGGCAGCTACGTAATACAAACACTGATTTAAAGCTTCCAAAGAAAAACACGAGCAATGGGCAGAAGTCATTTTCGTTTAGGGGCGCTTAACTTTTGAATAACCCTAGATTCCGAAGCTAAGAGGGCAACATCTCTTAGAAAATTATAAACTTCGCTCTAAAAATTTTTTGATTTGTTTGTTGTGTTTTAATATCATATTTCAGGTTTTTTAACTATTGTATATACATTAATATATATATATATTGAAAGAGTATCAAAAGTTGTGAGGGTAGAATGGGTTAATAGTGGTTGTGTAGCGTATCTTATCATGTTCAAATCTATTGTAAATGTTTATTTTATTCTATTTTATGTTGGTGTTTCTTTTAGTTTAGATGCATGGCCCCTTGTAAACCAGCATTGCTGAATGGGCTACCATGCTTAAATAATTGAAAATGAAATGAAATGAAATAACATAAAGAGACCAGTGTAACCTGCTGTAGTCAGTGTTCACTCCTTGACAAAGCACAAAAAGGTTCTATTTTCAGAATAATCGTCTTGTCAAGCTTTCCTCGTGTGATTTCATTGCTTTATTGCAAACGAAGGATCGAAGCTTGTGTAAAGCAGGCCGAAAGTTAAAAATAGGTCCTTTGAAAGGAGTTTATCAGAACACAGATACCGAAGACAGTCCGGGCGGCATGCTTACTTGGGCCAAGAGCGAAATTCTGAGCTCTTATAGGTCAACTCTTGAAACCGAAAGTTTCAACCGAGATTTCACTAGATTCGGCACTAGATTTGAAACATAATGGCAAATGGTATAAAAATGTTAAAAGACCATGATAGAAGCAATACCCCATTGTCCTCAGGTGTCATACATATCGTTATGGGGGGAAAATTAGAAATTTCAGTACGCGCAACAAAACAACTAAGAAACAACTGCAATTTGAGAAAAGCTTAAAGTTGGCACAAAACTTCAGATGCAAATTCCAAAATTCCTAATCAAGACCCCGCTAATCCCCCAAAACCAATATCTAAAGCCTCAAATGTTTCGTACTGAAATGAAATACTAAAATGCATGATCAAATCTTATCCAAGCATGAAAATTACACATTTGACCCAAAATGTTAAAATTAATGACATAAAAACTCTTAAGAAAAAATGAATGCTGAAAATTACTGTAGTATCAAAAAACCAGAGTACTCAATGTCGGCCTTGGTTTCTTAAAATAAATCAGCGTAAACCTGAGAGAGAGGATCCTTTCTCTGCGATTTAAACAAAGACAGGGCATACAGCGAATAACCCATAGACACAATGTTCTAACAAGAAACACACCAATTACAAACGAATGAAGCTCACAAAGTCTCCTTAAACCTTCTTAAACTTTTGGGTGGCAGAAAATCGTGAGCGTAACAGATTCGTTTCGATTAAATTTTACTATATAATGACAGCTTATAAATATAATACGTTATCAAATAACGAATTTAACGAATTTAACTACTATCCACAGCAAAACACAAACAAGTTGATGTTGGCTTTTTATGAAATCATAGGAAAAACCGAAATATTTCCTACCCTGAAACACAAAAAGGACAAAAGTTTCTTAACATGCTTAGCCAGAAGTGAGGTTTTGTTAACTCCCTGGTTTCAAGGTATTTAGTTTCAAAAAAGGTTTCTTGCCCGAAAAAGACACGACACCCCGAAAATTCAAGCGTTGTTTCATCATCGATCTCGTGGTGACCCCCGTGCATAATCAACACGATATAAAGCCTCGACTTCTTCCGTGGAGAACAGTTTATAGTAGCGAAAGTAGTGGTAGGAAGGACACTACAAGTGTAACGACGTCATGGCAGCAAATAGCAGTATCGAGTTCAAGTACACATATGGAGCTTGCTATCTGGTTGCTGGTGTTATTGGGATACTTTTGAACATCAAAGAAACGAGCTGTCTATTGAGAAAATCAGTCAAGAGAAGGGCCTTTGACAATACCGTCATGAGCTTGAGTATCGCTGATTTGGTGTCGGGAATATTCTTTTCTCTCATTGGACTCGGTGTCATTTTGTTTACAAGCAACTTGTCTGATTTTCGCCTTGTACAGTACGCCGTTATTGGCCTGAACTTCTCAGTGATGGCATCGTTGAATCACGTGTTGCTGATTGCCTTGCAAAGATCCTTTGCTGCTCTCATTCCCAACAGGCTTAGCCAGGCACAGAAATCTTTTTACCTGACCATCATTCTGGTCCTGGTCTGGGTGTCGGCTTGCATATACGGTATACTCAGCTTCAAGGTGATCAAAGATTTTATACGAGTTAATTCATACGTGATTATAATCTACAGCACGCTTTCTATGTTGCTATTCGGGCCAGTGCTTTGCAAAGCTAACCAGGAATGCTTGACGGTTCACGGTGAGAGACACGGCAATGTTTGCCTATGCGGAAGAAGGGTCATGGTGCATTCTATTCTGGTGACGCTTGGGTTGTTTGTTTGTTTTTTTCCCTTTGCAGTCAACAACCTGATGCTGACACACAATGTGATCCGGGGCGCTTTTTGTGACGTCTTGGTTGCAGTCAACCCGATCATCGATTCCATGGTCTACTTTTATGTCAACAGAAGAAAAGATGGGAAGATGCGGTTAGAAGATGCAAACTTGGATCTGCAAGTTGCAGAAGAGGGAGTCCCGTTGTAAAAAGAAAGAAGCAAAAGTACAAACTCGGATTGGTGAAAATACAGAAGGTGGAAGCAAAGAAAGCCACGTAAATACGGACAAGAAAGTGTCAAAACGGCGGGAACTGCGAATAATCGTCTTTTTCACGAGTGAACATGCCGTGCTGAAATGACAGGACATCACCTGATATGTTCAAACTCGTGAAGACTGTCAGTCACAAACGCTGTAAATATATTGCTCTTACTATTGTCAAATTCACCAAAAAGGGGGGTACTTAAAAAATGTTTTCAGATTCTATTTGGTTAGGCTTTGTGATAACTTACAGTCACAACTCGAGGAAAAGCGTGGGTTCATTTATGCTCGATTCCGAGGGGCAATTCACTCTTGCAAATAGCGTACGATATTTTCCCTAAAACAAAAGGATTTCCAGGGATTTTCAGATAAAACAATAGGATTTTCACAAAAAGTGTACGAGATTTTCTTGGAGTGATTTGCCCCTGGCTCGATTCCCTTTGTTCGTGTACGACTCCCGTTCCTCAGTTTCTCAGCTCCTTCCCCTTGATCGAGAGGCAATTAACTCTTGCAAATAGCGTACTAGATTTTCGCCAAAACAAAAGGATTCCTACGGATATTTTATAGAGCAATATGATTTCCATTAAAGGTGTACGGGGTTTCGACAGAATGATTTGCCCCTCGTCCTTGATTACCTTCCCCTTCATTAGATTATCTTTAAAAGCAGTTCTCCAATCTCGCGTAAATCATGCAGAAACAAGACTTCATCTACTCAGCCCCTATGGAGGGACGGATATATCCAAGCACCTCTACTTAGGTTTAAGCACCGAAAAATATACCCACTCACTGTGTACGATTGAGAGTAATTTTCAGTTCATAACCCACTCGTTATATCAGAAAAGAGTCGAACACGACTAATCATATGTTATCTGTACATATAGATATAATCGCAGAAACATTTAAGCATGTACTCTTGATTAAATAATATGTAATAATTACACTGATATATAAATTTTACGGTTTGGTATCTATGCTTAACGGGCAACTTGCAGTGTCGCAGGACACCTCTTTGCCGAATCAGTTCTAATTATCATTCTAATCATATGCGTAATATGTCGAAGGAAATTAGAATAAACCTATAGCTCTTTTTAAACGGCAATTCTAAAGGATTAAATTTGTTATCTGCTGTTAGAAGTTTTGCCGTCTTCTCTGTCTAGCATTACTAACTAGATCTTGTCTTGCTGGAAACCATTGAAGTCGGGCGGACGAAAAAAACTTGGAAAGCAGTACACATGAGCGTCGTACAAGGGCGCAGGGGAATTCAAGTGCCCCTTACTGCACCATCATATTGGAAAAAATTGTGGGTATTTTGTTGGGTTCGTCTTTTATAAAGAATCAAAGCCATTTGGCCCCAGGCTGTCTACCGAGGTTTGAAAATAGCGGCCTTCACATGACTAGAGTCGTACATGACTAAAATCATAGACGAGCAGCGACTTTTCCTTGTCACCAGCGACCTTTCCATGACTAGAATTAACAATGACCATTTTTGCGACAGGACACATTCTTTCCCGTTAAAGAAACATGCTGGGCTGGAACATAGTGAAAATGACAATAGTAACAAGACGAGAAATACGTGATGTGTCTACAATTATCTTTTTGTATCTTACAAAATTTACCAGAGACTGTACAAACGAGGCAGGGGGATACCAGTGCTATTTATGGGCGTGGTCCTCCTGAGATTTCGAAAATCATTAGAACCGACGATAAAAGCATGAAAATTAAATGCCATTTGGACAGATATGGGCAAATTGAAATGAGTGCAGAGGCTCGCCTCCTGTAGCACAAATGCATCGACTATTTGTTACAATTAGACAATATACAATCTGCACAAAACTCTGATTATCTAATGAGAAATTCTAAATGCATCAGCATCAAGTCTTTATTGATGCGCAAAACACGTAATAATCGCAAATTAGGGCATTGTACTCAGAAAGAAAAATTGTAGTGTTCGGTCAACAATTCAGTTTGAAGAACGCACCACTTGCTCGGTCTATTCATGATAGGTTTGTTTGGTCGTTGTTCTTTCAAGGATCTAAATATTTGATCAGCTGACAACAGTTTTTAACTGAATCTGGATTTGCCAATGATTTTGAGCTAATATTATATTGCAAACAAAAATTGTGAGCTTTTATTGAAAATCTAGTAATTTAAAAAAATGACAGTACAATAAAGCTTGTACACCATTTTGCTGGATTAAAAAAGTTTCACAGTGAAAAATACGACTGAAGATATACAAAGCGTTGAGCGTGTGTTTGTTGAAAACATAACGTATTTCCTTGACTTACCAACCGAAAAAGCTTGAATAATAAAACTTCAATATTATCTTGTAGCTTTTTACTTCGCAATAAGTTTCTTTTGTCTAGTATCTCCTACATTTTAAAATCAAGATTGCATATTGGTTAGCACAACGAACCACTCACTCCTCACCCTGACATTGGTGACTTGAGGTAATTATTCCCGTGCTTTAGAGGTACAAAGGTTTTCCTTTGTAAGAAAAGTCTGGTCTTGTGTTGACTTGATCAACTATTTACGCTCGGTCAATGAATAGAGGTTTAGCGAGACGAAAGACTTCAAAAGGCGTTTTGGACGACTTCTGTTGCTGAAAAAGTAAATCGTTGAGTCAAGTACAGGGTTTGCTGCAACAAAGAGGCCGCCCATTGCAGCCAATACATCACTGTGAGGGAAAAACAAAGTCTGGACGGCATGTGGGAAGTAGGATGCGATGAAGGCAATGGTCACAAATGCACAGTACCGTGAAACCATTTTTTGTCTCTTTAAGTATGCTCCAGATATAGAAAGGTCTCTTTTTCTATCAACAGTGCAACAGATACAGCTATACAACACGACCAAAACCGCTCCAAACAACAATATGAAATACGAGTTAATCTTCCTGTAGCTTTTAGTAAGAAACGGGCAAACAGTACCGAAGAAACAACTGAGAATCCAGGCTAGTCCCAAACAAAAAATGAGGTGACGGCCAAAAAAATTGGTTTTCACATTTAGAGGGAATAAAACTGCAAAAAATCTTTGCTGTGCAATGAAAACTACGTGAACTATCGACGCACTCGTTGCAATGTTGATTCCAAGTCTGAAATAGAGCGTAAAATCTAGCTCAGTGGTTCTGCTGATCAGCAAAATATTCCAAATGCCATAGAGGATGAAAGAGATCGCGCCAATCGCGTCAGCAATTCCCAAACTGAAAAGCGTTTTCTCTAACAATGTTAGCTGTTTCTTTCTGAATTGAGAAAACAGTTGCAGTGCATTTGAGAGCAGGCCTAATGTGCCCAAAAATGCGAGGATAGACGCAAAAACGTACTCCTGCTGCAGAGATGCCATCGTCGAAAATAGTGAATAACTGAAACTTGGCGATTTATTGATGAATAAGTTGTTTGCTCACATCAATGCTGTATTCTAACAGAACAGGTGGATACATAAACTGAATTCTTACTTGAAACAAAAGCAAGTGTTCCATTTTTATCTATGTGCACATTTAAGTGGTGACCGAGAGTAAAATATGAATACAGAAAGCAAAGCGAACTTAACCAGACTCATTCAGATCCCTGCCGCGATTCCAATTATGATAGCAGAGTTGCATACAGTTGAAAATTACTCTCATAATTCTAATGTTGATTGAATTAATAGAATTCATTTCGAAATACATAAAAAAGTAGGATGGTTCATTTTGGATATCTTCTAGCATCGGGATTCAATTAATTGGTAAATAATCTTGAAAAGAAAAAGGTCAAGACCGATCCAATGTCACAAGCAACATATTGATAATCGTTTTACTTTGAAATCCATGCCTTAAAACAGAAAGTCAGAACAACATGGCTGTCCATTATACGCTTAGACCACTAGAAGACGTAAATTGCATAAAAGCAAACCCTGTGTAAATGGTGCTGTATTGTTTTGTTGCGTTATGGACGCTAATAAGCAGACTTTGCTAATATGCTAACCCCCTGTAGTTTGGTAGAATTGTTTTGTTAGATTATTCGTGATTGTGTTTGGAGTATGATGCTCAAAATGTTGGTCTTGTTATTGGATATTAATCTAAAAGGCAGAACACGACAAATGGGATTTTCAAAATGACAGGGTGGGGCTAAGTTGTGGCTCTCACCGTCATTGCAATAGGCTGTTCCAAAAATGGCTTCATTCTTAAATTGCACAAAGTAACATGTTACAAATCTCAGTTTTGATTCAGTTCTTAATTTTAGTTTAATTCACTTACAATACTCCTTAATTGTTGGCCGTATAAAACTCAACAATCAAAATAAAGATTTTATCTAATTTGTTTTGAATTAAATGCTGAAGAAAGAGCTTTAGTTGAATCAGTGTACAAGTACTTCATGGCTTCAGGTCGTTAGGTCTTGTGTTAAAGAGACTTGAACCTTGCAACTACATTGCTTTTGGTGTATAGAGCAGAACGGTTCTAAGTTGCTACTCCGAGTTTAATGCCTAATGCAACCATCAGGCAACTGTTCTACATTGCGTGCAAATTACAGTATCTAAATTGGATCCAATATTGGATGCCAGAATGAATTTTTCTCATATCTCCCAGTTCATAACAGTGAAACATAATACTGCCATAGTATTTAAAATGCTGTCGTGGTTACCATAATCCCAAAGTAATCTTATTTGATACCATAGGTATCATGGATGTACAAAATATTTATCCTTAACCTTCTTAACCATTAGTGTGCCGTAGGTTTTCACGGTGCCTTAGCGGGCCGCTGACTAGTGTGTGCAGAAGGCGACCGTCAGTTGGTTGGATAAAGGCATTTTGCTCACGACGATTAATTCCAGCCACTCTTTCTTCCCACAGCTTTTACTTCCCGCAGCTCTTTCTTCCCGCATCTTTTTTTGTTCCCCTAGGTGCAGCACACCCAGGTTTAGCAAACTATTTTACCTTTAAAAACCCCATTATACCCTTTCTTCTTGGCACCAACGCTGGCTTGTTGACTTGTCTTAAGATTGCTGCTGTTTCCAGGGTTGCGTGTGAGACCCCACACTCCATATCAACAATATTTTAAATCCTAAACAGCAACCGCCACTATAGCCTTATTGAGTAAGCTGACTATCTGACTATTAGTGAGTTCGAGTCACTCATTCTTTTTCCTCCTACACGAAATTTTCACATTGAAAACCAAAAGCTAATTCATCCTTCTCAAAGTTCATTAGTACTGGCAATGTTGTATTAATCTGGCGAGATTTCAAAATGACTACAGCCTACAACGAATGACCCAGTCTCATATAAGCTCATAATTCAGCAAATTAAAAAATCATACAAGCAGATCATAAATACATCGGCGCTCGCATTGGCACCTATAAGAAAATTTATATGCAAAGTAAATTGTATCAATGAAACAAGCCTTTGAAATGAACCAACCTCTTTCGTTGTTATATTGTCTTCGTGATCGGGTATGGCTTTCGTGCTAGCGCAGGCTAGCCTCTTTTTCGAAGCGGAGTTCGTTGGCACCTGATATGACCTGAAGACATGGCCTACAAGAGGAGATTTTGACTTTTCATAAAGTGAGATTTTTAAAAAAAAAACGTCTTACATTTAAACAAATGACGAACAAATTCATCAACTGTAAGCAATTAATTTGAATTATATACTCCGAAAACCATATTGTTTGTAAACGTCAGTTAGGTTCGTCTAACACTGGTTAAAGAACAAATATTAGATCGTCCTACCATATAAGGATCAAGATAAACCAAAAGAAAGAAATGGGAGTCTGGTTGGTTGTGTTCTGGTCAATCAGTGTTCTCAATATTTCAGAGATTAGAAATCGTCTAAACAAGTTAAAAACTTGTTTCCTTACAAATCAAACGTCTGCAAGTACACATGTTTAGCAAGGATTGGACGTATAAATACTCCCTACATCGCCCCAACCTTTTTTCAAGGTTCTACCAGAAACGAAACGCAGTTTTAAAGGAAATTATTTCCACCAATACCGCTTTTTCCCTAAATATTGATTTAAGACATCTGGTTGTTTTTAATTGCAATAGTCATTTTAATATTTGTGATAAATTATCATAAATATGAAAAATTGTTTATGCCACGTCAAATTGTAATGTTTAGGAGATTACTAGAAAACCTAAAATTAGAACATGCCACTGAAAATTCGTTTATACTTCTGAAGCTACTTGACAAGGTGATTTAAAGTACAAACCGGTTTCGTTTCCAACTTCAGTGTAAAACGTCTGTTGCTGTGCCTTGATTTGGTGCTTAGAATGCTTTGTTTGGTTAGTCGAAAGTTGTTCATCTGATAACGATACTGGAAAAAAAGAATTATTAATAAGGCACTTGACAAATCAATCATTTCACGTCTTTTTACTTTATTAAGAAAACAGTTGCACAAAATACTACCCCCTTCCCCGATCAAGCCTCTAGATCACCAAAAATTGGGGTTTGGAGATCACCCACTTGGTCTCAAGACAATGGCCTTTTAAGGCCATGTAGCAATCTTGCTTGAATTCTCAAAGAAACACATCAAAATTCGATATCATTCAGTACTTACGAGGTGGAATCAGGTTCGTTGTGCTTGCAGCTGTGCTCGGCTTCCAAGTTAAAGATCTTCTTTCTTCTTTCGATTGTGTTGCACTGTGAGGGCGACTTCGAACTTTCTTTGACGTTGAGCTTGCGGCTTTAGCTGAAGATGGCCTAACGCCATTCTTTTCGAAGAGAAAACAAAGAAGGTTAGATCGTTTTGTGTCTCGACCGATCGCATACAGTGGTAATCAAGCTATTTCTTATTAGAACAGCTGTAGGGTGATAGTAATAGGGAAATCGATTGAGAATTTAGACACTTCTACTATTTAGACAAAATATCAGCAAACTCTAGATTTCAGATTTAATATTTTAGATTTTGATTTATATTATATCTGTATATTATATACAGATACAGAATTATGCCAAATGTATTTCACTAACGAACACCATGAAATATTTTATTTTTCTGCACAGTTTTTAAAACTCGTTCCATTATTTGATTCGTTCCCGGCCTCTATTTCCAAAATTCGAAATTACTATTTCTTCTTTTGTTAGCCATTTGCAAATCCACTAAAAAAGGTACTGTGCAAAACACGATTGTTCTCTTCCCCCCATATTCATATAAATCGTTGCATATGAATTTGCATTTATGTAATGTCATAAGGTTTAATTTGCTATTTTCTCACAGTGCAGTAACATGAAGAATTAACGTTTTTATTATAGGCACAATACCTTTTCAGTAAATGCAGGAGTTAAAGTAAGTTTTTATAGTAAAGTCAATACGAAACACGAAAATTAATTACGGAAAATAATGTAATTGTTTTTTAAATCTTCTTTCAACCGTTATCTTAATTGAGACACTTGACACATGGAAATAAAACTGACAAACAGTAGCTAAAAATGTTGAAACCGTTGGCTTATCGGAACAATCTGTGTAGCAAAACTATTAAACCTGTTGACTATGAGGTGAGAAGTAATTTAGGCTTGTTGAGAAATATTTAGATTGTGGTGTATTTCGACAATGGCTGAATGTATGCCAGTGAGAGAATCTGCTCTTACATTACAACGTCAGCCACAAATACACAGGCTTGCGCGTCAAATGCAATACTGAAAAGATTACTCACGATTCTTGCTTGACTCAGTGCCGTTTGACGAGGCGGACCAATGCGTTTCTTAGCGCTGGAAGGTGGCCTGGGTACAAGTTCTGACGAATCAAGTTGCTCTGTCTGCAATAGAAAGGGCGGCTATTTAGAATGAGCTAGCCAAAATTAGCAAAAGAACACTTTGGGAAGCGAGAAAAGGCCAGTTAAATCTTCAAATGAATAAAGAAAGGATTGCAAATATTTCAATGTTTCATACAGATATTTTATAAAACAATAAACATTGCAATCTTGTAAATAAACATAGGTGAAGGAATAATCTTCTTTGTCGTACATTGGGAAACATTTTGTATCGTATTCAAATGTCTGTATTTTATAATACTTTCCAACTATATTTTATCAAAGCGAAGATTGTTTGATCTCTTGAGCTTGGGAATGAAGTGGCAGTCATTGGCTTTGAGGGACAGAGAAGAACAAACGTGCTTAAAGGGGCCTATATTTTGTTGACATTTTGTTTAAGTTACTGACTGCATGAAAATGGTACGGATTTCTGTTGTTTTGTCTTTTGTTATTTCATTTGGCCTAATAGTTTGACAAATAAGGGAAATTTCAAATTTGTTGATAAAAGTTTGTGAGAAAGTTTGGAGAAAAAGTGACAAATGAGCCTGTTTGCAAAGTCGCTTTAGAAGTTAACTGCATGGTCTTAAACTTTTTAAAAAAACATCGCTCTTAAACATCCACTTATTATTATGAATAGAGACAGTTTTCATGATACAAGACTTAAAAAAAGTAATGGCATGCACAGATACCCATCATGTATTTTTTCTGTTGTCCAAAATCGACCTCAAAAATTGTTACCTAAAAATGAAATTTCGCAGGCTATGAATCTTGAGGGCTGTTGAATAGGGAAAGATAACATACCGGTTCGCCTTTAGAATAGCGTTGCTTGAGCGTATCCAGGAGAACCTCTGCCTAGAAATGAAAAACAAAAATCAGGTAATGGAGAAGCACGTTAATGGATAACCTTTCTGCAGAAAATAGCCTGGTTCATAGAAAGGAATTAAAACGGCGCTGCCTTAAAGGGGAACTGAAGTGAAAAACGATTTTTTTACCACTGATAAAGGTTCCCGTGCTGATTCCAAAACCGTTTGAATTTTTTTAATATGTTATGTAGTTTTTAAGTTATTAAGTTTTTAAAGTCGAAATTTGCCCTCATCAATGGCGGAGCGAGAACGCGGTCGGACCACTGTGTCACGTGACCTTGTGACGTAAAGTGGTGGACACGAAGAGATGTTTTGATGTAATGTAGTAGTGAGTTTGATAAGGTTCATGACAGATAACAATCGTGAAAATTGTGATGAAAGCATGAAACTTGGTGAAAATATAGAATTCGGTATGCGCAACAAGATAGAATATAGAATCATTTCAGAAATACCCCTTGTGCTATTTTTAGACTGGGGTACTTGTGCCCAGTACTCAAAATACGTTAGTATGGTCAATCTATTTCTTTTAACTATACAACCATGAAACTTGGCAAACCGACACAATTTGACTTGCTGAAAATGATTAGAATGGTCCCCATCCTCAGAAATACCCCTTGTGCTATTTTTAGACTGGGGTACTTGTGCCCAGTACTCAAAATACGTTAGTATGGTCAATCTATTTCTGTTAACTATACAGCCATGAAACTTGGCAAACCGACACAATTTGACTTGCTGAAAATGATAAGAATGGTCCCCAACCTCAGAAATACCCCTTTAAACATGATTTCTCATGCTTTGTCTATAGAACATGATATCAAAGCATTTTCTGGTATAACTCCAGGCACAAAAAACATTCATACCAGGATGTACATAAAGGAGAAGGATTAAAAGCACAACCATTAAATGATGTGTATGTTTCCAAGTTTATTAAAAGACCTTATCTTAACAAAAGATATGTCAGGGTTTCTATCTCATAACTGTTCTATGAAAAATGTTGAGTTGAAGCAAATTTCAGAAAAATATAACCATTGGGCACCCAAAAACTTCATTCTCAAAATTTGAAAACAGTGTATCTAAACAACAGGCAGTGACAGAATACATTAAAAGAACATTGTACTGTGAAGGTAAAACATTTTCTTCTGATTATGTATAAAAAATGTTACCAAGCAGGTGGTACAGGACCATTATTGTAAGAGAAAACTTAATCAAATCCAAACTATTCTACACATTTTGATGTGAGTAAAATATCTTGAAAAATATACCTTAGGAATCTTGAAAATATCAAGCCTTGCTCAATCTCCACTAGTTTTAACAAATTTCTAACTTATAACATGACCCCACTGGTTCTAAATTTCTCTTCTTGCTATTATGAACTGAAAGTCTGGTCCCTTTGAATAACCCCTGTATATAACCCTGTACTCCACTGTATATGTAGTAGGTAGCTGAGTTTTGCATTTTTATTGTCTCTCTGCAGAATTTTGAAACCCTTGTCTTCTTTGACTAAAGTTCTTTTCTTTACATTTTGTGATAAATTCATACTTAAAGTTGTCCAGTTTTTCCAGCACAAATACCCAAAAACCAGCAAACCATCCATTGATCGGCCACTGTTTGTAGATACCTAGCAAAATGGATATAATTTTAGGTATTAATCTATTTTAGGCATATTTATGCAATTCTATTAAATATTTGACATTTTCGAATTATCAGTCCAAAAATCTTAATTGCAGTAAGATTTAATAATACTTGTCAATGTACAAAAAACAAGCCAGTTTTTAAACCAAAGTGGATTAGGTCGACCTGTTCCGTGCTACACATCAAACTATGTATAAACGTTTTATATCAAAGCAAATATTTATTAAATTGTAACATGTAATAATCCTTATTATTTCAGATTTTAGAAATGGAAAGATTATAATATGTAGCCTACATTCTCAGTTGTATCTTACTTTTTATAAGGAAATAAGGAAATTGTGTTTGAGTTATTCTTGCCTTCATTGTCAGAAAAGAAACAAAGATCGACGTACCATTGATTTACTTCCTCATTTCTACCGACAAAACGAGCACGTCGCGGGAGATAATTCATCCTCAGCCTCTGGGATCTCATCGGGCCTAGGCTAATCTTCATCGCCACTTTCGCAGTTCCCGTTCGCCCTTGGTAGGGCAAGTACTTCACCACCACATGCTCCAAATTCATCGTCGCTCGATCTTAAGTCTGTTGTCATTCCTGAAGAGCTGTCGTGAAAATTGCGAACTGAAATTCTAACCACTAACCGGATTCCCTCCCTCCGATTCACTCTACTACCTACTACAATGTTGTTTTCGTTGCGATCGGGGCACGTGTCCACGACTTTACGTCAGCGCCTGAAACTTGTCTCCAGACCTCTCCGCCACCGAAATGGAGAAATTTCACACTTCGCGTGGTGAATGCAGGAAAACGAAAAGAAAAACACTAATTTCGTGTCGATATTCGAAATCAGCACGATGAAAACTACTAAATAATTGATTTTCATTTTTCACTTCAGTTCCCCTTTAAAGTGTATACTTAAAGTGTATATCACAGAAAGCGGGTACATAGTGCTCGCTATAATTTTACACAAACACACATTGAATAATAAATGAATACCAGAGCCCGTATTGTGTGATACATAAAAAAATATCACCTTTTTCCTATAGTTGTGTGTTTTATCGATTTCGTCGGACACTAACCGGACATCGTCGCTTTCCATAATATCTACAATATAAATGTAATCATTATTATTTGACACTTCAGAACAACAAAGAACATACATATGCTACACTTAGTCAACGGGTAGGTGGCATGTATTCTAGATCTGATGAACAAGACTGCCCCGGATAACTCGGATTATAATTAAGTTGGACTTACTTTCAAGACTCATAGGATGGTCCTATCATATTTAAGTCGAAAGTAATACCTCAGACAAGTCGGACATTTCCTACGACGGATCATTTCCTTACCTCCCCTCTAGATCCAACTTAACAGGATTCAACTGTAGTATAAAAAAACTGTTGTTCTGGTTTTTCAAGCATAAATAAACTTTATGATGTTCTAATGCAGTTATGCAGAGCTGAATAAGACGGTGTTTTTATGAAACAATTCTTTCGTTTTAAAGACTTGTCTTTATGTAAGGTAGTCACCTACAATCAACGGCGGGGTTAGAACAATCGAATAAATGATCTTGTACAAATATTCTACAGTACAAACTAGGAAGTCATTTTAAGCAGGTGCTCTTCAGTGAAACCATCAACTTTTTTTCTTTTGCTACTGATAACCATTTATGCGAAATTTCGTCTGCATCGATCAGTGCATTTCTTCCCAAACCCTAGCATCCGACATCGTCTTTTCAAATAAAGCTATTCTATAAATTACCGTTGTTATTTATCCAGTGAAATCGGCCTCTAGCTCCATGTGCAAGTTGTTTAAGATAAGAAACTGTCGAATCAGAATTAGCATATCGGCCAGCAACGGGGGGCAAGTCACCGCCATCTGGTTCGTAGTAAATACAGTGGAATGCAGCATCACGGCCGACAAAAGCCTCTTGGATATAGCCACAAGAAACCTCCTGAAAATAAACATTCTCAAATGTTAGAGAGAGAGATTATGTGAAGTAAAGGAATGATACCGAGGTTTATAATGTCATACAAATCAATCTGTTATAAATAAAGGCTGATAAAGACTGGAAGTGAGTTCTGTGGTGAGACCCAATAGGCGCTTGTTGTATGAGAATTTCAGAGAAATGAGTAAGATAACTATCTAATACTGCAGTAAATATGACGTCATAATTGCTGCCATAAATCTAGAGGGATAGTTGTGAATAGTTACCTTTGGCTCGTCTGGGATTCCACTTGTGACAAGATAAACGCCATCGACAGCTGTAGAGAAGAAATTTACATTATTAATCATGTCCCTCAGCTTATCGGTATGAAATTTATAAAGCACCCAAACTTTTAGTTTGTGGCAAAGATAGTTCGTTCAGAATAGGCACATGTTGAAAAAAGACGAACATCGTGTGAAGTGTGAAAGACCGTTACGGTCAAATCTGACACGAAGTTTGCAGAGTTTTCGACGGAATGATAAAAGGAATCAACTTGGAAGAAAAATGGAATAAGACCCCGTTTACACTGTCCCGTGCAAGTTTGGAACCGTGACAAAACTGTCGCGGTTCGCCCTTCCGTTTACACTAGCACTGTGGAACCGTGACGATTTTGCTCTGCTATCCGGAACAGTTTGGACCCTGCTTTGAAAGCGAACGAATTTTGTACCGTCACGGTTCCGTTTTGAACGGGACAGTGTAAACACCTATCCGAGACGATTTTGTCACGGATTCACAAAGAGGTCTTTTGTATGGCTGTTTGAGGTAATCGAGGCTTTGATTGTGGCGTAACTACGTTGTCAAATTCTGAAGAAAAGGAAATTCTGAAGAAAAGACAACCACAGAAAAGGCTTGTATTGTTTCCCAGTCCAAGCCTTGATTGGACTTTGCAGTTTTGTAGTCTAAAATAACACTGAAAATTAAAGCCACCTTGTCGTTCGTCCAAGTAAAGTTTTTATCGGCCTTCCACTGCATTTTAACTCTCAATAAAAATTCGATTGTTGACTTCGGCGGCAAAATAAAAGCCTTGGTTGACTAAATACAGCTTCTTCTAAACAATGTTCTGCCATTAAATTCTGAAGCCATTACACTGTACCGGTACAGTGTAAACGGAACGGCTAAACGAAACAATTTGGAACCGCGACAGTGTAAACACTTGCGAACCGTAACGGTACAAAATTGTCCCGGGACAGTGTAAACGGGGTCTAAGAGAATGTAAGGAATCAAAGAAGGGGGAAACTTGTAATTAAAGGCAAGAGCACCAACAAGATTCATCGATTTGTGCTATAAATATAGCTTAACACCGATTTGTTACCTAGAGGAAATTAGAATTACTTATTTGCACGACATTCTTCTTAAACTTGTTATTAAATATGCAAATCGATACAATGAAATACCTATGCCATTTTTTCGCTCCTCCTCATTTTCAACAGCAGCTCGGAAAGCATCCATAAATTTGCGACTACCAGAACAAGTTTGACGAATAAACCATCTAAAAAGACAAAATTTTACTTTAAATCCTACACAACTATAAAACTCGTGGTCAGATCCTTAATTTCATTCTTTTGCCAATGCACATAACTTTCATGTAATTAATTCAATTTGCGAAATGAGGAAATTTGTACTATAATTCAGCCATTTTCTTTTCATTGGTGCAAGCACATGTTTCAAAGACAAAAATATCGACAAGAACGGATTTAAAATCAGTTGCAAAATATCTGGACCATGCCGATAATTTCATTTCCAAGTGACACAAATTCCTTTATCAAAACTGTACTGTTTGCATTCAAGAAAACCTTGACATTGAGGAAAAACTGACTTTTCTTTCATACAATTTTGCATTGTCTTACAATAGATTACCTGAAAGCAGATTCCAGATTAACTGGAGTTGCTTCAACCATCCTCGGTTGGAAAGGTACAACGTTGGAGCCAAAACTAGAAGTGAAATGCATTTATTGAATGAATATAGGAAAACAAAGGTGAAACAAGTTTTCTGGAATTCAATGTAGTTCGCTAATTTTTCAAATAGTTCTTTAAAGTGCTTATGAAATGAAATTTCACACATAGATTTTTGAAAGAAATTGAAACTTTTACATGTTTTTGCAATATAAAGCGAAAATTAACTCGAAAATTTGCACGGGCAGGTTTGTTTTTGGAGTTTTAAAAACAATGAGTGCGCGTGACAAAACATAGGAATTAGTGACGTTACAAGGTTTGCAGTTGGTTCCGTCTTCACAATAAACATACCACACCTCTTAGTCAGAGCTGTTAGTCAAACAATTGTGCAAATTGTGATGCCAGCATGAAATTTTGCAAAAATGGTAGTTTGATACGCTTAAAAAGATAGGATACTAAACATGGAACCCAACTAAAAATTGCCCCCTTGGGCTATCTTTAGAGCAGAGCTTTTTCCCCACAGCCCCTAACGGTGTTAATACAATATATCTTCTGAGAGTAGGTACAATAGCACGAAACGTTATATCAGGGGCAATCTGATACGCAGAAAACAATAGGATATAGACCCTATCTGAAAATTGCCCCTTTGTTCTATTTTTAGACTGGGGTAGACTGCCCCAGACCTTAAAAGACGGTATTATCGTATTTCAGTCATACTTTGATACAACAGTATGAAACTTTGAAAGAAAGAACAGTTAGATGCGCTAAAAAATGTTGGATATGAACCCTGACTTTAAATTGCCCCGTTTGGCTATTTTAACTGTAGTTCCATTAGCGACCTCAATTTTGCTTAGTTTACTAAACGCCAACTGCTTCCGTATTTGCAAGCTTTGTGACGTCACGGATAACGCGCACTTTGTCACACTAGTGTGCCTTTGTCTAAACTTGTCAAATTTCATTTCATAGGCACTTTAACATTTTCGGACTTTATGTTCTTGTGTAATTGCTCTGTGACATCAACTTTATGTGGATCAGTTGATTAAAATCTTCCATTGACTAACCTTTTTCCAAGCAAACATTTTGCAGGAGGGAACCTTGACTCGTACTTCGTAGAAAGATGCGCTGTATGATATATCAAACTATGGGTGTGCCTATAAGGGCTTGGCAAAGCTAGATTTTAAAGAACGGAAGCTTATACGAGATAAAATGAAACTAGTGTTGTAAAGAACTTACAGCAAGTGTAAAAATAACAGACTTAGCAATTGTGAGCGATTTGGCGATGTTGGTATGTTTTCAAAATAACCAACATGACTCGATTTACTATGAGGCAAAGTGAGGCAAAACGTTGTAAAGAATGCCCTTTTCCCTTTTTAAAGGTCCCTTCTTTGCAAGGCTCTCTCTTACCCTGATCCCCTCAGACTTTTAAATGCTTCTAATTCCAACAATAAAAAAGTACCTCTTGAGGAAAACGGACTTATTCAGCTTTAATGCATTTATTTTTCAGGGACTCACCAAATGATATTGAATAGGTCTTTGCTTGAAACTTGCTGCTCTAGCAGCCTCCGCATGTCTTCATGAATACGAAGCATATCACCACACATTCCCAACGACATATCCACGAGAATTACGATCCTGAAATTCCAACATAAATTTTATACATTATCAAGTATATTGACCAAAAAACTACAGCATCTATATCGATTACAAAAAATAATTTTGATATGTTAATCGAGAAGTATTATTCAATAGTTTTACTGTAAAAGTAGCATTCAAAATGTTGATAATTTTTTGAATCACCTTTTCTCTACCAATGTTCCAAATGTGTTGCGGCTCCCAGATGTCAACCATTCCATTCTTCGACGATAGAGTTGAAGTACGACATCCAGATGGCGCTGCAAACATGAAATATGCATTTTCATCGAATGAATACCAAATACTAAGTTTAATCTAAATCGTGTCATGGTTGAAGATGCCCATAATAACTCACCAGCATTTTTCCATACATTTTGTAACAATGCGACAATAAAGTCAGACTTTTATTTGTACTGAATCACTAGCAATATCTAATCAGGCGCTTCAATTATTTCCTGCAAGAAGAACTTCTACAGGATTACAAAAAGGTTTGGTGCTTACTTGATAATTTGATAAAGTGACAGGATCGACATGAACATTTTTGGTGCTACCATCATGCCATTGCAGTTGGACCATGCTCTGGTAATTCAAAGAATTATCAACAGCTGTTATGGTATATTTACAAAAATACAAAGCTACAACTCCAAAAATACCTTTGTAAAAAAAAACAAAAAATACCTCTATCGTTTATCAAAGTTTTATTAATTAAAAAATTTCCATGAATTAATCATCGAGAGCCTACATCTTCAATAAACCATAGTTAAACTGAAACTTTTGTAAATGTCTTCAGATTTTTGGCAGTCAGAACATACACCTTGTTTTTTAACTTAGAAAAAGCTAAATGTACAAATATTTTATTTATTGGACTTGCACTCTACCTACGCTAATTTCTGTTTTTTAAAAGATCTACATCGAAAAATGTGCATATTGCATGGACACTTTGAGATGATATTCAATTTAGGACTGCACTTAACACAACCTTAACAAGCATACATCAGGGAATTAAAAGAATGGAAATCTGAAGTAGCAATGGCTTTTTGAAGCAGTAATGCTTAGTTTGTTTAGAGAATCTCTAATTTGGAGCTGGGTGGACCACAACATTAGGAAGGACACAGCCGACAACATTCAAGATGAAAACATAAATGATAAACCATTACGACACAGCAAAAGAGGCTTACCCTGTGATGAACCTGGGATACAACACTTCTGTTTATCGATGAAACATATCCATTGACATAGTTAAACGCATTGGGAGCCATTACTTGGTACAGTGTCAAGCCTTTGGCTACAGAAAAAAGTGGAGCTGCTGTCAGGTACAAGAATGAAAAGGCTAAACTGCTGCGATTCAAGGATAAAGACCCAGCTTTAGCCCAATGCCATTCCTGATTAATATGATATGAAGTTGCATTGTATTGGCCTACCAATAATAATAAGACCCTGCTGATTGGAACAAATAAAGAGCCTCATCGAACTGATTCAAAACAGTGTAATCTGTTTTGAAATTAAAAAGAAGAGTCTTTTTATATCTTTATTTGACAGTTATATTTCTATTGAAGTCTAGGAAATAAAGAGCAAACAAGTGATCTGTGCAAAGGTTAGCAAGTTTTAGCAACCATTACCGGACACGGACAGTCAAATTAGGGAGACGGACACGCGTGGTTTGGACAAGGACAAGGAAATTCATACAACTGAAGCCTTTCATAATTGGGACATGATTCAAACAGAACAGAAACGCTTATAATCTGCTACACGATGTAAGCGTTCCGTGCTACTACCAATATAGAAAGAGTATAATTTCAGTGGTTTGTAGATGATGTGTATCTTACTGATGCAAATAAGTTTACCTTTCAAACTGTGCTCATTAAGCCAATCTTTTGAAGTTCGCACTGGAAAGGACGGTGTTTCTACTATCAATGGTGTTGTGTTGCCTTGATAACTACAAAAAACAAAGAGGTTCATGATTTTTTTAGTCTACATAAAGCACTGTGCATATCTATCCATGGTGATGCAATTTATGAACATCAAACTTCAAGAAAAAGTGTCTTCGGTTCTGAATGAAGCATTAATATACATGCAAAAACTGTTTAGAAGCATGGCATAGACTTTGGATAGGATAGAATATTTGAATTACATTTGAACTTGTTTTCCTTGCTTCGCTGCTTCAATTTCCAAGCAAGGCTGCGAAAAAAGAATAACAGTTAAACTTGGGTTGGTGAACGAGATACTTAGACTAAAAGACGAGAGTTAAGCTGGAACATAATGATACTCATGAAAATATTTATACAAATATAGAAAGACAATAGCTTTTTTCATTTGGCTCAGTTAAAAAACAGCAATTTTTAAAGCTGATATTTAAAGAATTTTATGAAAATTGTGCTTAATGATCCCATTTTCCATTGATCTTAATAGTATTATTCGTAAGATCAAAGACCACTTTTCATTTACAAATGACAACAGATATCAAAAAAGAGTTTTGCAAGATAAATGTGAGATTGAAGTGTAATGCTAAAACTCTCAAGCCAAATTCTCAAAGGTACATAGATAACTGCACACCTGATCTGCAATGGAAATAAATCTGCCCTCAACCATACCACCTTTTCTCATATCTGAAATCTGAGATAAAATCTGAACAGTTCTGCAAAAGAAAAAAGAGTTGAAAGGTTACAAAAATACCTAAAATAGGCACTGAGGTAAGATACACAGCTTCGCTTGTGAAGATGTAATAGACAAAAATTGAAACTTGTATACTTTGATGTTAACTCGATCAAGAAGTAATAGTTGGTTTTGAAACATCCGAATCCAAAGACAACATGACGGGAACCCCTGATAAACAGCCAGTGTGAGCCATAAAAACTAGGCAACCAAATTCTGCGAAACATGATTTGGTGGAAGAATAGACCAATCTAGAATGATTTCCTTAAACCCATGAAGGGAAATATTTCAGTTTGTGGTAACTGTTTAATCTAAAAGCAGTTGAATGCTTTCATTTTGTTAAGTATCGCTTTTGATTGAAGATGATTGGCCATCCATCGTAGAAGAACTTGCAAATAAGCCTACAAAATGAGCACCGTCCATCATCCTTAAGGTAAACGGCTTATTAATTATCTAAAACAGCTACGAAAAGATTTTGTACCTTCTTATTTCCTGAGACAGCATTTGAAGATCTGTTCCAGTCATGATATCAGCCTACAAGAAAAATTGTTATTTAAAAACAACCAATTTTCCGTGAACGTAACAGTCTGAAAATATCTAACAGGTCGATGACATTATACTTACCAAAATTGTTTGAAAATCTACAGTAAATTTTTACAGTTTACAAAAATGTTCCAATCTCCTTTGCCATGTTTAAATAACCTATGGTTGCAGGTGAAATTCATGTATGTATAGGTTGCATTAACTTTACTACTTTAGGATTGGATCTTCCAACGGAGAAAAGAGGAGTGAAAGCCAGGAGTGAAAGCCAGGAGTGAAAGCCAGGAGTGAAAGCCAGGAGTGAAAGCCAGGAGTGAAAGCCAGGAGCGGTCAGCTTCCAAATTGGAACATTAAATTTTTTAATAATTTTTGAATGGTTAGCAATTAAAACACAGTTCGAGACGGAATTTGAAAGTTCGAGATAGATAGACAGGTATTTTAGATAATTCGAGATAGAAGTTGCTAGTTTTATCAATAAAGATATGGGGGTTGAAAGAATTGATTAGCAATGAATACGTGAAAAGACTTTGTACCTCACTGGTAGCTGAATAGCAATGATATCGTCCTTGAGTTGCATTTGCTAGCTCTTCGAGAAACATCTAGAAGTAAATTGAAGAGTGATAAACGAGTGCATCTAAAATATTCAGTACGGGTATCCATAAAACAGGACAAAGTCTTCTAATTAAAAAATGGTAGAAAATGCTCAAAATGACACTTCAATACCTGATAAAAATAAATTTATGTAGTAAAATACCAACAGTACTTGAAAATGTCTTGAAAATATGAAGAAAGGGACAGTCGCTTAAAGGTTAAAGCATAGCCTATCTCAACTTGCGTCAACAGGGCACACAGAAGATTAGAAAACGTTTTGACTTCCAGTTACTTGCCGTTATATCTAGAAATTACTAAACCTTTGAAATTTAGAATCATTTTTGTTGGAATAAATGACATTGTTCTGACTCACTGGCCAACAGATGTAAGTTATAATCAAACCCCAATGTGAGACATAAAGCTTTATTATTCAATATTCAATGGCCTGATATTGAACTATCATTAATTCAACTTTGCATCAAGACCTTTTCACTGGAAGCGGTACCAGAAAGGGGGGATTCTTTTTACACACATATTTTAATACCCAGTAGGCTACGTCTGTCAAAACAAGAGCTTTTGATAAAAATTCCTCTTAAACACATGAATTTTTACATATCAATAAATATCTGCACAAAATTACTCAAAATTTAATTTATTTATGCTCATGAGCTTGGTGGAACAGAATTGTGTTCTGTTTGATTTACGTCAACACACGCTAAAAGGCTGAAAATAAATCAGAGAAACCTGGAATGGCTGATGTATTTTGTGTGGCCATGAAGAGCGCTATACTCACATTTGTTGCTGAAATGCTGCAGTTGTAAGCAACGGTATGGAAAGGCAATGATCTACCAACTATTGACTCGTGCACATAGTCAATTATTGTTTGAGGATTTTGGTCAGGACTGAAAAAGAAACCAAAATAGGAAACAGACTATTTGAGGGTAGAACAACAGTTTAAATCTGATGCTTCAAGCTGTTACTAACACAAAAAATTGCCCTTCACACTATAACTGCTTAAGCCAACTTTAAGTAGGGGATTATTAAGGGATTTTATTGTTTTTTTACATACTTTCTCTATTGAGTTTGACAGCATGTGTTTAATATATCCACGAGCATGTCTAAAGCGTATAGAAAATATTCAATCTTTCTCCGAAACATGTCAAGTGAACGAAGAAGATTTCTGCACCAAGAGATACAAGTGCCTAAAGTCCCATATCTGACTCTTTCAAAATATCTATACAGAGCAACTTTCACAAGCTTTACTACTGGCACTGGAAAACCACAATAATGGAAAGACAAACGAGCTTCATAATAGAAATGAAGGTTCTTTCTTAACACATTGAAGCATTCGAAAAGGCACCAATCTATAAAAGAGAACGCAGTAATTGCGATATATGATCACAGAAAAACAGTGAGAAAACAGTCAATTTCCTTAAGAAACAGAAACAAGACGTTCAAGTGTAGATTCAAAAATCAATCCCTCCTTACCAGTTCCCTAAAATTAGGATGATGCTGTCGATGTCATGCCTTTTTACCACTTTCCGTACGACAGACATAACGTTGCAACCCCCGTCGGGCTGCAAACAGTCAATCCAATGGTTCGCTTCATCGATTCTACATGAATGAAATGAGATGATAATGACGGGGGAAAGTTATAGACAAGGATTGTTCAGTTGAATTCCAATTTATGCTATAGTATTACCATTTCTAACATTCGAGTTACAAGACATTGAGGAGTTCAATTTTCTTCATGTTTGATTGCCTTCTTAATTGAGTTTTCTAACATTTAAAGTTTAAAGACTCATTGCTAACAATGAGTCTTTGCGCGCGTGGCAAATTGTTCAGGTGACGATCCAAACAATGGCAGCAAACTACTACAGATTAACCAAAATTGATTTAAGACTGTCTGAAAATGCATTATGGGATACTTGTGCAGCGCAATGGCCCATTGTTAGCAATGATTCTTTAAAAACATGAAAATGTTTCAGTCTGGTCTATGATAGACAGAGATATGACGTTTGCTTATATTGCCTGTTTATGTCAATAAAAGAAATGCACCTGTTTGCAAATTTATGCAGGAAACTGCAGGGTTTTATCTACAGATGGGCAAAGGCATATCAAAAATAGAACTCCTTTACAGTATAGCTTGGATGATTCACAAAACAAAAAACTGGATCTACGAATACAAATTAATGAGGCAAAATAACCATAGTCCAAAAAAACCCAAAGGATTGCCTTGTTTCAGAAAAACTTACATTCGAGCATTGACGTCTCTAGCAGCGTTCCAAAGAGGCTGGACATCAGTGCCAAACGAGCACAAAAAAAGTTTTTCTTTTCTAGCTAACTGCTCCCCTACCAATTGCTGAGAAATGAATATAAATTTGGAATAAATAAAAAAACTCACAAGTCGATCGATTAGAGAGGAAAAATTTTACTAAAACGTTGCTTCATTTACGGTTGAAAAAATTTTACTGCTGAGAAAAATAAACAACAGCTTTTCCTAACCCTTTCTTCATTATTATAGTTTAACTAGTTTCTTTCTATTAATTGTTTCATATTAAAATACTGTAATCTGGTTTTCTTCGTATTTCTATATTGAATTTTTTCGTGGTAAAAAATTTGAAAATAGTTCGACAAAATAACTCTGAAGAGTGTCAAACGAAAACCTTCTATGTGTTGTAAAATGCTTGCTTTTTTCAAAGCCATTTTTATAATGTTTGCTTGAAAGCAAAGCCCCTCTGTAATATAGTTATCTAACCCGAGAGGCTACCACGACTAAATGATAAAAAATTAAATGTTAGTGAAAATGTTGTTTATTGTCAATAAATGTATGGAATAACTTAATGTCAATAAGTTGTAAGAAAACAAAATTTACAAAAAAAATCTTTCCCCTCAATACTTTCAAGATAAATATTTCCCCGCTGCCTTAAAATTTAATAGGTGAAAGGATTTTGAATACCTTGATAACTAATATTTTAAAATCAGAATCGTTTGTATAAATGGTAAATACAAGAAGAACAGAAATGAAAGAAGACTAAACACAGTAGAACAGAAAAGAAGAGATTAAAGCGCATAGAATTAAATCATCAGTCATAAAACTTGATGCCAACTCTCTACCAGCTCGTTCCTCTAAATGTAACAAGTTAAAGTTGAAAGAGAGAGTAAATGTGACGGAAATGACATCTAAAACTGAGCTTTTATCTATAAAACTAAATACTTCAATAAGGATAGTATGAATAATCAGGTATAATTTGAAATATCCGAGAACATTGTTCCTAGACAGTTCAAGAAGGTTTGCACTGCTACAGGAACAATGCCGATTTCTTTCTTGCACCCTGTGATCATTGAACCCTAATAAATAGTAAGGCACAACTGCTTTGGGATGCCGAGTGATGTCATGAATTCAAGTTGGTAACCTTTCGTATTCTATAAAAATGCAAAGGACAACAGAAGACAATACGTGTGTTGTCAAGCATTAACTTATCATACTTCAAGAACGTCGTATATGATATTTCCGACCCACAAAGATCAAATTTGTTATTTGCTTGCCTTCAACGATTCTTGTATCAAAGCCAGCCTTCCAAATCCAGTATTCGTGTCTGATACATCAAGTAGTATGCACGGCTTGCTGCCAGTTAATAGCCCGAATGCCTAAAAGAATAAATTTATTGGCTAATAGGATTTCGCAGACAACAAAATCAGAGGTGGAAAAAGTATCGGAACCTGGGAACATAGTTCCCAGAAATATTTCTAGATAAAAATGTAGCAGAAAGTTTCACAGAAAATTTTTGAAGTTTTAAAGTAAATGTAAAAATCTGGTGACAAATGTCAAGTCAAATTAACAGAAAGTATTATTTTCAACTCGCCTGTGAGCAGCTAAATTTGAGCTGCCAAAGGACTGTGGGAATTAGTCTCTTTCCAATGGAAAGAAATGCTTGGTGCAAATTATTTACATTCACCATCTCACAGAAATCTTAGCCACTCACGTTCAGAATTTTTTTAGCAGCTGAGCTTTTAAGACAAACCATGATTAAGACTGAGATTAATATAGAGACTGGAATCTACTTTTACAGAAAACATTTCTGACACCATGGTGTGAGCAGCATTGATCATAAGTTAATATGCTTAGTTAAATTAATTTGTTGCATGCTAGGACTCCATTTCAACCACATATTGCTTCTCACTTGTCAAAAGATTAGGCTAAGTCATAAATTGCACCATACAATTCAAATGATTTTGCCCTAACTCTTCTGAAACTATGTTTGGAGATTTTTGCATGGATTTTCCATCATGATTTAATGAATCAATTTCTAGTTAAAGTTGATTTCTTTCTTATGTGCATTTATGCATTAAATAAAGGCATATCTAATATGTTGAGAATGACAGTTTTGGAACAATAGTCAAGATCTCCGATGTTAAATGACACTGATTATGTTAAGAAGTTGATTGCCTGATAATTTTATGCATTCGATTTAACCTTCTATAGAAATACTTCGAGAGAAAAAAAACAAATTAAGCATCAAAATAAAAACAGATTGAACATTCAAATGAGAAGTATCATACTTCTTAAAACTAAGTTTGCCCTCTTTTATATATCAACCAAGTATAGAGATATAGGCACAAACAGAAAGTTTATTTGTCTACCCCCTAAATCTTGCAGAAAGTTTTGAGCCAGATTCTTAGGTTCCCAGAAAGAAGAAAATTTTTTCCACCTCTGAACAAAATCTCCTCACAGAACTCAAAACGTTAGGTTGTACTAATGGCTAACCTATCAACATACCCTTCGACTGTCTCTCAAAAGCCACCTGATCCTCTCTTGGCAAATCGTTAAAAACCTAAAACAAATAAAAAAGGAACATAAATATATATTCTGACTCTTCATACTATGGCGTGTGAATATTTACAGCACATTCTTAAACTTATTTAACCGAAAGAGACATTCGTTCGAGTACAAAAAGATTTAGTCCTTTAAGTTGGACTATAGTTAACTCCAGTTATAGTAACTTCAGTGTTACGTGGAGAGATGTGTCTGTAATACGAACTATAGTTTACTCCAGTTAAAGTAACATAAAGTGTTACTTGGAGAGATATGTCTGTAATCTGAAAGGGACTAGCTACAGAAAGCAGTTGATACGCTTTGCTAGTGTTGATCAAAGTTCAAGTGGATCTAATAACTGGCTTTCTAAGCCACGTAACTAGAACAAGATTCAGTCGTACATGAAATGGAATTAGGCATTTTAAAAGTCGTATTGTAGCAAACTATATTCAATTGATCCTTCAAAATGATTCTGGATTGTTGTCGATATGATCCTATAAAATCCTACAAAATTCAATTGATCCTATTCTTTTCTTTTATCTTTTTTCTTTTATCGTACTCTTATCTTTTTTTAATCTTCAAATACCCTCCTTTAACTGCTATAGTTTACAACAAGGCTACTGTAGACAAATACCTTTTTAACTTTGATTCGAATTCATTGAGGACAGAATTGTAGAACTTGAGATGTTGGCCTATTCTGTCAGGATCCTGGCTTTCTGAGCTTGGGGGCCTAAAAGCGTTAGAATTAGCAGATATATAAGAAACCTAATAGAAAGCAGATACTACAACTATAAACTGAATGAACAAACGTCATTGATACAAACGCGATAACAGGGCATTCTATCACGAACATTATGGTATCAATCAAAACACTGCAGTAAAAATATTGCAACACTGCTTTTGTTACATGACTTCTATGAAATCAAAAGATCGGCTCCGATGCAAGTTGGAAATGGGCGTCAGGGCAAATTAAAAATTCACAACAAAAGAGAGGTCCCTTCAAGAGCATTTGAAATTATTCAGACAACCAGAAACATAACAAGTGCAGCAATGCTTAGGTCACAATAAGAAGCGGTCAGAAATTCGTCTTCACATAATAGCAAACTGTCTTTTCAGGAAAGAGGAATACATACTTGACTGGGATTCCTTCTTTCAGGATATCTTCAACTGTGAGACTGAGAGCAGCAAGGCTGTGGTTATCCAGCCATGTTTTAGAACTTTGTCCCTCCGCTCTTGCAACTTCGATGTCCTTAACAAGCTATAGATAAAATGAAGAACACAATAACCTATCAAGTATCTTTAGGGAAACAAAAGCCAACACCAGTAAATATGACACTGTTGAAGATAATAAAGATCAGAGGTAGAGTAAGTTCTTGCGAGTCATCGTTATTGTGCAAAATGACACGTGAGACAGAGAGATCAGTCTCAGAAAGACTTCTTGCTCAACCCTCAATAACAGTATTCTATCCTTTGGATAAAAAATAAAAGCACCTACTACAACGGATAAAGAAAACTCAGAGCCACTTAGCAAATAGCAAGATAGACTTCAGATTTGTTTCTCCAAGTAAACATGTGTAGTTGATTGTTAAATTTTATCAGCAATTTTATCACTGTGATTTGTAAACCAATATGCCCTCCAAGGCATAAGAACAAGTCACATAACTTTATGCAAGAATACATTGCAGCGATTTAATTAGATTTGGCATTTTAAAAAACTTTGCACGTCTGTCGAGTCTGCAATGCTACCCAAAGAAATCGTTTAAATGTTTGAAATAGCGAAGAATACCGAAAATTCAGACATGGGAATTATAATACCACGCAGTCTTATAAAAAATATTATCTTTAATAATAAATTTATTTCTAAAGAGTATGCAAGCCCAAACCTTTTCAAATTCCTTGATGCAAAAGTCAAATTCCTGCATTAACTTTTGCATCAACGCATCTGAAAAACTCACATATCAGCCTGACCAATACTCACCATTTGAAAATACTCATCTTTCTTGCTATTAAAATATGCATCATCTTGTAAGAGCTGCGCTTGTTGCAACCTTGTGGCAAGCATTTTAGAAATATAGCCTTCCAAACTATTACTTCAATCAAGCATGCTCAAAACATTTAGGCAACATTTAGGCCTAGTTGACTTCAATCACAAACACCTGACACGTGCTATGGTAACACAAAACAACAGGTTTTCGAATTTATGAATGATGTTAGGGAAACCACGAAATCGCATTCAGACATAAACTCACGAGCACCTGTTCAAAGTTGCTTGATATTTCTGGAAAATTTAGCGTAATGTGGTCTAATTTTGCATGTAAGAAACAGGAGAGAAAATATGACACGGTATGGTAAATAAATTTGCACTGTTTTGTACACCGATGATCCCTTACACAGAAAATGCGAAACAAAATTGCGGATGTCTTGGTTTTTAGACAAAAGAGGGTCGTTTAACTTTTAGCATATAATGACAAAGCAGGGCTGAATAAGAACTGATAACAGAAAAAGAAAACGGAATAAACAGCCAGAAGACGAGGAATAGGTGAGATAATTATACTTGATACTCTTGAAGATATGTGAAACTCAAGCTACCTTTCAATAAATTAGGAAATGTATCATAAAAAAAGCAGAGTTTATCGGATGACAATACCAGTTAGGTCGCAATTTGTATTGACATATTGAACAGTTAATTAAAAACTATACTTTTGAATGTTTTTCATAAAGCAATTTTTGAATCTTAAAGGCATACTTTCTGCAACAGGTTTCTGCTGCAAGTCGAAGGAAATTTACTTGTCGCAGAAAGTATTAAGACACAGTTGATAAAAATTGGTAAAAGAATTTGGACTTTTTCATGTAGAAAGTGAAAATGAAAATATGAGTTCATTCTACTCGTTTAAAACATCTTTCATAGCTGCAATTTTTTAGTAAAATTTTTAAGGAAAATGTGAGAACATGTGAGAATAAAAAACTTTGAAGTAACATGCCAAAAAAAATCCATAGAGAGCGCAAATTGGGTACAAATCAAAAGAAGATTTGTGTTATAAAAATAGATAGATTGTTTAATTTTAAGCTTATTTTTAGCTCAGTGGCAAAACATGACTTTCCAGATTGGCAGAGAGGAGGTGGTGGAGGTAACATAGAAAACAAAAATCAACAAAGACAATAAAACATGCTGACACCACTCACACCAGATATGACTTTGGTTCATTCAAATTAAGGCAAGGCTTTGTGTTACTGCAACACATTGAATTCAAATTTTCTAAATCTAGCTATTCAGGTAAAAGGTAAATGGCGTAGCTTGATAATTGGCATTTAGCAGTAAAAATGAGATATAGGAGAGTCAAGATGTATCTTTGTGGTACAATAAAAGAGAGGTAGCCTTCCAATGTGTACAAAGAATGCTGGTAGGCAATTACATGATTTATACATGATTACATAGCCTTTGACTCACCACACAGTGTACTCATTCTTCATACACAAAAATGAATTCGATTCATGATTTTCACTGATTGACTATTGAATGACAAGAACACATTTGAGGATTACTTGCAAGATTGTGCTAACAAAAGCAAATTTGAAATACCATACATACCTGCAATTCAAAATTCTGCCTCACAGAGGTAACAAGCAAGTCACCCTGGGGAGACACTGCTGTATTCAATGCTAGCTCTCTATTCCATTCAGGGTTTGGGGTCCTTGTCATTGTGTTAGGTGTTCTGGATTTAAGGAAAGTTTAAGAAGCATATCACACAGTCATAAAAACATAAAGAAACATACCATGAAGGTTTAAAAAGAGGAAATCATAGGTTAGAAAATTTGGAATTTGGATGCTTTTGCCAATTTTCAGGGATTTTATTTTTATATCTAACAAAGGTATCTATCTACTGTAAATGTAAACTGAAGGATAAATGAAAAACAATAAATTAAAAAACATTTTACAAATAGGCATTTAGATATTAAATAAGATTATTTAATCAAAGAATACATGTTAATATTTGTATAAATTTTAAGGTAAATTGTTCATCTCAGGAATTGTGATGCCATGACACAGGTGGGGTAAAAACCACAAAAAATACAGTGACAAACAATGGTCTTTTGGTCTTAAACAATGGAAAAATGTAACACCATCTTAGCAAAACAATCGGTTTGCCCCCACCCCCAATATTTGACCAAGTGTCTGCCCATGAATAAATACAATGGAAGCCTGTATCCTAAGATTTGTCAATTCTTCTGTAGCTTAAGCAAAGATCATTGTTAATCAGCGAAATACAGATTTTTATTCTCAAAAAGTATCTTTCAGGTCATTCCATATCAAACACCCTTTCAGAATTGTCCAATTGTTTGTAGGTTTGCTCATACTAATGAGATAGAAGAACCCTGCAAATTACAGCTCAATAACTTTACTTGTTCCAGAATGAGAGCCACTTGAAATTCATACCATATTGGCTCGAATTCACCATTTTTAATATTTGCCGTAAATCTTTTTGGCAAAATTCAATGTATATTTTGGCATTTTGCCCTGAAAACATCTCTTCTGGGTGAATCAATACTCAGGAGTTTGAACATGACATTAGAAACCTGCTAACATCTACAAAAAAGCAATAGAATGTTTGTATCCAAGGGCTTCTTTTGTCCTTAGCAACTATGCTGCCCCCACTTATGTCATTTTTTGACAATCTTGCCAAAATGTGACAAATCCCAATTTTTGAATATTGAATATATGATTTCTAAGCTTGTCTAGTGCAAAAAATCAGAGATAGTATTTTTCTTCTCTTGAGATCAATCTAAATCATCTCTATCCGCCATAATCTCTATCCAACATAAAATTGTTGCTAGTTTGTCCCACCTGAGAGATCATAACTTGCTAAAGAACAACAGAATTCCCACATGGTGCTGTGAACTCCAAAATGATTTATTTCTTCTATCCAAAGATAGAGATAAAAATTAAAAGGTTCCAAAAAAATACTCACGATTTATTCTTTTGGTGGCTTCTCCTTCCACTTCCACTGGGGATATTTATATCTGAATGTGTTATACTCCATGACTTCTTTTTCGCATAACTAAAAATTTAATTCAGAATTCAAGCAATGAGCCTAAATAGAGAACAGCACCCTTAATCAAAACACTATATAAGTAAAGGAGTTTCTAAAAAAAGAAAGGCAGCTTCATCCAGAAGTTTTCCCTGTATTCAGATCTTCAAACAAACAAATATCTGCGGGGTTTATTTGGTGAACTTTATAGTGACTGTTTGCTAATATGTAGATGTAGTCATCACCTCCATTTATATTAGTTGATACTAGAGTCCTGTCCCCATGAATTGGTGCATTATTCGAAAATATTTGTTATCTTGTTTGAACAAAAGTTTATAAAAGATCTCACTATCAAAGGACACTTGTTGTGTCCTCTAAACGATGTTTTGAATTATTCTTAGATTTACTCAATTTGCTTTCCGTACAACCAACATTAACAAGAAGAGCACTGTGCGAAAGGCTTGCCGCCATACTGGTGCATGGGCCAAAATCAAGTGCGCTAATGCTGCTACAAAGACCATGAGTATAAGAATTTGTTTACTTGCAACCATTTAATTGACAGTATAGAACAGCTAACTATTTTGTAAAATAATTACATACAATTATTTTAATCTAACGCTTTAAAACCTGTAACAACTATTAAATAAGAGGATCTTTGGAGGAGATTAAAGCCATTGGGGAGGGGAGGGGGGCTGTAGCCCTCCAATCAGATAATAATCTTCCCTTAGTCCAGCAAAAATTTTGGTAAACAATGGAACTTTGTAGGGCAGGCCTGCTAGATTGTTTCTTCTTGTATGGTTATGACCCACAGGCAACCCTGGCTGAATTCCCAGGGGTGAACGACTATGGCAACATGTAGAAAATAAAATGTGGTCTGAAAAAGTCCTCTGTTTCAAGGGATGTTAAATAACTTACAAGTTTTTCCTCAAAGTCTCAATGTTTAATATCTAAACATTTAACGAGGGTGCAGAAGTATTGCAGTTGTTTTTATATCAAAAACAGATTCTCCAAATAAAGGACCTTATTGGCAGGTTTCAAATAAAATATTGGCATAAAGTGTTTCACATAAGATGACCAAATTGGAAGGAAAGGATTAAAAAGACCATTTATTTGTTTGATAATAGAGGAATTTATGCAACTTTGGGGGTGTGGACTACAAATTTACCCGATTAACAAATAATTACCTTAAATTCTTAATTTGCTGTCACAAACCTCTGCATATACATTTTGTCAATCTAACTGTGTGGCATATAATTCGCAACTTTCATTTTAAAATGATAATAACAGGCTTTCCTAATAGTTTTGCCAAATCTGTATACTGGGACAGGCCTCTACCTGAGGCAGCACCATGGCTGGCGCCAAAGGATTAGAAAATTTTCGAATTTTAATGCTTCCAGTTCCCTGGAAAATGTACTCTTGTAAGCAATCCTATCGAAAATTCTTTTATCTTTGCAAACAAATTGAACAGCAGATAGAAACAACTGGTATAATTTCGCAGTGGTCTTAAAAAATCCCATGTTGTCAGTTACTTCAAAAGCTAGGTAACAAGCAGCACCGGTTGCCAATTTAGATCACTTTTTCCATCTTAGCATGCCTTTTGAATGTTAAAAATATCTTGAGCTCATAGTGAATTGCAGTTGACACTTCTACCAAAAAACATTAGGGAAAATGGACACAAGGTACAATATTACCTAAAGAGGGCTTGGATTTTTAGATTTTGTGCCAACAAGAAATCTTCAATCTTCAAATCATTAGTTTGTTTACCTTCATTCATTTCAAGGAATATCTTATTTGGCCAAAGTAGCAACTACCTTTGCTTGATCCTTTATTGATTTTAAGACATGAAGGTAGCTGAAATACCTAAAGCGTCTCTTTCACTGGGCGGATTTTACCTGAAATTTCCTATCGAGATACTATGTGGGGGGGGGGGGTGACACCATACCCCCATAGCGTCGCGACGCTCCTGGTTTCCACCCTTGTATAGATGGTGGTGGACACTTAAATCAATTGCAGTGATTTTTGCGACTGATGAAGCCCCGTATGCCGGGGCGAAATATTAGCCTTTAGTGATTTACATGTATTCATTGTTGTTTATTCTCGGCGTATTGCGGTGTTTTATATTTGCTACATTTTTGCGACAGCTGGAGGTTTCATTGAGGAAAATATACGCAGGTGGCAAGTGAAATTGAAACGCTCACTTTCAGTCCAAACAGAGATTATCAGCAGGTTGAAACTTGTTAGATACCCTACCATTCAGTATAAGTGTTGTATAGTTGTTTATATTTACCAAAGCGACCCAATTAACACCTACAATATTATTATTGTTGCAAATACAATGACTCGCTTGTTCAGAATGAGCACATAAAGTATAGCCTAGGCCTAATTAAAGCGAGGCTCAGTGCGCTCTTGACTAGCCCACTATTTATAATACATACAAACCTTCTCCTGGGCCTTTCTTCCTTATTTTCTATTTTTTCATACACCATTTCTCTACATAAAAATTTCTAATGGCGATAAATGTATTGAAACCATCCCATTACAGTCCTAAGGTGTTGATTTTATTTGCAATCATTCCGTTTCTAACGACGTCTCCATGGGAAGCTCCTTCGCAGAGACTGCTCTGAAGTGCAATTTTTCTCAGACAAAGGTGGGATTTTGAAAACCTGGATATTTTTGCAGACACGTGAACAAAGAATTTTTTATATGTAATAGGGTTGTGTGATTATCATTTCTGCAGCATAATAACATTGGGACTCCAACTTTTCCAAAACAGCTTGTAAAAGGGATTGACATGGTTGCTATTGTGCATCTACCATTCTGTTTCCACTATTTCAAAGAAAAACTAGAAAACCCATGATCTGAAACCCATTTATTTGAGTTAAAGCTTCGGTAGTCGCAAAGAATATCAGATAATTTGTTCAAGAGCCGTTCATCAGTTCCTCCTCCAAGGGGTGTCAAGCGATACCCGTAATACTTTCTGACTTGGGCCTTTCTTTACTTCGCTAGATCTAGGATGAATTTATTCGGGTCTCCTCTTCGGGTCAACGAATAAAGTTTTTTGGAAATTATTTGCTCTTTGTGAAAACTGCTACCTACATCCAGGGTCTGCAAAAACTCGTATATGGCGTCTTAGTATACGTAAACTTTTTGTCGCCTACGTTTTTTGGCTCTGATTTTGAGGGAGACATTAATGAAGAACTGAAAGCTGCGAAGGGTGTGTCATCCTATCCAAAAAGCGTACGAGTTTTTCGAGAACAATACGATATTTTGGGATTTGGGGGATATCTCTTGAAAACAAAAGGACTTTTGCCAAAGGCGTATGAGATTTTTCGTAGAGTGATATGCCCCTCATAAATGTGTCTCGATACCACTGTGTTGCAAATGGTGGTTCAGAAAGCAATACTATAGGCTTACTTGAAACCACCCTAATGTTAATGTAACAGGGTTAGAAAAAAAGAGCAATTTAAACAGGTTTCAACGGTTTACTTCCGATGAAAGAAAAATTTCATTGAATGTTCACATAGCAGCTCTTATTGCAATTCTTGATAAACCTTTTATCAAATACATCCTACAAAGATAATTCAACGGATTAAAGAGCAGCATATGCTGACATGAAAACCTCGATACACTGAGATCGATACAGCGGATAATCGTTTACGTTGTGCCAGCGGAATTTACTATATAGAATAAACGAGGTGAGGTTTAAATTAATTGTTATGGCGATAGATAGTGTTTACAATATAAAACATAATGATAATAGAAAACAAGTTTCAATAACAAAGCAATGTGTGTCTGAATGTGGTGCATTCCTAGACCCTACTTACAAAAGCGAGAGTGGCTCGGATCCGCTTGGACCCGACTCAGATAGGACAGGCTCATAATTTCTTGCCGGTGTTCGGTTCCATTAATTGAAGCGATTGATCCGCTCAGAAAGGATTCTCGCTTCAAGAGAATGCAACATCTAATCCAAAATCTTGCGCCGTCGTCTTTGATGATAAAGCAATGCATTTATGTGTTGAAGCTTTGGTGTCAACATGCCGAGAAAGCAAAATCACATGTAAGAGTGTTCTTTATTTTCCGTACTGAATGGAAAACGAAACACAAAAAAGTAATCTTGACGCACTTTTCATGAAGCCATCTGCAGAACAACAAGAGAAAGTGAGAAGCCTGTTCTACAACTCTTCGTCAAGTTTGCCTCCTTCCCTATCTGTTCTAATTTGGTTCTGAACCATTTGTCTGACTACATAAGCAACAGTGAGCAGGATCCCAATGGAGATCCACGTGCATTGAATCCAAACGTGTACGGATAGCAGATCACATCCTTGCTGTTTGAGATTGGATCCGAAAGGAACCGTTTCATTTTACTCTCGTGTAAATAGGTTCTTGAGGTGATTTTTATAAAAAAAGACAAGGTGGTTCCTCATCAATCGTGTACAAGCGATGCTATTTCAGTTGCAAATAAAACGAACCTCAAACAGTAGGGGTAATATTATAAATTCTAGTTTTTCTTTTATGTGTGAACATTACATTACTTCTTCACCATCAGTTTGCGAGGAAAGTTCTGAAGAAAAAACACTGCTGTTGGTGATTACTGATTACTAATTACTGATTGGTGATAAATTGTTGATGATGGATGATTGTTGATGATAAATGATTGATGATCGTTGGTGATTATGGTGTTGATGACGGCAAGTTGTATCATCCTTCATTCTAAGTTGTTCGTCAAAAAACATTCCGCAATCTTTACCAAGCAAGGTGCATTTTGACACTTCTGGCAATAATTAGCTGCTCGATATGTACAATATTTTGTAAAAAATTACTAATCTTAATCCAATTCTAATCAACCAATGTCATGGTCGCATTGCTCACAAAGCAAACATGCCCTCCTCTTGAGTTTCTCCCGCCATTAACTGCATTTGCCTCGGAGCCCCCGAGTTCCCGCGTGTCGACGCGATCCTCTCCTGGCCGACAACCGATCGTTCTGCTAGAAAGCGATCGAATTCGTCACTGGTTAAAGGTTTGTCCTGCTTTTTGCCACCTTCGGTTGACTCAGGTGACGCAGCATCTTGCGGAGGAGGTGGGTTGGTTGGCTGGATCTTGTTCTGTTTAACGTAAACAGTAACGTTAGTAGGAGAAAAACGTAAACAAAATGTAAGAAAATCATAATTTCTCTGGCCAGCATAGGAAAATATTCCAGAGTTACTTTTGTATGAGATGAAAAAATCGAAACAAAATACACGATATTAACTTAAGGGTATTTCGAACGCAACGTTGAAAAAAAAATTCATACCAAATCCACATCTTTAAGCCATTCTTCCACATCTTGCATGCTTCAAAAAGGGAAGAAAAATTAGATAAAATTGTAGCAGGTTATTTGTAAGTCTAGACATTTTGGGCTGTTTCTACTGCAAATAGGAATTAATTACACCGAAACGGGTGCGAATGCTGTTTAAAAATCATGGGGTGTTTCGAGAATAAGGAATTAGAACTTCAAACAGGCTGCAAAATGAAATTAGCCGATGCTATAACAATATAGGAAGTAGTAGAAAAATACCATATTACTGTTTTACGAAAGAGAAAGCTTTAAAACAGGAGCCATCTTGTACTTTCAAGATGAAATGCCATTAAAATGGTAAATAAATAAATAAATTATTGGGGTTTTATAGTATGCTGCAAAAATATTTCAATTTTCAAAGCAACTTTGGTATAATGTAATAGAGAGAAAACAAAGCATGTGAATTTGAATAACCGTGGTGGTAATCACCTAGGGTTGAAGGCAGCGAAAAGGTATTAAAAAGCTTGTTTCTTAATTTGATTGACTTAATGCAATAAATAGTCCCCTCTCATACATATGGCTTGTATAAGACTGTATAAGACACTTTTCCCTTTGAGAAGAAGGTTTCAACAGAAAAAATGTAACAACAATAGAATATAGCAAGACATGATAATTATCCACAAAGCATACTCACTCATCTTCGATACTTTTTCCCTATGAGGAAATCATAAGTAAAATTATTCCAAAAAAGTTTCATAAGTGGCGCATAAGTAGCACAAATGTACAAAACAAAATAGTTGTTTCAAGAGTGTATAGCCCTGCCTATAAGGTATTGAGCGCTTTATCACAGACAGGTAACATTTATTTAAACAATTGTTATTTACAGTCTCTTTTGCCTATATATTCCATTTATTTTTATTGCTGTGTAGCTTAAAAATATAAAAAATGAAATAAATCATCTCTTTTGCAAATCTGTGGTGTAATATTAGAAGCAAGGAAACGACTGCAATCTATAAATAATAGCCCTGTATAATTGAAGTCTTAAATAAAGGACGTCTTCATATTTGGCAAAAATTAGAATAAAGTTGGTAAATGCGACGCAGAAAACTTTCCAGGGGATGAAAGAAAAAACCCACGGCTGCAAAGAAAGGTTCTAAACCCGGAAATATATTAAAGGGTTCTAGGGAAACATTAAAAACATAATTATATAGAGAAATTTTGGTACTAAGAACAATGCTTTGCAATATTTTGCAAAATTTACAAAACGAAAAGTAAAGGGCTCCAGGAAAGGATTCAAAGACATGGCAGATAAAAAGAAAAATTCATCAAGAGGAAGTATAGGTGACAAAAAATCAGATATTTCAAGTAAACGGAATCAAGGATTCATGTTGCAATATTTCACATTGCAACATAAACCGAAAATAGCACAAATGGTAGTTAAAGTAATTTAGAACTCATTTAAATTGAAAACAGCGTACTTCTCTTTATAATATCAGAATTTTAATGAAAGCAAAATAATGTAACTGTTAGTTGAGAATAAACAAAAAGAAAGTTAGCTTTACTGATATCACGAAGCTAATTCTTTGAGGATTTCTTTAGCCTTTGAGGTTAGCTTTACTGATATCACGAGATCCTGTCAGTTATTTTCATTTTCTTAATCCGTTATCTAACCTAACAAAATGAAACCACAACAACTTTATACTTACTCGAAGACAATTTTCACGTAGATAGATTATACAAAGACCTTTTGATCGTACAAAAAACCAATAAAATATTTAATAAGAAACTATTGTTTGTTCCAGTTTAATGATTGATTGAAGAAAGGAGGAATTAAAAGAGCATTCTGGATACCTTTTGATCTTTGTCTGTCGCACTCACATACGGAGCTTTAGATGCTATTGCTCCCGAAAACGATTCCGTGGGTACGTTATTGATATTATCTTCGTACGTCGAGCCACTGTTTAAAGAAAACACATAGAAATTGAAAATTATATAAGATCACCTCTATAAATCAATTGAAAAACAAGTACGTATTTGTGCGAAAATAAGAAGACTCTTTAAGCATATATTTAAAGATAAGTGAAATTTACAGGAAATAAACACAGTGTCACGTAACAGACAGGGACATGGCAGGCAAGAAAAACAAACTTCATTAAATTAACATGTAGAGGCTGATCAATGCTCTTGTCATATGAACTATCGATTTCATGAGGCCTCGCAAACATAATAAATTGGCTTGCAATGCTGTAAAGATATAAAGTGTTCATTTGAAGCAATTCTTATGAAGAAATCCCCCGGAATGCGTACTTTTTTCTGCTGTCTGCAAACGAGCTGTTTCTTGTTTGAGCGAACATGTCAAATTCGTCATCATCAGGTACTTTTTGAACACCTATAATGACAAATCATGCATGACAACAAAACGAAATAGGTAGTGATAATATCAATGCTACTATACTTGATGTGCTTATTCAAGCAAAAATAGAACTTACTCTACAAAGATGAGATCAATGCATAATTTTATGAATGCATGAGATTTTGCCTTCTGCCAACAAACTCATAGTTAAAAAATTGAAGAACATGGCTTGTTCTATTGCAACGATGGTTTTTTGCATTTCACTCAGTCATTCAGCATTAGGATAGATGCAATAAACTTGCTTTCGGTCAAGATTGGTGTGGTATTATTGGCACAAGAGCGGCTCCTATACTTCAACCACGGTTAGCACAACATCTAATGCCGATGTTGACACCGAGTTAGATTAATTCAATTGAACAGACTGTGATATCATCATTATTTACTGCTCTTACAAAGCAGTTTTTGTTGGAAACAGCTGCTAATGACTGGCTATATCAGTGGCATGTTTTGGCCGCTGCAATAACACCTACCGAAACGCATTGGCTCCACAAGTCAAAGAAAGCGTTATTAATTGAAAAGACATTGATTTGAGAAAACCACTAAGGCTTTTAACTGTCAACCGAAATTTTCGTAAGTTATAGCCAATGTTAAAATAGATCCAAACTAGTTTTGATTCTAAGCTAAATTATTTCGCCTTGCTATCGTGACTCTAGCAATGAAAAAGTACATATTTTGACTGGACTTAACAACGAAAATACTGAAAATAACACTTAATAAGCCTGCTTAATAATGTTTGACGACCTATATTAAGATTTTGGTACTGGAGCTTGCACAGCAGTAAACTGGGATCGAAAATTATTAGGGCTTTACTATGACAAAATCAATGCAAGATTAAATGCAGTCAAAACAAGCAACTCTGTGAATTAAACTGCTTTTAATTGAATTATTTTCTTAGAAACTGCTCTCAAATGGCTTCCATGATAACTTCAATAGTCATCTTCATTCGAAGAAAATGCAATGAAGATTTCAAAAATGGTTCATGAAAAGGTTTTCCTTAAAAACATTGCTTTAAGTGGCTTTCACTGCTCTTGCCTTAGTGCTTATGCTTATAGTGTACAGGACTCGGTTTTAAGGTTAACTGATTGAGATGGTGACACAGCTGATTGGTTGATATACTGAATGGATTTCGGAGCTCAACCAATCAAATCTGACGCAAACTGGTAGTCGCTTTATGACAAACAGAAGATTTAGCATTCATATCTCCTATTCAAGATGTCAAAGAAAATATCATACCCCTGAAAATGCTAGGCAATGTGTACAAAACTCTGTGATTAATCACGTGTTCAAATAATATAAAGAATATAGGTAGAGGCTAGATTTATGACATATCATATGGACTCAAATGAAGTGTTTTAACTTACTTTGGGGTGGGGCTGATGTCGGTGCGTCGCCGAAGTCAATCAACAGGTCTGCTGAATTTCTACAATTAAAATCAAACAAATTGGAAACCAGTATGCAAAAAGCTTACAAACTGGAAATCAAAACTCTCGAAGTTCCTGTCATCAACAAATTATTCAGAAAGTTCATGTGCATGAATCGTTCTGATTTTGATTTACCACCTGCATTTGCATTCGGACCAAGATCTCAGTAAACACAAAAACTAGCAGCAAATGTAAAGAGAACTGGTTAGAAGCATTCAACGACCTGGCAATGAAGAACGTAAAGAGCCATGAGGACAGTTTGAGACATCTTCAACAATCCTCATATACGGATCTTTTTGTAAATATATTCCTAAAATGGCATCTCTACTAAACCAGGCTTGATCTTGGAAATCCCAGATACTGGCGCATTAAGAACAACCCAAAATATTAACTCAAACATTTGACCTGATGAGCAAAAATTAGTTCAAAGTAACTGAAGCCAACATTAATTAAGACACGATGGCAATTTTGCAGGGAGAATTTGTTTTCTAAACAAATTCATTGTTCAAAGATAAAACGCTATTGTCGCCTTTTGCCAATAACTATAAGGAAGAGATTAAAACTGTTTTATTGCAAACCCGCTTGCAGCTGCTGGTCTCACTACTTCTCCGGGTCCATCAGTAGCAACAGCCTAAATGGAATTCAAGTTATTGATGAACAAGATAAAATTGAATGAATTTTACAACAATTCAACTTAAGATACAAAACATACCCTTTGCAAGATTTAATACTAATCGAGCATTCCTTAATACTTTATTAACATGCTGGTCATATCAAAAGTCCAGAAAATTGCTCAATCTCCCCCCTTCCCGGACCAATGATCCAAAATTTCAAGAAAAACGTGTAAGAGCATCAAAAGCAGGGCGGGGTCTAGGTATGGCAACAAAACCTTTTCTATCAACCTCCTCACTGTCAAAAGCAAACACCACTTTTACTGGATTAAATATAGTATAAATAAAAGAATTTTTTTGTTTTTCGTGAAAAAGAATTGAAACTGGTGTAGACATAAAAAGCCTTTACCGTTGACGGCTGTGATTGCGAGCTCATGAACCCACTTCTGTTTCGCTCAAATCGATCGTAGCGGATGAAAACATTGTTAAGCAGGTCGTTAACTCTCAGCAATTCGCCTGAAAATGCGTAAAATAAAACTATAGTAAAAACGAAAAAGAAATTTTCCAGATCAGATCACGGTATTTTTACGTGAAATAGGATTAACATACTTTGAAATGGCGGATAAACAGAAAAAATAAAATAGTATAAATGGCAGCCTCAAAATAGAATTCACGATAAAGTATCAAAAATGACTAAAAAGGGTATCGTTATCAATACTAACCTGTCACCTCATCATTGGCTACCTTTTGCAATAACTCGATCACTCTTTGTTGCATTTGCCGACAAGTTGAGTTCAGTTCCTGTGAACAGAAGAAAGCCTTTTATGAACACTTTGTCTAAATCTGAACCAGGTTTGCCACTTAGGAGAGTGCCAAAAAACTGGGTGTAGCAACATGAAAATTAACAAACATGATAGGGTTCCAAGAACGTAGTCTTTTAGCATTAAGATTTAGCTAATACAAACCAAATTTGATAGAATACTTATCTCAATGGCAAAAAAATTGAAAATTCATAACCGCTTGTAAATAGATATAGTGAAAAGATCCAAAAAATTATCGTTGATCTTAAAGTAATAGTCCTGTAACAAAAGCTGAAATTTAAAAAGCTAGAATTATCAGCTCGTACCAAAAGATCCAAGATGGCTAATAAAAACTGAGATATTCCGTTGACTGGTGCGTCTGGCTTTGAGCATACAGCTAATGATTTGGTCAACAGAAAATAAATCAGGTGTTATATTTTCTTTTCAATATGATTTCTATCAACATCAGAGTAAAAACGCCATAGTTTAAAAAATATTGTTTAGCGTGGAAATTTACGTGTGGAAATGAACAATTTCATCACTTTTCCGAGCCATAATGAGGTGGCAATGCTATTTATATTAACAAAGCTGTACACGAGAACTCAAAATTCTTACCTTAAGCAAATTCATATCATCTGATTCTTCTTGTTCTGGCGACAAAGCTGTCAGCATCTCAGACATAACACGAACATTTTCCTCTACAGTGTTAAGGTCACCCCTGAGTTTGGCCAGTTGTGTTGGCGTTGGACTCGTGGGACCTGAATTTGTTCTTTGGACAGCAGGAGGAAACACCTTGAAGGACATATCAACATTAGTTTTTAGGAAGATATAATCTCAAAATTGAGACTATAGAAAAAGACAAGAATTTTACAATAGCATATTCTAGAAAAGGGTTATCGATATGAATGAGGATATTGATGTAAAGTATAACAACTTGCTATCATGATAAAAATGAAACAGTTAAGTCAAACTCGGGATCACTAAAGGCAAAATAATTTAACGGCAGAACAACAAACACACAAGATGATACAGCTTGAAAGCATTGAATTATCAAAATCTTTCCTTGAACAGTCCTTACCAGAATCAAGATGAAACAATGCTCAAATTTTTTAGAAGCAAATTGACTAAAACTTTCTTCTTAAAAACAGTGAAAAAGTACGTGGCTTGGCTTTTGCAATTAGGCTGATTTTTTTTACTGACCTTTATGAGGGTTTTCACGTGTTTAACTGTCCCCGTTTTGGAAAATATTCCTTAAGTACTAATAAACCAAATAATAACAACGGAAACAGTTCTCTTAGATACTAAAACAAACTTTTCTCTTTATTTCAATAAATTCTTCTTCATAATCCGCCAAATTGCATATATTCGTTTCTAGATTTTTTTCCTTGTGACAGTGACACAAACATCAACATTCAGTTCATTTCTATCAGGTAATTGCTGAGCAATTTATCAGGGATTGTTATGTGGAAACTCTACACAAGTAAAGACATTTACACTCACCATTGGCTGTCCATTATTGGAAGGTAGTTGATTTGCTGATGCTGGTCTTGGTGTGTTGGATTCCGGCACTGTCTGTGTGTTCAAAGAAACAATTGTGATTTCACAGAAATTATAAGAACCCCGTCTTTAAATCTAGAAATTCAATCTAGGATTCAGAAGGTGCTGTCACATCGATATTGGAAGGTCTGGAAAACTACTGGATAAGCATGGCTGATCTGTGTCCTAAAACATACTTAAGGAGCTACATTGTAGCAAATAAAAAATACAAAAACCTTTCAATGGTGATTACGTCAGTTATGATAAATTTGTTATGTTATGTTATGTTATGTCATGTCATGTCATGTCATGTCATGTCATGTCATGTCATGTCATGTCATGTCATGTCATGTCATGTCATGTCATGTCATGTCATGTCATGTCATGTCATGTCATGTCATGTCATGTCATGTTGTGTTATGTTCTTTTATGTTTTTACTTAATGCATTAATCAATGACTCTTAAGCATTTATTTAATAAAAAGTGGCAGGGTTGCTAAGATGAAATCTGAGAATTTGCCTCAAACATGAAATTTATTTGGTTTGTTAACTTTATTGCTAATTTATTGCAAAGTATAAGATTCTGATCTTCTTTAAAACTAATCATAAACAAATTTCAAATAAAAACGTAAAAAACCTACCCTTTTGGGTGTATGGATTGGTGCTAGAGAGTCAATATCCTGTGCTGGGAACTCATATCCTGAAATATGATGATACTCAAGATAATGTCAAAGATAATATTATGTGTTTTTGACTCTGCAATAAGACTCTGCAATATTTCCAAACTGCACTAAGGAGAACAGCTTTGCAATATGAACAGGAAACATGAACAAAATAAGTAAATTTATGTCAATAATATGATCATAAAATTGTGACAGTGTGAATAATAATTTTGATGATGAGTTGTGGTGATTTTGATTATTACTAAGATTTTTATTATATAACTATGATTTGATAATGATTGATGAGGGGATTATGAAATTTTGATGATCTGTGGTGATGACTGTGGTGATTATGATCTGATGAAGGTGATAAGTGATTATGATCATAATAAGTGATTATGATCATGAAATTATCCTTACCTTGAGCTTTCAAATGCTCATGGCAACGAACAAATGCTTGCAGCTGCTCTGAGTTACGGAAAGCATCAGACCATGATTGCACAAGCATTAGGATCTTCTCTTCTACAATTTGTGGAATCTGACTCACTGTACCCTAGACAATACACAGAATCATTGTCACAGATAAAATACAAGGCTTTTAAAGCATTTTGACTTATTCAGAACGAAAAAGAAACATGTTAAATTCACTTTATAAAAAAGAAGCCTTATTAGAAACCGCTTTTATACAAATTAGAAAAGCAAGCATATTGCAACATTGCAAATAGATTTATTCTATGAAAACATAAGCCTTTGGTGAATACATTAAAATTAAAGTTAAAGACAGAAACATTAAATTAAAGAGAAGTGATTTTGTGTAAATATTAGATGAGCAACATTCAGCAAGTATTTTACAATACCTTTGGAGTAAGTATTTTTGTAAGATCGCCAAGAACATCTTTATTTGCAACAATTACATGAAAACGATTCCCACAGTTCTTGACACATGATTCCAACAACTTTAAATATTAAGAGTTTCAATTAATAACATGAAAAATCAATAATTCAGGTACTCATGCAATAATTGTGAAAAAGTTTAAATAAAAATCTGCATTTTATGTTAATCAGCTTTTTTGGTTGGGAGTGGTATGAAAATTCAACAAGTTTGAGCCAAACAGGTCAAGGTAAAATTGGCCATTTAGCTAAGCTAACCAGTATCTAAATGAGGTCATGTGACACACTGTTTTAGAATTTTGATAACAGCAGCTGATTTCCAGTCTAACTCATTCACTACTGCAAACTAAGGCATTTCCAGATAGGAGGTAACCCCGAACAGTGAGATCGTGAAAAAAACATGACCAAGTTGAAGATTGCTTTGAAAAAATTGAATACAAACATGCAAAATATCGGAATTAATTTTAACAAGGTTCACTATTATTAGCAGCATTTGAGCATGACCTACTGTATTCATATAGCTTGAATCCTAATTAGTATATCTTCAAAAATATTTCTTGAAATCATAATTCTGAATGCTCTCTGTACTGAAGGGTAAGATGCTGCAGAAACAGAAAAGAATAAGAATATAATTGCAAGGAAGTTGCTATCTCAATTACTCACTGTTAATGTGTACATAAGACTTTTGTAATCCTTTTTGTTGGATAGCCGCTTCTTTATGGCCTTCACTGCATCTTTTGCCCTTGATTTAAAAACAAATTTAAACTGTTGAATACACTTATATCTGAATGTTAACACACAAATTTATTTCTATTATCTAAATGCAAAAAACTCAACACACAAGTATCCCAAATAACATCTACTGGTAACTGATATTCTCAACATTCCAGGCATTAGTGATCAAATATAATAACACCTAAAAAGAGAGGCATAGATAATAATTTTCTGATTATATCACTAAGCATGAAGCTCAGAGTCACTTCCTGTTCTACACCTAAGTATCCATATGGTATCCCCACCTCCCCCCCCCCCTAAATTAGGCAAGCCTTTCAAAATAAGCCAATTTGAAAGAAGATGACATATTCTAGTGGACAATAAAAAATTATAAGCTGACCTCAAAAATAAACCGAAGCACACATGAAAAATCATGATAATGCATGCTACCCAAAGGATGGAACTAAGTAAAGATACCACACTGGGGTCCTGAAACGACAATTGGCCACAAAACCCAAAATAATCAGATTAATAAAGGATTTAGAAAATCTAAATGTTATTCTTTCTATCATGTTTTTCAAACACTTTACAGAAATCATCTCAAAAATGATGCTATAAAGCTGGACAACAAACTTCATTCTTGCAAAAAAAGTTAGTTGGGACTTGTTTCCAGCAAATACTTTTAATACCATGTACAACAAACTTCATTCTTGCAAAAAAACTAGCTGGGACTTGTTTCCAGCAAATACTTTAAATACCATGTATACATAATAATTATTGAGTTCATGGGGAAAATAAACCAATGCATATACTACTTCTAAGCTTCAAATAAATGACACTGATGACTTGTGAAAGATTTTCCTGTCAGGTTACATATTACATTAGATAGAAATCTTCTACTGTGTCAACACATAAAAACATCTGAAATCTTAGTTTGTTTGCAGCTCTTTGCAGCATAAACATCACAATTAATAACAATCTGCATCACATGGGTTTAGTGTGATGTAAGAATTCATAACAGATAAAATTTGAATTAAAGAGGCACACAGAAATAGTTGTGGTATCTGAAGTTATTATTTTGTGTAACAAAGTAAACATCAAGAACTTTCACAATTTGCTAAAGTTTTAAATTTGCTAAATCCTATGCACATTTATCTCGGTTATGCATGTCTTTTTAAATGAAACAATAACACACAAATAGAACAAATGCAGAAAACAAAACATCTGATCTATTACAAAACAGGGTTGAATTTTTAATGCCTGGTAATAAACATACCCTTCTTCTGTATCATTGATAATATCGCAGATCTCAATGAACAAGGCCCAGTCTTCTGATGGCAAAATGCTGTCTGTTGCTCTTTCTGCAAAATATTTAACACTACTTTGCAAACTTTTGGGGTAACATGACGACAGGGCCTGAGGAAGATACTGTTCAATTTTACCTACTACATTCTTCCAAGAGAATTTGGAGCATAATGTGAATTTTCATAAGAAAAATAAGCAGAAAAAAATCTGTTTCAGCTTCTGATTAATCTGGGTAAAATATTTTAAGCCATCTTAGACCAGACAATCCCAACTGGAAGACACTACAGTTTTTGAGACTCTTTATAAAAGCATTTCTTAATATTTACAGTTTATGGCGCAATTTATAAATTCAAAAATGGTCTGAAATCAAGCTAAAAAAATTCTTGTTTGGAAAAAATGTGTAATCAACATATTTGAGTTAGCAAATACACCATGCTCATTACAAAAGTAAATTCTTAACTTTCACAACAATTACATTTATTGAATGTATGACCTCCCCCCTTGAAAGTTCAAAGCATATTCCCTGTTATGGTAAGTTGGTCAGTTTGCAACCTAGTGGGCTTTAAAACTACTATGATTATGGAAGACTGTCGCAAAACAACACAGTAATTCTTTATCATTTTTCAAGAAATAAACATTTTTGCCTTCGGCCGAAAATTTTTCAGTTAGATGAAATTAACAAACAAACAAACTGTCGAGGTCAGATTTGCAATCCAAGGTATGAAAACTTTTGAAAATGAAAATTTAAAGGAACCGGACATAATTTGTTGTTTATCAAATCGAATTACATTGCAAGGAATCTTTCAAAACTTATATGGCGACATAAAATGTAGCTTTAGTGCCACAGTTGAAATAGCATAACTTATTAGACCATTTATCTTACTTGATTTAGAAATTGTTTACGAATTCTATCATGGCCACACACCATCTAGAGGACAATAGGATAGGATATAAACAGGGCACTACTAGGCTCTAGGCCTACTTACCACCATCTAAATAAGAGTGAATTTCATGAAGCGCAAGTTGAATTGCATAAAATATAAGTATTTTCTAAAAAAGTAGCATTGTTTTGCGCAAAACATACCGATTCTCTGTCCAACTGGCGAGGAAAATGGATTTGTGTGAAATTTGAATGACGCCATTTCGACACTTTGCCTAAATTTGTTCTTCCAAGGAAACGAGTCTGGGTTCTACACATCCCGTCATGGTTTCAAATCGATGACGTCATAAACTTTTCATAAATTCATGAATTTGCAATAAATTTACAACATGATGAAGACGCCTATCTTTAAATCTCAGTTTTTAACTTAAAGATAAACAAGATAAAACGATAGCAAAAAATGCTTTTTACCGAATCAAAGTAGAACTTACCATCGATACAAAAAAGGGGGTGTCGCACTCCCCGCCACCCCACACATTTCCAAGTAAATCCGTCCTTTGCGATCACTTCTTGATATGCAAAGTAAGTTTTACAGTAGATCGGCTGTGAAGCTTACTAATCGCTTACCGTTGTTAGGCTTTTGATACGGTAGATCAATTGTAAAATTTGTTTATAGTTGGCTAGAAAAATAGCTTGTGCTAATGAAGGCGAACTTTACCTTACTAACAATATTTTTAGAATTTATCTATAAATATTCTTGCAGCAGCTACATCCAGACCCTGTCCAACCTGTCAAAACTATGCCACCCTTAAGGAGATACCGTAAATCCTCGAATTGGCCCCCTCTCGAAAAAGCCCTCCTCTCTCGAATAAGCCCCCACCCTAGAACTACAAACTGTCAATAAGCCCCCCCCTCGAATAAGCCCCCACTGCTACCGTAAATTCTCAAATTGGAGCCCCAATTTGATGACTTTTGCCATCTGAGGTTGCCTATGGCGTATTATTGAATTACCACAACAAATCCATACTTTTGGTTGTAATTAATTAAATACTCATAAATAAATTTCTACTAAAATAAATGAGGTCTTTTAATAATGTCTTCTCAATGTCTACAATAATTTCATAAGCCCCCCTAGTATAAGCCCCCCTCCTCGAATAAACCCCCATCCAAAAATATTAAAAATAAATAAACCCCCAGGGGGCTAATTCGAGGATTTACGGTATGTCGTCGGAAATGTTACGATGTCTGCCCCCTATATTGCTGGTGTCGGCCCTGATGTATAAGCTGAGTCAACCCATAGCTTAGTTGTTAAAATTGTTTGTTTGTTTGTAACCTTATTTTAATTCGATATTTTTTCTAGCTATACATATATATATATATGGATATATACAAATACAACTAATCTGAATCAAATCTACTGTATAACAAATGAAGAGGAAATAACTGAGGAAATAAATACGTACATACATAAGCTAAATATTTTAAGCAACTTGGATATGAATGGACAAATATTACAGGATATCGATATCATTATATTTGCAAACGTTGCATTTACAGCTAGGACCATCCCATTGTGTTATCATACGTTTGAAGCTGTTTAGATTGTCAGCTGATTTTAGTTCATTTGGCAGACAGTTACAGATCTGAGGTCCTATGGCTTTAAGGCTCTGGGAACCGAAAGCTACTTGGTTTGGTCGAAAATGATTTAAGTTTTTAGGGTTCCGAGAAGGATGTTTTAATGTTCTTGAACTAAAAATGCTATGCATAAAAGGTGGATTCAAATTTCTAATTGTCTTGAATATTTCGATACAGAGGGTTCTCTGACGAGCAACTTGCATTGTACATTTTTTTGACCTAGTAAGAAGATCATCATAGGAACTTTTATGATCATTGTACAAAAATCTTAGCGCGCGTTCCTGTATCCTTTCAATTTTCTGAAGTGATTTTGAAGATGAAAAATACCAAACTAAAGGACAATAGTAAAAACTCCACGATCCACTGAATTACATTCTCTGTTGCTAGCAAGGAAGCTGAAGCGATTATTTGTTTCAATTTCAGGTTGCACATTTGAGGCAGTCTTATATCTTGCTGCACGCGATTTTGGTACTTGCCATCCATCTTTGCTGGCCGATGCTGATTTGAAATATTCACTTGGGTATTCTGACAATAACCCAATAACCCAGTGTTTGATAATTCTCTTGGGCGCACCTGCCTTTGATTCTCTGTATCTGGTGATGTTTTTTGTGTGGTATTTTTTTCTGTAAACAAACTAGGCTCGTTGCAAGATACATCTTTCGTATTTTGGTATTGTTTTGTAAGATCTTTTCCAATTTTTGGCTCTTTGAGTTTCAAAGCTTCAATTTTTAATTTTTCATTTTCTGCTTGGAGACTTTGATTCTCTCTTTCAAGAAAACAGAGCCTGTCCAATATTTTGTCAAAAGGTAAGTCACTGTTTTTATTTCCATCCTTCTCCTTAAGTTCTGTTAAACGTTTTGCCACCAATGCTAAGTTTGTCTCTAACATTTCCAAACGATTTGATGCGTTCTCTTGAAACAAAAAACTGGTGCTGCAAATAGATCCTTCAGATTCCTTTTTCTCCGATGTCTCATCTTCATTTTGTGACTTTCCTTCGCATTCCTGTTCAAGAGATTTTCTCACCAACTCATCGCGAAATTCCAAAGCCATGGCTTCATCGTTCGGAGCTCTTGGTGAATCCTTATCATGTTATTTATCCTTCTCTATCATCTTATCTTCATCAAGTGATATTCTTTTTTCAGTTCCTTTTTCCACTTCTTTTTCCGATTCTATATTGCTTTCATTTGTTTCTGTGCTATCCGGGATGCTGAATGATTCGCGTCCTGCATGAAAAGCCTTTTTCACCTTGCCATGTTTCATCATGAAATCGACGGCAATAACAGTGATGTTTTCGGCTAGGCCATGCTCGCTGTTTGCTCCCTTTAATTCTCTCTATTTCATTTATTATCAAGTTCTCAATATCGTTACTGCAAAGCAAGATACCAGAATCTGACATGATGCCACCATTTAAATCAAAGCTTGTAGAAAGTAATTCGACAGCACCGGTCTGGTCGCCATTGGATATCGCCATTGTGAATAATACTATGATAGGGGGTGGGTTTCCTTAGTAGAAGTGTGCCTGCTTATATACGCAATGCAACGAAGAGAGTGATGCAATTTGACGCAAAAAAGTATGAACAAACAAGTAATGACTAAGGCTGGGAGAGTGGGTGAAAGGGCGGAGGCTTGGAGTAGCGGTCAGTGGCAGCTCGTGGGGTAAATTTTTGGTGGGGCAATTTTTGGATGACGTAATATTCAAAATCTAAAGCCATAGACACGGAACGCTAAGAATAATAAAAAGCCTTTCAATTCTTTACTACCTCTAATCAACAAGGCTGTCATCAGTTTGAAAGTTTTGATTGAAAAAAAACAAATGTTTCTATTAATCATGTATAATTTTTGATAAGCAAAGTAATAAACTACACTCTTTTTTTATAAGAACAATTTTATAAGAACACGAGCCTCAAATTTTGTCAAAAGTTAAGAACAAATTAAGAACAAGCTGAGGCTGAGCTTATGCAAAATGCAATTTTGAACAACGTTTTTTCTGAAAATCGAGGATTTTTAGCGATATGTGGGTGCTTTTTCGTCGAATATTCAAACTTTTCGGCAAATGAAGGTTGTCTCACTCACTTTGTTGGCAAATGAGGCCTGAACAACTCCCTAGAGCGAAAAAGCTAGCACTCGCACTGCTTACACCCTATTAGAGTAGGAACAAATTAAGAACAATACAGCCTCAGATTTTCGAAAAAATTAAGAACAGTCAGCCTGAACTAAATTGACTGGTTCTTATAAAAAAAAGAGTGTATGTGAAATGTTGGTGTGCTTAACCTTATTCATTCAAGTCCGCTGGACCGAACTCTTCACAAAAAGGGGAGTTCGTTGGGGATGTCCATAAAAACATAGACTTGAATATGGCCAACCCGTAGACGATATCCTTTGCATTGCATATCATGGCAATTAAAAATTGTTTAAAGAAGAAAAAGTTCAAACTGTTAATTGATTTATTTTCATATGTCGTGAAGCTAAAATTGCTCCAGTTGAAAGCCTGCATTGGAAATATACTTAATGCCATTAGAAGGCCTACGGCCTAGCCTTCCCATTATGAGCTTATTTCAAGATCGGCAAAATTAATTCTGATAAAGATCATGTATGCTTTATTTCAATTTCTTATGAACTTGTATGCTTTATTTCAATGTTTTAAAGCTAAAAATTGCGAGTCAACGAATACACGCAGCTCTGCGACGTTCCACTTCAAGATCAACCTTGCCTATCAAAACAACCAAAAATTCAGCTACCGTTGAATTGAATTGCTTGGAGCTAGTTTCAACCATAGCCCTAAAGGAATGCAGATTCGAGCAGGATTGGCCATTCAGAAGGCAGTCATCAATTGAATAGTCGAGTCATGAGAGGCACTTGATTGGTGCATTTTCTGCTAGTTTGGGGCTAGCCCCAAAATGTCGGGGATGGTTTCCGATACGTGTGTTTGTTCAGCTTTCGAAAGAACCGCGGGCAGTGGGACCTAAACAAACAGTGAAACTCGAAGCAACGAAATTAGTGAACAGTGCTAAATTAATAATGGACGTTGATTTTATTTACGTTTATAAATCTAAAACTTATTTTCGGAAATCTTTGATGGGGCTGAGCCCCACTAGCCCCAATACACGAGCCGCCACTGGTAGCGGTATTACAAATATATTTGTTTACCTCTAGCTCAAGTTTTTGCAGTTTCTAAATGCATTGAGACTTCCTCGTTCCTGAGTAAAAGCTCTTCAAAACTAGAGTCAAAATCATTTAGCAGCACTCTCAGGGCACGCATATGAACATGATTTATTTCATTGTGGACAGTTTTTCCACGAAAAACCAGATAAGTAGGCAATAATCAAAATTTCTCAGTATATATGAGTTACATAGCAAGTTAGCCTTTTGAGGGTCAAGGTTTCTTGCAACACTTGAAAAAGCTTAAACTTTGTTTTTGTTTATTTTGCAGATCGTTTTGATGTTTTCATTAAATTTAAGAATCTAACTTCAATAATGGCATGAAAATTCAACGCACAAGATTTATGTTTCATGTGTCGACACGACGATGTTTTTAAATTTACGTACTTGATGCTTTTCATTGTCGATAAATTTTTTTGTAAAAACTTTTGTCTTTTCTTTTGAAATCAAAAGCGTATGAATATTTCAAGATAATCTATGAAATTTAATTGAACTGAACTCTTCTCTGAAGCTGATCTAAAGAACAAAAGATAACGGTCAAAAACATTAAAGATTCATTCTGGATAGCTGGTCTGTAAATTATGCTGATCATTCTCGATTTTACACACACGCGCTTCGTGAAAAACTGGGTCATGTAAAGAATGAAACAGGTTTTTTTAGCTAGAAAAACGAAGTAATTAAACCAACTCATAGCAAACTGGTTTGCTCAAACAAGACTCTATTTTCTCAAACCTAGAAAACCACGACGAAGTCTACGAGTTCATTTAAACGCGAAACGTTCAAGGCGAAGGGCAGCCATGTTCACCTATATGGTAAGGGAAGCAAGAATATCTGACCAAGATGCAGTCAATGCATTATCAATGGGGATTTATCAAGGTACGGACTTCACTGCGAAAATTTTTCCTGAATGGATCAGAGATGAACTATGGCTGCCCTACGTTGCTGAGACTAATTTAGGTCAAGTGGTCGCCTTTCTAGCGCTGAATATAACTGATGGAGGGAGAAGTGTAAT